GACCACTTTATTCAATTTCGTAATAAAATTCCTTCAATTGGAAATAAATTCATTTTTAAGCCTGAAAATGGGATAAGTAATTAATACATTAATTAATACTTCAAATCTATATGTCTACATCATAAGTAAAATTTGAAAATATATACATGTATATCGATCAATAACTTCCAAGAATTATATTCTCATTATTGTAATAGTAGAACTTCTTGTGCATTTCTCTATTGTAAGCCAAATGCTTGCGAAATTTAATCTTCTTCCATAACTTGGAAGACACTTTCTACTGCATTGGCAATTATACTAAATGCACTTTAACTCTCGATTTTACACTGACTTCTAAAAATAACGATCACTCTAGAGTATACTCTCGTTAATTAATTAATGTGTTTACACTGCTATTGCCAGATGAATCTCTTGCTGTACTAGTTTCTTATTTTTTTCTTTCGAACTAACTTGAATTTATCTCAATTCATTTTCAATTTAAACTATAATTATTTAAGAAATCCTCTCAGCTTCTATAAACGTATTCATACTTTATACAATTATTCTTATAATGCAATTTATTAAGTCATAAGCTCAAGCATGCAATAAATTTTCAATTATAAATAAGTTTTACATTGACTGAAATAATGAAATTTTAATTGAAAATGAGTTATTTTATTTTCTGACAAAAAGTATTGACTGTATGGTTTTCCCAGTCTAAGAGCTGAAATTTCTAATGAATGCTTCAAAATAATTATTGAAAGTTAACTACTAAATCAATGACTAACTACTGTTAAACTTATAAACCTTTTAAATCTCAAAATATGAAACAGACGAAATTCAATTATTTCAACTTTGAAGCATTTAGTACATAAAGCTACATATAGACAATCTCGTTTCTGCTGATATTCATGATAGAAACATACACTACATTTTACAAGCTTCGCGTAATATCTCATTCGTAAAGAGTCTTCGAAGGGAAAACTCGATCAAAGGGGACTGCTCACAAGTGTGGCTTTCATTCTTGTTGGTTGAGTTCCTCTACATGTTTTTCCTCTCTGTACTCCGCACCATCATATATTACTCATTCGCCAAAATACCATTGCAAGTATATGACATGATTCCTACATTACCACATAACTTTATAATTAACTGCTTTGTGTACCCTGAAACAATAAATTAAAAATAAATCGTTAATTGAGTTTAAAAGTTTAAATAAAATTAAAAAGTATTGTATAATAAAATAAGTTAAATTTCACAAAAAAATATACTTTCATTTAATTTTTTGAAATAAATATTTCAAAAAATCATCAAAATTTATGAATATCCTAAAAATATTTGCTAATTTGAATAAATAATGCCAATTTCATGAGTAAAATATTCTATAATAACATATTGATTGAAAGATTAAAATATATTGGTAATCAAATTTTATTTTATTTTAAGAGAACAGTATATTTTTCATTTAATTAAAACAACAATATATACATAATTATGTAATTATTATTTTAATTTAAATAAACTTATAACGATTCTATTTGCTAACCATTAATATCGAATTTCACAATATTTTTAAAAATTTATGCTAATTTATAGTTAATTGGACATAAGTTTTATAAGGTAATTTATTTTTAATCTACTAGACATTTATTCTATATGATTATCTATTTGATGTTAAAAATCAAATTGAATTTTGGGATTGAATTATTAATTGAAGTTCTTTTTCATCCAGATTTGAAATTTATTATCTCCACTTTATCATCATATGAATAAACAAAATATTCATCAGTTTTCCAGAGCAAAAATACTTGTTCATCACTTATGTTTTTACACAATTTTTTTGATTTAATTTACTTTTTTAATCAGATTAACTACACAGATAAAAATATGAAAGTTTGAAATTATTAATAAGGAAAAATTTTTTCGGTTTAAGTTAGATTTTTACCTTAAAGTTACCGGGGTTGATGGAAAGTACACATTACTTTCGTTAAATCTTCCACTCTCTCTCTCTCTCTCTTTCTTGACTTTCTAGGTAGAGTTTTTTGGCTTGCATCACCTAATTCGTCTCGGCAGGTTTTACGCTTGTATTCAAGTTCCCTCACTACCTCAACTCTTTTTATGGTCAGCCAAGGCAAGTAAAAATGACTCTCCAGAGAAGCAAAAGTTTTCTCGAGCATCTGGACTGTAGTTTTGGTAGCTACTTTGCTGCAAACAAGTATGAACGAATGATGAACGGAAATGTAGAGACACAGAAAAAGCAATAAAGAAGTCTAAGCTGCTGACTGGATAATCAACCCTTCTGACAACTTTCACCAAGTTAAATGGAAAAAAATTGATAAACTCTTATAGCTAGAAATTACATTACGCACGCGCGGTGGAAATTAAAGTACGAGTGTCTATTCAAACTTTGTAGCAACTCAAAAATAACTGCATACTGTACCAAAGTTGATTGCTTTGATACAAAAAGATTTAAATAAAACATTAATTCTCATCAGAATATAGAAAAAAAATGGTGCTAAATTTATATATAAAAAATGTAAATCAAGTGTCATGTTTGTGCATACATGAAATGATAGATGAACATTGAAAAAAATAGACCTCAATACTACTGAAAGACAGGAAAAAAAGACGCAGAAAAAAGTATTCAAAGTTCTTTTATTCTTTCAAACTTAAGCATCATCTTCCTAAGGTTAAATTGAAAAAGGTAAATATTAAAAATGATAATTTTAATCGAGTAATATTTGTCTATGCTTTTTTGAAATTCTAGTAGATTTTTCATAGCGTAAAGTAAAAGCCATTTCTATAAAATGTTCATAATAATAAAGAAAAACTATAAAAGTAAAAAATATTACATAAAGCTTCTATTCATGCTCATATATGCAAAAAGATATACGAAAATTATATTAATCTTATATATACTTTATACAGTTTTTATAACTGACAAAGTTATAAAAAAAGCTTCATAAAAATTTTTTCTATTTCACCAGCATAAAAAAGGAAACCAAACAAGGGTTTATGATAAGAGTGATAGAAATATTTGTAGCTTAATTTTGATCATATACGTAATAACTTTTCAATAATACACATGATAAAGAGATAATACTTTAGAAATAGTTCACAAGAGTTGTCGATAGAGTGTTGAAAGTCCAGAAGTCATGAGACAAAGAACCAGACGAAAAATAGACAACAACATCTGGCAGAATTGGTAGAAGTAGTAGAGCTCGTCGCTTTGTCGACCAGTCACCAGATCGGACGCACGTGTGACAGACAATACTAAGAAGCCTGGAATAGGTGAAAAGTTGTTGAACCCCAAGGTCTGCATCAATATGGAAATAACATACCTTGTGGTAAAATGGATTTCAAGTCGATACTTGGAAACTTTAACTAAGATCTAAATCGGATATCCTGACGACGGATATACCTATCTGTATAGTTGAAATTAGAACTTGCAGTAACTTGAGATTAGTCCCGTAATTAATATTGCTTCATTTACTTTCAGAAACAATAATCCACATATGCATAAATTGGAATCAGATATTCACTACTTCGAAATCCAATATCTCCAACACCTGAATTTCATTACATCTGCAAGAACAAACTATTAATAACAGAAAAATATCAGGGAAGTTGGTGAAAAATGGGAGAAATTGGTATTGAAAATTGTAAAATAAATCACTTACTTAATATTCATACTTAAAGTTTAGTTGGCCATGAATTTCAATACTTGCCAAAACCCAGCATCAAATTCATCAGTTTATCTTGTGCTCTTTGGTATGAGAAGAGGTGCGCGATCTTGGTGGGTGCTAAGTTTTGATCTGGCTTGGATAGTTTCGAACTTTCTTCACGGTGAACATCGAACAGATTGCTCCGTGTACGGTTTCCTAGCACGTAGGAAGTAATTACTCGCCAGTCGTCGGTATGCTTACCCATTCTCCTTTTGCCATCTCGCTATGACTTACTCAAGTTGCAATCTTAACAACTAAGATACACACAAATTGTTTATCTTGTTTATTGACGATAAATATCCCACTTAATTATTTTTACTGAATAATGTATGAGAATCTTTAATAAAAATTTACAAAATTTATATCCTCTTCATGTAGTGACAAAAAATCAAGAAATATAAAGGAAAGAATAGCCTCAGGAATGAAATGTTCACCAAGTTATTGGCTAGACACGATCATGATGGCTATAAGTCAAACGTAAAGAAATTGAAGCTCACTTTTTGTTATCAAGAGAAAATGTCTAGTGAATTTTCTGCATTTCTCATGTTGAGATTTTAAAAAATATAACAGTTCATGTGATTTTACGTTTTTATGAAAAAAATTTATAAAAATCAAATACTGGATGACGCTTTACTATTAAAAAAAAATAATAAGATAAAAAATGATAGTACGTTAAACGTTCACTTTATGAAGTAACTAAATAATTATTTAAAATTTTTTTGCATTGCTGTTTGGAGCGGAGACATGAATATTTAATTATTTAGAAAAATAATAAACTAATATATAGAATAAATTAATTTTTTTAAATAAAAAATTAATTTTCTCTTAATTACAATTTGATCAGCTCTAAACCGAAATTCTTTCTTCAATACATCTCAGGATAGCTTCAAATTGACTATTCTTTTATTTAAATCCCAAGTATTTAACTAACTTTTTAAATAATAAAAAAATATCTGATAATGACTATCCTTCAAAACGACTTCTTTTTCAATTATTAAAACAAAAAAAATTCAATTAGAGTTAATCTTAAAGCCTGATAATTTTTCCATAATTTCAGAGTATTATTAAAGTAAAAGAATAAGATTTTAAATTGAAATGGTTAAAATCATTTTCAAAGTATCGGTTTATTACAATGTTATCCCTCACGAAAGGATGGAAAAATTTTATTAAAACGATTTTTCAATGTCTTGATCTATTATAATAACTTTTCTCTCTATTTTCTGTTAAAAATAATGAGGAGTTGATGAAATAAGATAAAAAAGAATTAATAATAATTCACTGTCATTTATTTTTTAGCAAAAAAACCTTCTATGAAGAATCACTACCGAGCTCATCAGTTATCTGTTTGGCTAAGACTAGTTCCGGAATTACATAGAGCTGGAATGGAAGACGTAGAGCCAAGACACAATCTCTTCCGCAGCCACGGAGATCCCAATCTGTATGATGGCTCAGTACGTCCTGATCCTCTCAGTAGAATTAGTGAAGAATACAGACGACGAAATTTCACAACGGAATTACCGACAACAACAGATTACAGTATCACGACTTGTGTCAGTTTTATCCAAAGCACAAATCTTCAAAATGTTCATAATTCCAGCCTAGATCCTTATGCAGCCATAGATGCTTCCGGGTAAGTTTTGGAGATTACTCAAGTAAGATGAGTGAAATTTTCTCATGAAGAAAATTTTCCTTTCAGATACACGGCATATTCAACAGCTTTAAGCGTAACAATAGCTATTGGCTGTAGTTTATTAATTTTAAACGTCCTGATATTTGCTGGAGTCTATTATCAACGTGACAAGAATCGTCTAGAAGTGAAGAGTCTGAAACAACAACAAATGATGAATCAGCAATGTGGCCCTCGGGGTTTCACGGAACTTAAACAACCACCACTGCCTCATTCACACTATGGTGAAGGTGGTCAGGTTGTGGTTGATGTAGAGAATGAAATGATAAGAAGGTAAAGTTGACATATAGATAAATACTTTTGTCAAAACTAAATTCACCTAATAATTGTACAATGCGATTTCAGTTCAAGTCAATTTATTAAATAATTGAAAAATTATTCAATGAAGTAACTGACAACTTGTAAAAAATGTGGGAATGTTTGAAAGTTTCTTCAAAGATTTTATTCTTTTATTAGAAATTTTGAAAACGGTTGGAAACTTTCAGAAAGTTTTATTCAGAATTTACTTTCCAAACAAACATCTCAAATTCCATCTAATAAGATAATAAGAAAAAAAATTTTCAAATGATTTATAAATATTTGATTCCCTTATAATCTCATTTTTCTCCAAGATTTTTTCCATAACTTTCAAAATATCCTATCAATAAAATAATCGTAAAAAATAATATTGCGGGTAACTCATAACACTTTAAAAAAACACATTTTTATTTTCAGAAATGTTATAAAAGGATCGAGTGAGTCTGGGTTACTTCAACAAGCCCAAAGTACTCATACACTGCCACATCAGCACCATTATCAAAAACAGCAGCATCCAGGACATGCTACTCTTCCCAGATCATCCGTCATCCATGAAATGGGAATACCTCGTGGGGTAGAAAGTCTTAACGTTACGTCATGAATTTTATTGTATATAATTAATAAATTATTAAATAATTATTTCTCACTCTATAATAATTATATTAACAGTGTCCACCAAATGGGTCAATTCATATAACAGTGCCACGAGCTCCACCACCTCCAAGAGCAAAAAGTCCACCTGAGAATCAACCTTTGCTACAAGGCGGCCAAGTCTCAAACCGTACGACCCAAGGGAGTATGACCGAGATGAGGGTGTGATGTATGGACTCCCCTCCGAGGCCAGTCGTCCCGGATGTGCTAACGGCGTCGACCTTGCTATAGGAAAGCTCGTCAAACTTCGAGTAAATGTCGCCGAGGGACTTGGAGATGTGCTCTAACAGAGGACACCATAATGAAAAAAAATTACATATTATCTCATAAGTTCCCACGCGATGCTCAATCCGGTACGAATTAAAGACAGCGGAGGGGGGTGTAAACCGTAATAAACACACTCTGATAAAATATAACTTAAAAATAACATAGTGTTTTTAATTAACGTTGGAAAATGTTTTTATTTTCAATCCAACTACATTTACAAAATGCATTTCTCTGGTAATTCAAATCGAGGATACTTATATGTATGACGATTAGACTGATTTTTCCAATATAAGATATACGATGAACGTATATAAAATTTATGATATACATATTGTATAATATATATAAGGAAATAAATAATATAATACTGGTAGTGGAGCAAATCAGGTAATTCAAGAATAAATGTAATGTGTAAATCAAAGAATAAAACAAATAGCATGAGTGCACAGTCATTTTCCTGTGCAATCAGAAATTTCAATCAAATTTAGTGCATTGCGCACACAAAATATAGGTAAATAAATTTTAAAAACATAATTTATCCAGATGTTATACGATATAAAATGGCTCAAGGCAAAATAATGATCAAGATCTTTGTATAAAAAATATGCCAATATTCAATACGATGTTAGATGTTCTTTTACTAAGGAGAAAATTAACTTTAGTGGTCGAAAAAATATTTGAATAAGCCAAAAAAAGTAGAATTTTTGAAAAATAGAGAAAATTCTTTGTATAAAATTTTTTTGATTCATAAGAATAATTTTCTCCTTCTTACTGTAAATAGATAAATGGATAATAACAAAGAAAACTTTATACGTAAAATCGCCAAAGATTTGCTGTATTACATTAAACTAAATCATAAAAAAATCATCATGCTACTGTATCACTACAATTGTTTTTACACTCGACTCTGAAGAAGAGAAATCCTCTGTTGTACGAGGAGTGTTCATAAGCATCGAGACAATAGCAAGTCTTATTCAAGTATTTTAAAATTCAAAGAAGTTAAAATCAAAGAGAAATATGTAAATAGCAATTTTAAAAGAAACGTAAAAACTCAAATCTTTCACTTCAACGATCTCTAACAGCTTGATAAGAGGAAAGAGAGTAAGAATTTTGAGGTCTGTCACACAACAATGGACATCATTTGTGCGACATTAAGTCCAAGTCGTGGTACGTTTGTCCTCGATATAAGTTCCAGATGGTATTCTCTCTTACCTTAGTTTAGTCGAAACCATTTTATTCTCTTGCAGCTAATGACTATTTAAGCTCAAGTAGATTCTCTCGCTCTAATTTCCTGGCACTTGTAAGTAGTCGACCAAATAAGCAAGTTCGCCACGGTGGCTTGTTTCGCTGTATTTCCTAACTTCATCTTCCTTTCTTTTGACGATGAATTTAATTACATAATTATTTCACCATGCGCTTTAATTTACGTCCTGGGTCCTGGATCCAACAGAAAAAAAGATCATTAAAAGATTTTGCTATTATCTCGATTGCCTTTCTTATCGTTAGATTAAAGTTAAAGTAAATTATAAATGAGAGAGAATGAAAGAACTGGTAAAAATGATATTAAATCGAAGTCGAAAGGCGGATTAAAATGAAACTACGTTAGATTTTTATTGATATTCAAAATAAAAATCAGATGAGTAATAACACTTTTTTAATAATATAATAATTCAAATAAATTAAATTGTATAAAAAATTATTGATTTATATATGTAAATGCGCCAACTGTACGAGAATAAAAGCGCGATACCGTTAAATACTTATTACTATGAATGCCGCCTGATATGTCACATAGTTCCACTGCCATATATATAAAGTTTTATTATGATTGAAAAACTATATAATAAATAGAAACAATTTATCAAAAATACAATAAAGAAAATTCCAATTGAATAAATGATTCTATTCAATTATATGTCATTGAAGTATTAACATTTTGTACTTTAATACACTTATTAATTTTTACATAGGACATATAAATATATTTTAAATTAATATTAAAATTCTTCATTATGAAAACTCACATTTTAAAATTGTTTTTAATTATATATTATTGAAAAATGAATTATTTCGATTGCTTTTAAAACTCATTTCGTCCAATTTCATTTCAATATATAATTGTAATATTGCATACAATCGAAAGACAATTTAATATATAACATTTTAAAGAATGCAAATACATATGATAAAGCTAATGGACGTACTTTGATTTTAACTACTATCTGAACTAAATATTAATAAAAAAAAAATTTAATATTCCTCAATAAAATGTGAAATACTCAAAAACGAATAAAATAAAATTTTATTTTACCACTATAGTTTATTATTAATATGAATGGATGAAAATATCATTGTGAGTATGGACAATCTAAATATTATACGAATGATGGCTAGTGAATTATAAAGAAAAATTCTATTAATAATGAAATAAAAATAGACATATAAAGAATAAGTTAAGAATGGATGTGTTTAGAGATGTTTGTAAATTCTTAACGCTAAAATCCGCCTTTTGACATCGATATTATTATTGTGAATACCAATTTATTACTATTATTATTATGATTATTATTATTCCCATTATTATTATAATATTAAAAACCATTTTAGAGATGTCCACACTTTTCTCAAAAGTCGTGATTTGTTTTACGACTAAAAGTGAGAAGGATGTTATGTTGCACGATTTTGTTGTGAAATTGTAAATACATAATGAAAAATATACATATATAAGACATTGATTGTATTTGATCGTTTTTTTTATCTCTATAACTATAAAAAAGGCCGTTACTAAATACTAAAAATATGAGCAGCTATCAAATTTTATGTTGTCAGATTCACTGCCAATGATGATGATGATCCGATAAATGAATCTATCAATTCCAACAAAACTCTATTTTGAAACTATTGTAATCTAAAGTATTTATAATTGTTTCAATATCGAATGTGAAAATGTTGAAAGCAAAAATATTTACGATTCTTGAATGAACATTTTAGTAGTTGAAGTTATAGACTAATTTTTTTAACAATTACCATCATAACTTTTTACATAATTGTAATAAAAGAATGAAAAGAGGCTCAAGTAATTAGTAAATGAAATTCTGTTACACGGAGAGAAAGCTACAGTAAATTTCATGACGGAATTCAAATAATTTTCAAATAGTGTTTCAATTATTTTAAGCTGTATGAGGGATGGTGCAGATCAAAAGGAAAGCCACATTTGACGAATACAGGCATGATTTGCTTATTATATTGACTGATGAGATAGTGTATTATATCTGGTAGAGCTATAGAGAAGAGAAACTTGACTAGTCTCTCTTTTGCTCTAAAAATTATCCAGGGCTAGTCGTGGCATCGTCAATATGTATTAAAAAATTGATAAAAGTAAAGGAAATCCGTAATTGGAACTCTACCCGAAAATTCAGTTTGTTCCTTGTTTACTGTGCTTCCATGGTAATTTTTACTTTAACTTTTTCTCCATGTAGACAAACAGTACATTCCAACAGGTGGTGTAAATTTAGATATACAACAAGCCCTAATAAATATATCGACTTTTAAGAAAACAAAATTACAGTCAAGAAAAAAAAATTATTCTAATCTAAATGTGCTATATATATGCATATTTAATTGAGTTAATATACCAATCCCTGATAGTGTAATTATTCCTGTTAAGTTATAGTAGGTTATCTGTGAAAGACGTAATTAACTTGAATCCAAGTTCTGTCGTGTATACCTTCATTAAAATATCAAATTAGGTTTGTATTGGATTAATTATGCTTATAATTATACCTGTAAATAAAATTATCAAGTAATGAATATTGAAATAATTAGTAATTCAAAGTACTTGATTCAAAAAATACTACGTATAGGTTATATCACCGCAAAATTAATAATTAGATCTGTCTCAAATAGTAAACTGAAATATTGTCAAAATATTCTATTAAAAATAACACTAGTAATTTAAAAAAAAAATTAAAATTCAGTATCTTACAATTGCTAAATTTTTTTAATCAACATTGTAACTAAAATAGATACACTAAACATTCACTATACCAACAATAAATACTAACGGTTATTCACTTTCGGTAAAACAGGTATCAACAACAATGGAGGGAAAGTTACTCAGAGAAAACTTCTGAAGTTACTGAACTTATCGCCTCTTGATATAGTACAATTTTTCCTGGAAATTTCCTATATCAAAGTTCCTTGGCAAATTAGTTTTGATTGTATTAGAATGTACTAATCATTTGTTCGTTAGAACACATACAAAATTAATCAAGAAGTAAACACAACTTGACGATATAAGCGTCACTTCAATATCCTGAGTGATGTGTAACCCCCCAGAGTCAACATCGAAAAAGTGTAATCAAATTGTGCTACTTGACAATCATTTTTTTACTCACGGCATAATTCCTTATCTGTTAGTCTTCTCTCGTAAACATGTTATTGATAAACATCTTAGAAGTACATGTAAGCAATTCACAGCATGGTATTTAAAGCGGTGTATTCAGGAAAATCTTTAAAGATCATCAAGAATATATTCAATGTCCACTAGGATAACGTGACTAATGGCATTATTTTTATCTATGAACATATCAAGATGACATTAAAAATGAAATAGCAGGTTTATTTCATGAAAAAATATGAAGAGATGTAGGAAAATATTATATTATTTATTTTTCTAACATTATAATAACAAATTTTTCCTATTGTTTTTAACTTAAATATTATGATAAATTGATTACTATTAATTAATAACTTTCAATTTACATCAAAATACAAGGTTTTTACATTAAGAGTGATCAACAAGTTTCTAAACATTAATTATTCTTTGTAATTTTCAACTTTTCGAGTTTGTCTCGTCATTAGACGTTTTATTAAAATTAGATACCGGATAATCGGTAAATAATCCTTTTTTAAGAGCCTGCGCATATGCATCACGTTCTTCTTCAGTATTTAATGAAAATCCAATAGACGGAACTAGTTCAGTTTCCACAACATATTTAGTTTTTGTCAAATTCCAATTTTTCATATTACCATTTGTGTTATTTTCATTTCTAACAGGTATCATTTTCCGATTTTGAAAATTGACATTTCTATCCTGAGTTGATAAATTAAATCGATCATCAGATTTTGGCGTTGATTGTAAATTCTCTTCTGTCATGATTGATTGACTTTTTACAGTTGGAGGGGAAAACGTAGTAGTTCTTATTTCTTGGCGAAACTCATTAACAGCTTCAATAGGTATTGTAATTCCTTGATTGTTCAAAGAAAACGGTCTAGGTAAATTATCGTTGCTCTTATCTTCCATAAATTGTTCTGTATGTGGGCTTGTAGATGGGTTAATTGCATAATTATTTACTCTAAATTTACCTCTATCATTTTGGCGATTAATTACTGCCTTTGTGGCTTTTTGAAAAATTTCAGAATCCTTTCCACCTCTTGGCGTTTGAGATTTAACGATTTCAAAATCCTCAAACTGACCTGCTGAAATTGGATCATGCTGAGCGATAAGGCTTCTTATAAATTCGCCACTAGGATCTAAATCTTCATCATTCTTCACCGTCAACGTTACTTGAACTGGTGAACTTTCTCCTCCAATTAAATCTCCTAGTAATTCTTTCTTCTTTTTATCAAAATAATCTTTTAGGTAGTTAAATGTTGAAGTTTCAAGAGTTTCATCAGTAATGCCTAATTTACTATCATCTTTATTCACTACTTCATATTCATAATTTTCTTCTGGGTAAGTTGCATTGTTAATTTCAAATATCGAATGAATAAGAGGAGAGTCTGTTTCTTCTAAACTTGGAGAAATTGTTATTTTATCTACATTGTTGAATTCAGCTTCCGTACAATTATCTATTTCCAAAGAGAAGTTGTCAATACTATTTATGGTAGACGGTTGAAGCTCTTCAATCCTATCCTTTATCGGTGGAATAATATCAGGTGATGGTACACTAATAGTTGATTCGTCATACCAAGAAGTTGTTGACTCTTCAGTGAATGATGTTGAATTAATTTCCAATTCGTCAGATTTCGTCACACTTACTGAATCATGCTGATCAACATTGGTATAATAGTAGAATGGTGGAAGAAAGCTTATTGCAGGAAGTATAATATTGGCTTCATTAGACCAAGTTGAATTTATAGCATTTTGAGCATCACTATCATTTTTAAATGAATAAGGAATTACATTAATTATTGGAGACTCTGAAAGTACATTTCCCTGTTCTCGAGATGCTGAATTTTCTTCTCCACTTTCGTTAGCTTTAATTAACTCAAGATGAATAATATTTGAATCATCACTCGTATTCAACAATTCTTTTGATACCGTATTAACATCGTCTGTTGATGAATCATCATCTCTTACATTAATTGGAGTAGCAGAAAAAAATGATACTTTCTCAGTAGTAGATGGTGGTCGTTTTGTCGTAGAAGTTACAATTGGAGTATCGGAGTAATATGTTACTCTTTGAGTTGTCAATGGTGATGATGGGAATGGACTTCTTGAAGTAGATGGTACTGTAGTACTCCTAATTCTTGGCCTTTCAGTTGTCGATGGCAGATTTATTGAAGTTGATCTAACTGTTGTGCTCCTACTTTTTCCTTTTGCTGAGTACAAGTGATCTGAACTTTCAAATTCCAAATCATGTCTAGACCTTGTGGTAGGCTTGATCACTGAAGGCACTGTAGGGGAATAAAATCTTCTTGTAGTTGTCGTTACAGTTGGTACAGTTGGAGCATAAGCTGGCCGATGTCGATTATATTGATTTTCATCATAATCTTTTTTATCTTTTCCTATCGTATGAATTCTAATAGATGGTTTTTCGTGAGCTTCATTCGAAAAAGAATTTAAATTTCGATTGTAAGATGGACTACTAGAGTACCTTGAGCTATACTTAAATTGCGGGTGACTGGACTTGGATGGTACATTTTGATAATCAGGATATTGTTCTGAACTTTGGAGCTCATTGAAATGACCATTTCCATGGTTTTTATTTAAATTATCAACTTGATCCCTAGGATCTATTGAAACTCCATTATCAGCTGATTGAAGACTTGTCATTTCGTAAGCTTTCCGAAGATACTCATCATCGTCAACTTCACTGACATCTCTACTAACAGTTTGATAAAAACTCTTCGTTGCAGAACAATCAACTTTATTCCACCAATCACAAGTTAATAATTTTTGACTAAAGATTGATCCTATTGGACAGAGAAATGAAGATACTAGAAAATTTCCATCACAAACATGAAATAGCTGACATCCGGCCTCTTCATCAGCATAGTATCCTGAGAACATAAAATATACGTAAGTAAATTGATCGTTTAAACTTTCATCTACATAATTATCCACTTCTGAGATTAGAGAAAATACATATTTTAAATAAATATCAACAATAAGTTAAGAAGAATATTTTTAAACTGAAACAAAGCAAGGAAAACAGTCATATCTGGTTTGAAATGAAAATAAAAAATAAAAAGCAATAAAAAATAAGCATAAATAAATTATTAGAAGGATATTGATGGTTACAGATATCAGGAAAAAACGACAGTACGTTGAATAATAAAATTAAAATTTTTATGATTTCTAATTTAATCTAAAATAAATTATATTTCCATATTATAATGAAGTATCCTGACAAAATTAAGTCAAAATATTTCATTCTCAATTTAATGTACCACAAATATTCTCTTATTTTAATGTTGACTAATTATTATGTAATAGTTTTAATTAAAACTTGCAAAAAGATGTCGATGGTGAGGGGATTAATAGTTTTTTTCATGTAAGCACACTAATTTCGTAATTCTCATTCAGGTTCTTAAAATCTAGTTAGAGAGGAATCAGTATCAAACATAGGAAGATTTTATTTGCATTTATGTAGAAAGTGATTTGCTATAAGGATGGCTAATGAGGCACTGAGTGGAGTTATGAAATCGATTAGAAGTAGTTTCTTATTTAATCTGCAATATCTATTAGGTGCAATGTATGTGAGCTGAATAAAATTGAAAATTCATCAATTATAGATCGTATAAAATTTGAATTATTTCATTTGTTCCTTATTTAGTCAGTTCAATACCATAAGTAATGCTCACAGTAATTCTACCGACTTGTTGACCTATTACGAAAGTTAATAAAATGTTAGCAAAAGATCCCGTAGCTTATCTCATAGCATGGTACCATCTAGCATACGCTTTTTCATCCTTGACATCAATGTTAAAGGTGACAAAAAGCCAAAGTAAATGACAAATATATTTTTGTTAGTAGTTAGAAATTGTGGATGAATGAATGAATTGGGAATTAGAAGTCACTTATATTCTTCAAAACCGGTTTTTAGCAAAATATACTACCAGACAGATACTTCTGAAAAGATGATTAGGTAATTAATAAAAAATATTATTCTTTTAATGGATTTTTTCTAAACAATCTTAATCGTTACTCATATTTTTATCTAATATTTTTGTCTAACTTACAGATGTTGAAGAATTTATAAATTTTTATTTTAAACTCAATTGAGTAGAAAATAAAAATAAACAGTGAAAAAATTGATGGGCCATCAGTTAGTTAAACGTTAACACAATGAACTTTAACTAACTTTCGTAATTTTGTAATCAAGATAAATATTTGTACGATTGTCCAAGGTAATATAAATAATAAGCATCAGATTCTTTAGATAAACAACAAACAAGTATATTCTCTAAAATAATTCAACCTTGAGAAAGTTCAAATGGTATATAATCTGATCATTAGCTCACCTCTAAATTGACTTTCGCAGGTAAAACTAGTCTGAGGAATTCTTGTATAAGATGGATAATCAATTCCTGGTTCTCCCGGCACATTACTTCGATAGCTTGAAAAGTCTAGTTGGGTATTGAGAAATTTTTCGAATTGTAATAATTGTCACTTCAAGAATCTTGTAAACAATCATAAGGACATTACCTGTTTCTTCATCATAACGATCGTAAATGTCAAAGGAATCATCTTCGTCAGGATCATAATATTTACTGCAATTTATTTCTCATTCTAAAGTACCAATTAAAATAATCAAATAACCAAAAATTATTACGTCTAATGAATTACATATTTACCTTCCTCTGGTTCCATCCACCGCTCGGCGATAGGGATATGTTCTGCTTGGCTCTTCTTCACTGATAAGATCTAGTCCATGAATTCTCTCACAGAGAATGAGAGTAACAGAGCCTGTGTTAATTACACAAATCAAAGAAGGTAACTTTTAATCATCTTTTTATTCACTATTCAATCTAAGTAATTGCCATCATTAATGAGTATTTCTAATTAATTTTCAGATACAAAAACTAGCGAATTCAAGGAAATATGTAGACATGGAGTTTCAAGAAGAATTGAAGTGATCAAGATCATTAATTTATAACACTTACGTTAAATTTTGCAAACTCAAAATTTTTTAATTAAATAAATTAAATTTCGAATTGATAAAACTTACACAATGTTAAATGAATCCACATTTTGATGATTTAATATTCACATTCAAAAACAAACGATAAATTTGATTAGAAATTGAAGAGCAGATATTAAACGACAATAGAACAGTCGATGCACTGTGAATCTCAGGACTCATCTCCGCCTCTTCTTCTGACTTCTTTTCCTCACTGGTGCTCCGTCGCACCCAAGATGGGAAGGGATGGGTCGATGTGTTGCCTCTTACCTTTTCCCCATGACTTTCCTACCTCTCACTCGATACTTCTTCTGGCCTCTCGTTAAATCAGCATCTTACTACGATGAATTGGTAACGCAAACGACATAACTGCAATTAATGCACATCCTTGAACCATCTTCGGGGTCATGCTTTATTGCTACTGTAAGCTCAACAATTGCCAATAGAAAGTAAACGAAATGGACAATGAATAATTTATCTGTTCAGTATAAAACAAAAAAAACATATTTGACGATAATTTAATAGGTTTGTATTTCTTCAAAACTTTCCATTGTGGTAATTTTCTATCTGTTAAACCTACAGGTAATTGCAGGATTGGGAAAGCTTTAAGAAACTTCAAAATATTCAATCTCACAACACAATGAACGCGTATAATAAATTTCTATTTCTTGCAATTAAATTAAGTGAACCCCTTCATTAAAGCGTTGCATAAACAATATTGAGTGTTTTAGAATTTGTCACATTAAAATTCTTATTAGAGGAATTATGTCTGCTTAAAGTTTATTGCACTTATACGGCATTGTATTCCAACTGTTGAAGCAATAACTGATCGTCCCATATTTCTTATGTTTATACAATGTAGGTGGATATGATTAATGAAAAGATGAAAGAGTCTCTGTATCATCATTGAGCCTGGACTATTTTATAAATGTTATGTAAGTTTGACGACATTGCTTGAATTCTTCTGACAAAGTTACCTGATCCCTACTACTCTTCCTCACTCGCATACTTTTTGCCTCTCATAATCGTCCCTTGTGATTCATCTCGAAGACTTTCGTTTTCTTCATCGCGTATTAGTTTCTATTCAACTTGATTTTTTTAATCATTTAACTAAATCTTTCATTATTTTATGTCTCTTAAAATGTTGATAACCAATGTTAATGATTTTATTTTTGCTTGTCATCCTTTTTATGTGCTGAACGATTTATAGTAAAAAGTATTGAAAAGCAACATTTACAACTTTAAGAATATGGTAAAGAATAGTAATTGATAGTGGATATTAATAGTCCCATGATTTCCTCGTAAACAAACTGATTGAAATGAATGAAATGTCGGGAAATGGCTGTCAAGATTCATACACATAACATTGCTGTATGTAGATTGCATACTTTCAGCGTGGGAATAATTGCGCAACGATAATCGGTGAGCAAAATGTATTGTGGGAAAAGTAACATGTTCTTCTTTCTTTGGATTATTTTTTATATTCTTTTTTATTGTGTTTCCGTTTTATCAAGTAGCTCTAATGGTTTATTAGAAATTGAAATCATCCTCGATAAATAATTCAATGAATACATTGAACACATTTATTCAATTCTATTTCCATCGTATCATCAGATAATAATTGGAATAAATAGTTGGAAATAAAATTTTAATTATAAATTGTATAAACATTATTTAATTTGACAAAAGAACTGTGAATCAACAATTTAGTAAATATTCCAGTAATTTAATTTTTCGTTAATGTTTTTATAACTTTCTCCTAGCAGATTTAATAAAACGATCATTAAGTACCGTATTCCTTTTATTTAGTCAACACTTTAAGTGTTCATTATTTTTAATTCATTTTCACGAATATTTTTTTTTATTTTTGACAATTCTTATAAACAATTATCCCAAATAACAGCATAAATAAAATGAAATGTGTTATTTAAGACAATTTAGTCACGTGAATACTAGTATAATTTTAATTTAATAATAACTCAAAAATACGTAACGTCCTTGGATTATGATGAAAGACAATTATTAAATATATTTAAAAATACAATCAATAAGGGAAATGATAATAATTAAAATAATAAACAGTTTATAAACTTAAAAGATTTGAAATACTTAAAAAAGTCACATAAAATGATTTATTGATATACCTAATATTTATTTAAGATACAGTGACATATACATAATATACTCATTTATTTAATAATTATTACGTGATAATACGACACAGGTTTTAAAAAAAATTAAAAAAAACCTACGCGCGTATTGAAGGAATGACGCGTAACGTTACGCCAGTGATTTACAATTAAACAGCATGCATTCGCTTGATCATAATTTCCAAAAAGAAAAATTAATGAAATTTTATTAAAAAGCAAAAATACGGTGTAATGTAGCAAGTAAATTAATGTTTACTCTGCTCCCGACTCATATGACTTTAACAACCTTGTGGTGGACCAGCCGCATCTAAATGAGTTCTTAATGATCGATATCCAGTATCCGTCGAGACAAGAGATAAAGTTAATCAATTTTATAATAATTAACTTGTGTACTTACAGACACATATTAGATCACTGTCATGTTTGTCAAAAAATTAATCCCTTTAGTTATGTATACGATTAATAATAAGAATTCATTTAAATCGATTATGTAACATTATGCATCCAAAGAATTATGTTGTTTTTTATCCTACATAACTCTAACTTATTTTTCGTTCTTGCTGTCTATTCCTACAATGGACCCTCAATCAGACTCTTTTTTAGTGTACAATAATAAACACTTCGTGCCAAACAAATGAGTGCGATTAGGAATGCACCTAAAATAAAAAAAATATTAAGCACATCTGTTTTCATTTATTTAATTATTGTTACAATGATGAAGTTACGTCAAAAGCTTACCAACATATATCACGTAAATTCCGCCATTAGTTCCCACCAAAGAATAGGTACCGACCTGTAAGAAAAATTTATAATTATTAGATAACTAAGCTTTATTCGTTGATACCTTTCAATGAAATAAGAACTACGTACAGTCACAGAAATGCCAATTACGAGTGCGATTATTCCCAAGGTGGTAAACATGATGCCGCGTCCTCTAGCAAAATCTGGTCCAACGGAAGACACTTTCCGGCAATGCGGACATCGAGCCAGAGCATTATTTAGCGTATTGAACTGTTAATTTTTTCATAAATAATTAAAAAAAATCTTAACATTTTTTTAAGCAAAATTAAAAGTATATAAAAAAAAGAAGATTCATTCACTGTATGCATAGTCACGCAAGAATTATTTAAGTATTACCCGGTAATGTTATGAAATTACCCAATTGTTTCATGAGTGTTAAATACGTGATTGTTCTGCAAGAAAACAATGCCGAGTATTTGAACAGAATGAGAACTAAGATGAAAAACTTATTATTCATTTCTTTGGATAATATTTAACGACTTTGATAAGAAAAATTGATAATTCACCAAGAAAATAGATCATTAAATCATTCCTCAGGAAACTTTCTTAAAATGACCTAATTGAAACTAATTTTTGAATTATTTTTTCATATTTCAATCCTTATATCTACATAATTTCTCAAGAATAGTATCATCAAATGTTTCTCTGGGAAATAGACATAAAGATAAATTTGATGATTAATCTGTGTATAGCATGATGCGATAAGAAATAGTAATGTTAAATTGACAAGTAAACGAAAAATTTTAAGCAGAATATATAAAAAATATTACCAAGAATGTGTCATGACAATGTGCACAGCATACTCTGCACATTCCAGGCATTGAAAGAACTGGAGGTGTTACTGGACTAGGTGCGAGATTTATAATACGTTTGCAGTTTGGCCTTGGACAGGCGATACGTTGTGATGAACTTTTGCATATTAAAAGACAATTGCACGGACACCTAACATATTTCTTGCCAGGTGGAGCATTTCTTATTGGCTGCAATCAATTTGATCAAATAATCAAATAACAAAAATCATAATAAGAGTTGAAGACTTTCATCAATGTTATATGATTGTTATATTAACAGTTAAGCTGATAAAATTGTTATAAAAACATTAATAATATTATATATTTGATAATACTAGCTGATTAAAAATAAACAGTAAAAATTATTATAAGTGAATTGATTTGATTTTTCATTGTTAGATCTGGATAAAATTTAATGAATTCTTCTATCAATAGATAAAAAAGAGTAATTGTCAATTTGAATTACCGTAGCCTCATTACACCGACTACATTTAACAACATGTTGATCTTTTTTTCCGGTTATATTAATCATTGCTTGGCACACTCTGCAAGTGACCATAGGCATTCCACTTTGATTTGCTGATTGATAGGGTGGAGGTACTTCATCAGGACCAATTGGAGAAACTGTGTTGACATTTGATTGTGTTCCGTCTGTTGTAAATATTACATTATGACCATAAATAATCATTACTACATAAATCAAAACAAAATATACTTATATACAATTATAATTACCAATGACATCGGTACTTTGTGAGCTATAAGTGACACTTTCATTCTTTAAGAGCGGCTGCCGCTCACCCTCTCTGCCATCACCCATTTTGTTCGAGTGATCAGGGGTTTCCTGCTTTCACTAAATCAGACTTATTACTCCAAAAGAATTCTCTCTATTTTGTGCTATCACTGACAGTAGAACCTATTTATAATATCACTTTATGGAAACGTTGTACGATTTGATACCGAAATGATGAGGCCACCATAACTGAATGTGTCTACTGTCAAAGAAATGTTGGCGTATTTGCAATCAGCTGCATCAACATAGACTGCTTTGTGACATTAGTGCAAATGAGACTAATAATGCAACGCCATCTATTCCCTATATCATAAGTACAATAAAAATTATCAACAGTCAATAAATTTAAAAACCCGTTGTCGTCTTTGATAAATTACGTAATATCAACGGCACTATAGAACGATAAAAATTTTTGTTCCCCTAATCCAGTTCTTAGTTTATGACTAAAGACTTCCGACAACGTCAGACAGTGTGGTTCGACGTTTTTAGACATTTAGAAACATAGAATAACTGATAACGTTTTGTGAGCGTATTTGATAATTAACTTGGATTGTGATCAATTGTTATAAACGTCTAACAGATTGAAGCTTGTGAACAAATTAATACACGTGAGTTTATTCTAACATCCGATTTTCTTATCGATTGTCATTATTTCCAGAAAGTACGAGTGACGCATCAATATGTATACAACTTCCGAAATATACGTTTGTTTTATAGACTTTACAGTCTTTACTTTTTTTGCTTTATAGTTCTGATATAACTTTTTCAAATAACCTGTAATAATCGAAATTACTTGGATAAATAGTTTAACTTCTAACATAAAGGTTAATAAGTCAGAAGTTTCTTCATTAAAATTAGTATCAATTGTAATGAAAGATTAATTACAATCTTTTTTTTATGACATATTTTGTGTTTATTTTATGAAGGATTTTTTTTGTATCAATAACGACACGTTTGACACAGATTTTTACGCTTTCTAATGCATATCATAAATGTAGGTCATTTGCAATATTTTGGAGTATATTGATAGTGTTATTCTTGCAATTAAAAATAATAACATTCAATTTGACTCATAATTTTGATTAAATTTTTCGTATTTCATCATTCACACAATTTAGTGTATCAACTCTTTTTATGATATCATCGGTTAACGTCTGTAAACGTATATGTTTTTTTCTTAATGATTATTATCACATCTATTCTAAACATATGATTTGGAATTGAATGTTTAATCTAATTATCATCAAAGTTGAACAACACATGCACATTCGTAGAAAAATCATAGACGATACTCTTCCTTATCAAAATAGATAAAAGTCAAAAAAATATTGTTGCGAACTTAAATGTAGAGGTATCTTGCACATGATGATGTAATTATTTATTCTTAAAACAAAGATACGAGTGCAAATTTTGAATGATAATCTAACGATAAGGATGACGCATTATTAAGTTGAAATCAATAACTTAATATACCCAAGTAACTTCATTTACTTATTGGAAAGAGAATGAAAATATTTATAAAGAGCAAAGAACATTGTACATCCCAATGTTCTTATTATATGTATCACGTGTAGTTTCTTTTATAAATAAATAATTACTGTCAATTAGAAATAAATATATGTGAATGTATTGTTGACGTTCATGCAAAGTTCTCACAATTGAGAATTTTATACAATTCTCTAGCATTAAAAAGGTTTCGTTCCAGTGTAGTGTCATAAATAATCATCAAACAAATTACTTAAAACGTTATAATAATTTAAATGAACATTTAATTGAATAATTCTATCAATTATAGCCATGGATTGATTTAGTGTGGTAATTTTAGGTTATTTTTCAGTTAATCCAAAAAGATGTCCAACTGGCAGAGTCCACCCAATGCAGGATACTATCCAGGCCAACAAGGTTCTGATCTTTAATTAAGTTTCAAATAATCACATTAAATAATTTATTCAATAAAACTATGCAATCGTACATCAACATTTCATGGAATTTCATCAAGTTTATTACTATTTTGCAAACGATAGTGTATATTTATAATCATCAGCTTCTTTAGATCGTTTTTCCGGAAATTCAATCGATCCAGTAATATGAAATTACTAGATTACTGTTACTGAGTTTCTGGATCAACGTGATAATGCATTTTATGTTAATTCAATACTTGAATTATTTCAATGTGCATTGTTTACATGATAAAAGATATTTTTCACGCTTTGCACCATGTAGGTAGCAGAAAAATCGAATGCGACAAGGATGCCGCCATCGTAACCGAATCTTAATGAATTATCATCAGTTTATAAAATAAGCTAAAAATGTCAATTAATAATTGTCAAAAGTATTAGTAATAAATCTTTATTTTACTTCTCTAGGAGGTTATCCATACCCACAACAAAATCCCGGGTACCCACCAAACGCTGGTTATCCACCACCTCAAGGAAATTTTAACGCAGGCTATCCCCCAGGTATTTTATTATTTTCAAAGATCGATACTTATGTTTAATTATTGTTGATATTAAATAACCAATAATTTTCAATAACAGCACCGGGTTTTATCCCACCAGGAGGAGGAAGTTACGGAGACGTACCACCACCTGCTGGAGCACCTTTTGGAGGTCCACAATCAAGCATGTACGGCACAGGATATGTCGAAGATCCCATGCGGGATGATGAAGCCAAAGGATTTGATTTTTCTGAAAAAACTATTAGACAAGGATTCATTAGAAAAGTGTATTCTATTTTGATGTGTCAGCTATTAATCACATTAGGAATTATCTGTGCATTTGTATACAGCCCAGGAGCTAAACAATTAACTCGGAGCCATCCAGAATTATTTTGGATTGCTTTTGCTATTACTATAGTTTTATTAATTTGTTTGGTTTGCTGTACGAGTGTCAGACGTAAATCGCCCATGAACTTCATATTTCTTTTCATATTTACGGCCGCTGAAGGATTCTTATTAGGGACAGCTGCATCAACATATAAACGTGAAGAGGTATGTAATGATTTGCATAAAAATTCATTTTTAAATCAATATCTACTAATAGCAATAATTAATGATCTTGCAGATAGTGATGGCTGTAGGAATAACTGCTGCAGTATGTTTAGCGTTGACGATTTTCGCTTTCCAAACAAAGTGGGACTTTACCGGCATGCACGCTGCTCTTTTCGTTGGTGTGATTATTCTAATGTTATTTGGAATTATTGCAATCTTTATTCCTGGCAAAGTAGTGACATTAGTTTATGGGGCGCTAGGGGCATTATTATTTTCAATGTATTTGATATATGACACTCAGTTAATGATGGGTGGCAAACACAAATATTCAATTTCCCCCGAAGAATATATTTTTGCTTCTCTAAATCTTTATCTTGATATAATTAACATCTTTATTTATATACTTACTATTATTGGCGCTTCACGTGATTAATTAAAATAATAAAAAATCGTTCAAGAAATATATTCTTCTAAGTATAAATTATTTTATTTTTTATTTCATCAATAGAAGTTCATTCTTTTTTTTTTAATCTTCTAATAGAAAGCATCGAAAGAAATCATTTAAAAATAAACAATAAAAATAATAGTAAGTGTATTTATAAAAGCAGCTTTCATTAAATTTAAACATAAAAAAATTGTACAACACAGATTTAAAGTATTTTTCGATGCAAAATTTTCAATTACAAAATATAGAATCTTAAAGCTTTTTCTAGTCTGTAAGTTGATATAAAGTATTGGTACGTGTATTATAAATAATCTTACGTTACAAAGTAATTAATTCTATTTATGAATTAAGTGTGGTGTAAAAATCAGTTGAATTACGTCTACTTTTCTCAATGAATCATTTTTTAAACAATTTTTTCATAACTGAACAAATACAAAGTAAAGTCAATCCATTCCCGCCCTTTGTCCTTATAGAATTGATTACGGTTCCTAATTTTATATGAACAGATAAATGGAGTAAAATAAACTAATTCAAATTTACTGGTTAAGCGTACTAAATATACATTACATACTCATTTGTAGAATATTTATTAGCAATAAGACTTCATGAAAATTTATCTAAATGTATTTAGCACTAATTAGTGTTACGTTATTATTATGAGGCATACTTTGAAAAATTAATTATTCAAATTTTACAGACTTATACAACATTAAAGCGTTATTCATAGTAACTTTATTGTTGTGTATTTTATGCAAATAAAGTATAACTACTGTAACTACATGTATTTATTAATAAAATTTATTTCTTCATAAAAATTAAGGAATGAGGTGGTAAAAAAAGAATTTTATTATTGACGAAATCGTGTATTAGTATATATTTATAGTAAATCAGTTATACAGTTGACAGGATCAAAAGTTTCTGTATTAAAATTGACTAATAATTGATTCAAAATCACATTGGGCCCTTAAGATCCAAAATATAAAAAAGCCTCAAAGTCTTAAGTATATTGTTCGCGTGCGAGTAGGTAAATAAAATAAGAATAAAAAAACACGTGAACTTTTTATGTTCGTTAAACATACTTTACGGACTTCAACCTTTGTGCATATACGATATAAACGTATACAGATAATAATAGGCACCTTAAACGCCACTTTACCTAGACACTGTTGCGTAGGAGAATGAGACGACTAGATGATGTATTTTTTCAATGACAGACGGTAGTTACATTTTTTAATGTGGGATTGATTACATGTTGTGTAATTAAAAATTTTGTCTCATCAATACCCAGGCGATGAATTACACTTCTCTTATATACTATTTTCTGTTACGGGCCAATTGTTGTTAATAGAATAAATAAAATTTTTATCAAATAATTTTTCGCCTTCGGTAATGTAAATGATAATAATTGTCACTGATTAACACCAACATTCATCGATAGTGATTTTAGAAGTGATGTAGTAATTACACTGATGCAAAAATGTAGCAAATAAAAATGACACGATATGCGTTAAGCTTGTAATCATAAATCTAATTAAACTGGCACGAGTTTATATAGAAGTTTATTATGATACGCTGACAAAATAAATAATAAATAAAAAATTAGCAGCACCGATTCGAACTTCTTTCTACCCTACGATCTACTGTCACGCGATCCGGCGCATCTTGCGGTTCTTTCCCGTGTGTTTTATCCAAAATTGCTTCTGCTAATTCACTAAACGCTCGGTCGATATTTATATTTGCTTTCGCCGAAGTCTCCATAAATCTGATACCATGCTCTCTGGCTATCTGTAAATTTGATAAATTATTTACATTAACATCATAATGTAACATTCATTTACACAACTTTCCAAAGATAATTGACTTGTATTAATATTATTTATTTTTGGATATTAATAAATACATACTGCTTCTCCTCTCTCTGTGCTGACAACACGTTTATCTTCCATATCACTTTTGTTACCCAAGATCATCTTCTCAACATCTTCATTTGCATGCTAAACATATAATAGCATTAAAAGTAAGCCCATAACAATAAATACTTTGTCTTTTAGCCTTGCACTCACCTCATCAATATTTCTAAGCCACTTAACAATATTTTCAAAGGTTTTTTCATTTGTAATATCATATACAAGCATTATACCCATTGCTCCTCTATAGTATGAAGTAGTAATTGTGTGGAAACGCTCTTGACCAGCAGTATCCCTGTAATCAAAAAAGGTCATTGATAAAATATGCAATTTTAGAGTATAAATATACTGAACATGATGATAAATAACATACCATATTTGTAACTTGATTTTTTTGCCTCTTAATTCTACAGTTTTGATTTTGAAATCTATACCTATTAAGAAGCAGCAACCATTAATGACATATAATTACTTATCTATACTATTATCATTCATAAAAATAGCTTTCAACTAAAAATTCTGTCACAACTTTGATAAATATCACACGAATTAATCAACAGGAAAAAAAACTGTGTGACGTATTTCTAGAAGGAAATTAATATCTCTATAATAATTATAATAAAAGTTACAATCTGTAGCCAAATATTAAAAAGAGGTCATTGATCTTTGCTAAAATATGTACTTACCTATAGTAGAAATGAAGGTCGTAGAAAATGCATCATCGGAAAATCTAAATAATATACATGTTTTGCCAACACCAGAATCACCAATGAGAAGTAGTTTAAATAACAAATCATATGTTTTCTTCGCCATTTTCGATTACTAATAATGATCAAATACACAATCAGAAAAGTTAGCAATGTTATCAGATAGATCACCCGGCAGACTAAAATTCCAACGTTGTTCCGGATAACAATGACTTTAACATCAAACGATGCACTGAGTTTCAGCAACTTCTAATATTTCAAGGTCAATGGAGGGCGCGTCTCAGTCTATACAGTACATAACATTGACGTAGAAACAGTGGATGAACTGGGATGGACTTTGCCAATGAATAAGGGATAAGGAGGAATAAAAACACAATCAAGACATACAATAATGTCTTCTTATGAAGGTTTTGAAGTGCACTAAAGGTCAGTGGTGCTTATTCTTGCACAACACACTTTATAAATATAGCGACATCTAGAAATTGGTATATTCCTATAAATAATTGGAAAGAAAAAATCAAAATGAGAATATAATATTACTTTGTGATAGTACATATATACCTTTTTTATCAACACTGTCTGATTTTATTGAACAGAATGTTGATATGAAAGATGCTTTGATAGTTATTGATAATAGTCGGAGTAGTGATTTTTTATCAACTGTTGACTTTTCTAGGTTCGCCTCTGTTATAATTTCTATTTTATAGGTAAAACATCAACACATGATACCTCAAGAAAAATGGCGCGCATTTATCAATTGTTTGAATGTCCTGCGCAGGTGATAACGGCGCATATTATTTTGAATCTAAATGCTCCTATTGGATAAAAAAAATGGCGAATCTTCGTACGATGTTTTAATGAGAATGAACCTTAGTAGCGCATTAAAGGTTGTCAGAAGAAATGATGGGAAAAACGAAGTTAGCAGAGCAACGTGCTACTGCGTGGTATTGATAGAGGAGGATTTTTTTTCATTTCCTCAGAAAAATACGAAAAATGGCAGCCGAAATGCAGCATCTCGAACCACCAAGCTCAGCTAGTTCAGAAAGGTAGGAAAAAAATTTTCTGTGGTCTATTAGTAAATTTGCCACGTAATAAAGCTTTTCTTATGCACTTCAATCTTCTTCGACGTGTGCATCAACTGGTACGAAATTGATAAAACCATGCAGTGAAATATAATTTTAAATTAATAGACAGATTATATTATGTATTTTAGCGACGGTGATATATGTCTAGAAGATCGTGCTGTCTTCCTTGCAGACGGTGCGAGTGAGGATGGTGATTCTTGTCGGCAAGAAATTCCAAGTCCTTCTCCTCAACCACCCAGACCATCTTCAACTGGTAAGACCACTCACTATTGTTATCTACAATGTTTAAAGTGATTGTTCTCTAGATTAATTTTTCATAACAATCTTATATATGAAATATGCTTGTAATCAATAAAAAATGAAGCTGATGAATATAACTGATTGAGACTAGCTTCAGTTACTTTTATTTGAAAGAATGAAAAAATTGTCTTCATGTATGTTTTTCGAATTAGAATAATGAAGTTTTATTTTTTTTTATTTTTTTAAGGATCACAAAAGTCTCCAAGATCACGAAGGCAACGTACAACGAGTATGTCTCAGTCAAGTAAAAAAACATCAGCCGAGTCTATTATTCGAAGCAAAACCAGAACAATTTATACAGCAGGTAGGCCGGCGTGGTATGACTCAGCTGGGCAGCAAGTGGAGCCATTTGTTATTGGTTAGTTCATTCGATAAATTATTTATTTTTCTAAAAATTTTGAAAATCAAGTATAGAAGATATAAATTCTCCTAGGAATTTGTGGTGGAAGTGCTTCCGGTAAGACTACAGTAGCAACAAAAATAATTGAATCTCTGGATGTACCTTGGGTAACTCTATTGAGCATGGATTCTTTTTATAAAGTAATATAATTTTCAATATCCTCTCCAATTGTGACGAAGTATTGATTTACTCAAGCCCATATTACTTATCTTCAGGTACTTAATGAGAAACAACATGAATTGGCAGCGCGTAATGAGTATAATTTTGATCATCCTGACGCTTTTGACTTTGAATTATTGAAGACGACTTTGCAAAGACTGAAAGAGGGAAGAAAGGCTGATGTTCCTATTTATAATTTTGTTACACATAGACGGGAGAATAGAACTGTAAGATAATTATAATTTCTCTTTCTGTTGTTTAATTTCGATGAAATTCTGATGATTTTTTTTAATTTATAGAAAGTAATGTATGGCGCTAATGTAATTATATTTGAAGGAATCTTGACATTTTATGATGCAGAAGTATTAAAAGTAAGATATATGCCATTAAATATGCCTACAATATCTGCATGAAATTATCAATTATATAAAAAACATTTTTAGATGTGCGATATGAAAGTATTTGTTGATACGGATGCTGATGTTCGACTTGCTCGTCGACTTCGTCGAGATATTTCCCAAAGAGGAAGAGACTTAGAAGGAGTATTAAAACAATACTGTACCATGGTCAAGCCTGCCTATTATTATTATATATCTCCATCCATGGTGCATGCAGACATTATTGTCCCACGCGGTGGGGAAAATGAAGTAGCTATTGAACTTATTGTTCAACATGTCCACACACAATTGCAATTGGTGTGATATTCAATATTATTTTTTTCAGGATCTCATATGAACTTACTTATCAGCTGTTTTATTTTATTTTAGAGGGGATTTAAATTACGAGAAAAGCTCGCACATTCGTACATTGGTCAACCGTTACCGTCATCTGTGTACATGTTACCGGATACTCCGCAAGTAAAAGGACTACATACGTTCATCAGAGATAAAAATACTGATCGAGATGAATTTATATTTTACTCTAAACGATTAATTCGCTTAGTTATTGAATATGCACTTTCATTATTGCCTTTTAAGGTAAAAAGATTATTTTTTATAATTCATTTATTGAAACAAGTGACAAATTTTTTAATAAAAGATTTTTGTGTAGGAAATAACGGTAGAAACTCCTCAAGGAATTCCTTATGTTGGAAAAAGAGGAGCCACGGATAAAATATGTGGAGTATCAATAATGCGAGCAGGGGAAACTATGGAGCAAGCGTTATGTGATGTTTGTAAAGATATTCGTATCGGAAAAATATTGATCCAAACTAACCTTCAGACTGATGAGCCTGAGGTAGTTATGACGTTATCAAGATAACAATTAGCTGAATAACTAGTCTTTATCTTCTATCTGTTTAAAAAAATTTTATATTTTTAGCTTTTCTATCAACGATTACCCAAAGATATTAAAGATTATCGAGTAATTTTAATGGATGCTACTGTAGCTACTGGAGCAGCGGCAATGATGGCCATCAGAGTATTATTGGATCATGATGTTGATGAAGAAAACATTTTTGTTGTATCACTCCTTATGGCAGAACCTGGTGTGCATTCAATTGCTTACGCATTTCCTCGTGTAAAAATTGTTACATCAGCACTGGACCCTGAGATTAATGAAAGATTCTATGTCTTACCTGGCATTGGAAATTTCGGTGATCGGTATTTCGGTACCGAGCCTGTTGATCTAGAGTGAATAAGCATTGGTTTTTTTTATCGATTGTAAATAATCTTATTACGTTTCTATCAACGTCTCTATTCGTGAATCATTACAAGTAAAGTTGGAGGATTTAATAAATTTCTCATTTATCTTACCATGAATTTTTATTTTACTCTTGATAACATTTATAATGGAGTAGTGCTAATATCCTGATGACCGCTAATATCTGGTTCAATAACATTTGGTCGAAGTTGGCGATATCCTCGAAGACTGGCTCTACGAGAACGTCGCCAGTTGTCTAAGTTATTGTTTGGTTGTCCAAGAAGATATGTAACTAGCCGATCAAGTGCTGCTAAATCTTCACTAGTACTTTCAGCAGTTCCTAAGGTTTCAGGTGGGTGAGCTGGCACTGTGCTGGCTACATCTTTATTTTTAAGTCCAAGATCTTCTCCAATAACTTTTTCTAGAGGCCCGATATTACCAGCCAGACCCAGTCGTGGAACAATCTATATATTTACGATATTTAATATCTTTAGTGTGAATATTACATACAATTTTTTTTTAATAAATAAAAATTACCTCATCTGGACCATGCTGACCATAACTGATTCTTTTAACTTTTCTAAATGTTTCGTCATTCATCGCTTCTTTAACAGCTTCATTAAGTGTACGTTCCAAGGCTCGTTGTTTGCTTTTACTTAAGCCCTCATAGTAGCTGTTGAAAACATTTCTTTATGAAGTCTTATATTTAGAATATTTCTAAAACTGCGTAAATGATAAACAATAGTGCCAAAACCTTGAATCCATTGAGCTATTATCTCGTGAAGTATTTTTATCGCGGACCACACGAATATCGTGTTGCCAAAATCTTCGCAATTCTGGTGTAGAAGTATAAGGTGCAGCTACCTCTTTAATCTGCAATAAATTAAATATATATCATAATAATACAAGTCTATCAATTACTTTTAGTGAATGGAATATCATCAATCATATATAAACTAATTTAGTTTTGAACCTTCAAAACAATTATCGCTGTTATAAAAATGCACATGACATTGATAAATGTGAGACACGCGCTGATGATGCCATTGCAGAAAAATTCAACTGGTAGATAGTCAGTATAGATGTATACATATGAAGTATTGAAATCAGTATACGATTCTCCTTTCATATGGGGCATTTTTATTGGTCTGTAAATCAACCAGATGCATCCCAAAGCCCAGAAGAGTCCCTAAAAAATAATTGACTGCTTGTTTTCTTCATATTTAACTTCCTAGTGGGAAGTTATTTTATATTGATACTAGAGACTTTATTGATCTGTCATTAAAATTTAGCTCACGCAATTCACAACCGGAGGTAATAGAGAAGCAGAAATTGCAACACCTATTAATGGACCATTACTGCCTTGGAGAAGAGCTACTGCTACACCTGTACCTGAAGGTAAAGCCCATAAAACTCCCATCCATAAAGATCTATAATTACCCCTAAACCAATAGAAATTAAAAAATTAAATGTTTACTGATTTTAAGTTGTTTTCTAATGACTTATTATGATATTTTTTTACTCAATATACCTTCCTTTCATTTCATCTGTTGGCCAATCATTATAACCCCACGGCATTTCTGTAGTACCAAGAATTAAGCCAAATATAAAACCAAATAGAATAGAAATAAATATTCCAAGAAATAAACTTTTGAGGCCAACACATACTAGATCTTTATCAGCGATTATTGTGCCAAAGGTTAAAGACATGACAGGCCCCTTTAATTGAATTTGAATATAAAAATTAGTCATCAGATCAATGATCTCCATTTATGGTTGAAAAATAAATTATAATACCATCAATGGTGATACTAGCATAGCAGCAACAACATTGGTTGCACTGTTTTCGACCAGACCAAGAGCAGCTAAACAACTAATAATTTATTGAAAAATTAAGTAAATAATAATTGTAATAAAAATTATTAGTACTGTGTAAAACAAAAATATTACTCTGCAGTCAAAACTAAAATTATGTAATCAAAAGTTAAATCTCCACCACTTCGAACTCCGTCAACGACTTGTTTAACTGTCAGCTTGGATCGAACAGAATCAACAAATGCTTCCCATGCATTACGACGATCTTCAGCATCTTTTTTCCTCATAGCAGCATCCGCTAATGCACCTGCTGTTCCTGGCTTTCGCATTGCACTATATGTACATTGCGTTGGTATGACACTAAAAATATAGATATTCATATTATTTCAAAAAGTTTAAATATTTTAAAACTTTCATTGCTTTACTTTCTAAGTAAAATCAAGATTACAATTACCTTACAATTGAATTCATTCGTGTTCCAATGCCCATTTCTGTCAAACAATGTAGACAGTTTTCACAAGGTTCTCCAGCAGGAACTGGAAAAATCACTTCGTAATACATATTACCTTTGTCTTTACACCAAACCACATGCTCTACTTTTAATTTTTTTAATAACTCATCTAAAACCTAAAATATTATTTAAAATGAAATTTTCTCGTGTTGATTTTTATTGGGCAATTATTACCGTTTCCATTGGAACAAAAACAGGATTATTATTAGATTTAGCACCACCTGGAGAAGATAATCCACGAAGTCGAGGTTTTTTGATTGAATTAAAAACTTCATCTTCATCAACTTCTACTTCTTTGATTTCATCATCATTATCATCATCATCGTCATCATCTCCAATCGTAATAAGTTGATTGCGACTTTTACTTTCTTTTAAACGAAGATCTACTTTTTGACGATTCTTCAGAGATTTTTCATTTTTCTTCGATAATTTTACAGGAATACCAAACACTAATTCATGTTCGTAGGACAGAGTTGGGATGCAAACAAGAAATACAACACCTCCAGGCATTTTGATTTTTTTAGAAAACTAATACATTAATTAATTTATTTTTTAATGTACTTATTTAACTTAAATTTAATTTTTATTACTCCAATTTCACTCACTCCTGATCGATAACTAAATGTTCAATATATTCTTCATTGACTGTTTGTACCTGTCTTTTTATCGTTCTTACAACTTTCTAATTAACTCTAAAAGGATAATCAAATTTCATACGAATGTTAATTATACCTACAAGGTAACTTACATCTTCGATCTACATTCCATCTTCTTTAGATCACGGACTTACAAGTAATTTAGAGATCAAAGTCATAAAGGTTAAAGGTAAGATTTGAAAAAAAGTTGATAGGAATAACAAGTTTTTTATTATCTAGTACATGTAAATATACATTGTTAATTATTTCATTCAACTTAAATATTCTTTTGTACGATAAAAAATAAATCTGTAAAATTAGTGTGATAATAACAAAAGACCAATTATACAAAAATAAACATAATTATGATTTCAAAAAATATTGTGTTCATGCAGGAACTCGAGAAATATATTGAAAAGGATTATGCAATGTTTCATCGTTGTAAATATTCTCTTCTTCATCACTAAGAGCTATTTGAGAATCATCTGCTTCATCTAAATCAATTACGAATTCGCGATTTCCCATCAATGTATTCAAACACATTTTCTGTTTTTTTATGTGCATTCGAACAATCGTATCCAATGCGAATAAATGATCGTCTTTCGCCTCAGGCACATATCGGCGCATAAAATCCGCTAATCTACAAAAAAAAGATACAAATTATCAGACTGATAAAATTCATTAAGGATTAATTGAAGCTCTTGACATGAATGTAATTAATTACGAGAATAGTGAATACCTATAATACTATTTTTCATTTTTTTTCAATAATATTATTAATAATCATCTACTTTAATTTATCATAAAGCAAATGATCAATTAACATTAAACTGTATGATTATGCATTTATTTGAAACATGTAAGATAATGAAGATCGATGGAATCAATAAATTGTCGACGAGAAATTATTATTGTAATTTGCAAATTAAGTAATAGTTAACCTTTTAGTTATAACTTAATTAGTATGATAATTAATGCATTATTCAACTCATTTTTATTTATTATCATTTTTACTTTTTTACGTCATATAGATAAATTAACCATTTTCATTAACAATATACCAATATAAGCAATTAAATTTTCATTAAAGTAGTATTTTTAATCATGATAAAACTGATATGATAAAAGAATGATATCTATAACCGTTTCAATAGTACAGACAGCTAATTTATTATACATAAATTGTCATGATTAATCAAATGACAGATTAAATAAACTAATGAATAATATAATAAATAAAACCTTTAATAAGACCAAAGTCTTATTATCTTAAAAAACTTTGTATTGTTATGACTGAAATTCAAGTATTTATTTTAATTCTATTCTCACCTAAGAAGGTATTCTACATTGTGTCCACTTGGTCCTTTGCATTCAATAATTTGCTTCGCAATATCATGAAGAGGAGCATCGCCAAGCCATTGATCATTTTTACTTGTAGCAATGTAAATGAGCGCTGGAAAAGCCGATTTTCCATCACGAGAATAAAAAGTGGTGATCGCGGTAAGATATCCGCCCAGATTACATTCACGTTGCTCTAAGTAAGGAAGTGCACTGATATCTTTTATCTTAAAAACTCGTCCATAAGTTATTTCCTGGAAATGAAAAAATTTCTTAATTGTTTGCAAATAAAAATAAACAATAATAAAAAAACACTTTTCAGAAAACGGAAAAATAAATACCTTATCACTCTCGATGAGCGTTACAACTCGGCCAGGCTAAAAACAAAAGAAATTTGATGATTAATAAGAATTAATAAACAATGATAAGTTTGTTTAAATTCACTAAAACTATTCTTAACTCTATAAATTTAGACATTTTCATATAGACTTTGTTACAATTTACATATGTGATGAAGTGATCTGAATATTAATAGCTGAATGTGTGATAAAAAAATACATGAGGAACAAAGTGTTTGGAAATAGCTTGGGAGATTCCCATATAGTTTATTATTAAGTCAGTTTACTATGAAAATATAATCATTTGAGTTTTTTTTTATAGATTAATACAATAAAAAAAAAATACCTTTTCTAAAGTACCACGATGTGTAGTATTTCCTTGCCAAAATCTTCTGCCGAATCCCTTAATGAAGCCAACCGTGCTCCGTTCAAATTCAAATCCAGGGTTCCAACATAAAGATCCATATCCAAAAACCCAAATCCCATTGGTTTCCGTCATGATGAATCAATTTCAAAAAATCAAGTATATGTTCAATAATATAAAATCGCAATAAAATAAAAAATGTAAAATTTCTGTAGTATTTACAAAATACTATAAAATAAATCAATCGACTAATTTTCTAATAGTAATTGCCATAAATTAAGTTGAATGATACCCTCAACTGTTTTTCGACCGAGGACTTCCCGCCAACTTGGAGCGGATAACACCCATCTATGTAATTATTTGAAGAGCAATTCGTTGAACGACAGTTGATGTTCAACTAACATCAATGTCACTACCTTCCTCGAGCTTTAAAGCTTTTGCTTTCCTCGTCTTTTTCAATTCTATCTCTTTTCTAGTTGATGAAAATACAGAAAGGATTAAATAGAAGCAGGTGATCAGGCTTCGTACATTCTCTAGTTTTTTTCTGCTACCTTTTCTCTCTATTGTTTTTCTTGAACACGTGTCATGCTCGGTCTTCAATTGTTGATGTTATTAATCAAATGTATAAATTACAATAAGATATATACGTTTTAATTATCCAAAGTCTCAAACAATCGTAAAATACTTTTCCGATCACGTTTAAATGTCATTCTCTTTTTAGCCATGTGGAAAGAAAGCAGCCGCTTCATTACACGATTTTCTTTGATCCGAAATTTCACAGGTGAAAACAGAATATTTTTTTTCTTTGTTATTCTTCCTTTAAAGTTCATTCCTGCTTAATCAAGTAACTTATTGATAAAAGTTTTTATACTTTTTTCACTGCTTTGTATCACAGAGTTCAATATTTTAGTAACAACTCTAACAATTTACTGTTAGACAGCCACAACCTGAACACAATACTCTGAGAAATGAACACATTTTTAGTCGATACAACGTTAAAATTAATACTGTGAAAAATATTCGTCACTTATTTTTATTTAGTTAGACTTAATTATATAGAATATAGCCTCAATTTCAGAATTTTATTTAAAGCTTTAATAATTTCAGAAAAATACTTTGGTGTACTAAAAGTTTCAGCCAAGATTCGATGAATGTCTGACGTTTATTGTTACACTTTGCCTCACCTCTGCTTGTGGGGATTGCGCAGAAGAGAGTTAAAGAAAGCAAACCACCAAAGAAAGAGAGAGCAAGGTGATGATGCTCCACGTGTAGTGGGGGAAGCGCTTCTGGATGATGAAATACTCGAATAAAATTGACGTATTCAAAGCACGTGTTTATATTTATCAAGTTATAAAATATATAACAGATAAATTATAATACAATTGATTGGAATTTGCCTAATTTACATACATAGATATCAAAAGATAAAAATACACAGAATCAAATTAAACAAAGCATACAAGATATTTAATGACATTATTTACCATAATTACATACTTTTAAAACTCGAATGACATAATCAAATGAATTTTTTAATACATGCTACTATAAAAAAGTCATGGATATGTATCTGTGTAAAATCAATGATATAAAATGTTATTATGGCTCGATAACACGTCCTGCAAAAAGCATACTACTGCTATGTCGATCAACAAGGAGGAATAGAAAAGGTCGATCTGCTCGAAATGTTTCTAGAGTTGATCCTATCAAAGGGACTACTGAAAGGCCTGAAAAACGAAATTCATTACTATTAGTTTACGAAATAAAAATGAAGATTATCGTATTAAAAACTAATGATATTTAAATTGAAATTTAATTCTTTTAATGAAGAATAGATGTGATATAATGTCTAATACATTTTCTCATGTAAATTGAATAATTATGGGTAATTGTTTTATTTCTATATATGTCTCAAAAAAAATGATCATTAGAATTAAAAAAAGTTTTTTCAAGGTTTTTTTGATACAATAAATGGTACTAATTTAGGAATTCCCATAAAATTAAAAAAAACATTATGTCATTCAAGTGAATGATGATAAAAATTATTTGTTAATTTTATTATAAGATGGTTTGGATTCACACATATTAACCAGTTAATTTAAAAAACTACACAATCGTCCATTATATTTTACATACTTGCAATTATATAATGGAATTGTAATTTATAAAATCATTAGTGAAGTTATCGTATAATTTTCCCGTATTTTTTGCTTGACATAATGAAAAATTTATGTTAATAAAAAAGCAACAACAAATTAAATTGAAAAATAGAGAATTTATATTACTTTGAGAGATGATTCTTTTTTTCAATGAAAAAGTAGAAATTTTTTTCATATCATAATATTTTTTATAATTTTTAAACTAATGATTAATTGATAATATTCTAAAGTATGTATTTTTTTTTCAACAGAGGATATATTTACCTGTGACAGCAGCTGCAATAGTACCTGTCTCACTGACTTCAATTTTGGCATTATGAAAAACATTTTCCACTCTAGCTTCACCATCGATTAAAATTCCAGTGAAATTTGCACTATAACTGAAAAGGTCTCTGATTCCCATCTGAAATTTATTGTTATTTTTATTCACAAACTTACTAATTAATTAATACAAATTGATTGATAATCTAAAAACTTGTTTTTACATTTTCTAGAGCTGGTCGAAGATCTGTCTTGCTTTCAATTGTAAATCTGGGCAATTGAAGAATCAATTCTGTATCCTGAAGTGTATTCATTATTGTGCTAATTGATACATAAGCAATATCTTTGGAAAGAATCAATAGACTCCTTAGTCCTTCTCTATGTGGTAGTAAAATCAGCATGGAATATTTTCCATCCTGTAAAAAATACAAAAATGCTTCATCATAATTTTGCCTTCGCTTAAGAGGATTAAGATTTTTTTAAATAACTTACAGAATAAGGAATTTCGACAATATCTGCTTTAAGTTCAGGGATCTCTGCATAACGATAGTGAGAAACACTTTCCATCATAGGTACTTCTTTACAACCACGATTAGGAATGTTGAAACAACGATCACGAGTAAGATTAATGTCGAAAGCTTCCATCCAATTTCCCTTAAAATACAATGCCGATGTCAGTAATATTTGAGTGTTTGGATTGAGTGAGTCTGTAATGTTAAAATGTGAAAGTTCTATTAATATTCACGTTGAAATTTAGAAATATCAGATAACATTTCTAACTACTTACTTGGATGAACAACTGAAAGAATATGATGTCTAGTATTCTGTTTAACCCATTCATTAATCATTGCTGCAGATGTAATGGTGTTGAGAAAAACAACGTTTTTTGTATCACCTCCATAATTCATACGAAGAAGATTATTATACATATCAGAAAACGGAGCAGTTCGTCCAAGCCAGAGACGATTAGCTAAGTGAATTTCAGTCCCATTTCTCGTACTCTAGATAAATCATAATTCATCAATTACCAATTATTTAATTCATTGAAAGTAAAATAGATAGATACTAAGTAATATTATACCAATAACGACAAAAGCAATTGTTTAGAATTCGCTCGAATCTTTAAAATATCTGTAGGCAATCTCAAGGTCGATACCAGTTCATCACGTGTTATACCACCTGTTCCCTCTGATAAAATTGTCAATGCAGATTTTACACTGAAAGGAGAAATGACAATGTTTCCTGTGTATATATCACTGGCTGCCTGAAATTATTAAACAAAATAAATGATATTTTTATATTGATTTATTTACACGAAATTCATTCATCTAAAAGTAATTTTTGAAAGCAATAAACATCTTTATATTTAGAACAAAAATATTTTAATCAGTACAAGGATATTTTATTTATCTTTATTAAAAAGACATAAAATGTAATTATTTACCTGAAGTAGTTCAATGTCAAAGAAATTGGACCGTTCAACGTTTGAAAGACTTGGATTAATCATAAAAGTGTGAGCTAAAACACAAAGAAAATTTATAAAACATTAATCCAATGATAATAATTATAACTACATTCATCTAGATTAAATAAGCTTTAATAATTATACCTGAAATTGTCTTAATAAGACCCAAAATTATAAATAATGGCGTCATCATGATTAAAAAATTTTTTTATAATTTAGATAAAAAATTTAAACAAATCCACGAATTAATCACGAATATTTATGTCTTATTGAAACTTTTGGTTTATAGTGCTCACTCGTCCTACTGTAAATAACAAACACTCACGACCCAATGCAGATTATAATTTGATAGTTGACCAATCTTCCCAAATAGCTTTGAATAACTGATGTTTCCCCTTCCTTCATGACTTTATTATTATCATTATTTTTAATTGTTTTCACCTTTAATCTCAAAACATTTTCTCTAAATTTATCTATCAGGATATAAAATAAATGACCATTTTATTTTTCAACAAATTTCAATGTTATCTCATTTGATATGACCTTGATAAACAATTTTATCTATTGACTGAACTCGTGGGAAATTCCTCACTTTGGGATTACGTCAGTTTATCAAACAAGTTTTCATATGTTAACATTAGACAGGAGTAGCAAGTTTGGTGTATTCAACAAGGTGATAACTACTAATGGCAAAACAATTTATTGAACTGAATCATTATTGATTTAAACTGGATAAAAACTTTGTTTATAATATTCAAATAAATTTTGTTCACTTTCACTTTAGAATCAATGTATTTCCAAATTTTTATCGCCCAGAATATATTGATGTATTCGAATAAATAAAAAGATTTGGATTTTATTTGTTTTCAATTAAATTTTTTACCATTCTGATTTTCAAATGATTCATCTTTTTCAGGAGTTGCCGTAGATTGTTCAGTACTTCCACTAGACTCCAAAGGATTAGTAACTCGTCCCATATAAAGGATAGTTCCAGTAATTTCATCCTCAATATAAAATGCAAAAGGATGGTCGGCATAAAACTGCTGGTCTGTTACTTTATTTCCAATATTAACTTCTACAAAAAATATATATTTCAAAATTTAAATAAAGATTTATGACGAATAAATACGTATGATTTATCAGTCTTTCTGAAGACTTACAATTAAGTTCATTCTTAAAACTGTATCATGAAAATTCTATTTTGATTTATGATTAACAAGCGAGAAAAATGCATATTTAATTTTCTTCATAGTCTTTATTCTATTTATTCGTCATAGATTTTATTTTTTGTCTTACCTGTTGCTGCATAAGCAGAGGTACCTTTCTCATCTACCTCGATTCCAGCTTTCTGGACAACATCAGTAACATATAAATGTTGATTACGTTTAGCTTTGGCTATACCTGTGAGTATAGCAGTGTTATCAAAAATATCACGAATGCCTAGCTAAAAATTGATAAAACATAATTTTCGTTAACTAGTAAAATAGTTAGTAACTTAATAGATAATCAAAAAACATTTTGCAAATTACTTCTCTCAGTACAGATTCTAAATGACTTGTAAAGTCAAACTTGAATTTAGGAATGGTCACTTCTACTGGTAACCTTTGCATCAACCAGACATGTCTCGTTAATGTAAATGGATTCATGTTTTTAATTAATTGATCCAATCCGTCAATAGTTCTTGGTAAAATTAAATACATTGCAAATTTATGACCCTGTATAAATCATAAATGACAATCTTAGATTATGAAAATGGTAATGATATTAAAAATTGGTAAATGATTTGATTCTTTACAATGTAAGGAATTCGAAGAATTTTAGCATCGAGTTCAGAAGATTCAGCATAATAAAAATCTCCGACTGCTTTAATGTATGTTACATTGGTATTGTTTTGAGCATCTTGGTGAAAGACATCAATCCTTGTTTTATTAGGTAAAAATTTATTTCCATACCATAGACCTTTGAAGTACAGGACATTCATCACCAACATTATAGAATCTTTTATGCTATTTCCTGCAAAATATAATAGCAATAAAAAAACGGAAATACTTTATAAAAGAGCAAAATGATAAAAATCTTGACTCACCGTCCTCAATCATTTTTTCAATATTTCCGCTTGTAAAATTTTTTACCCAGTTGTTAATGTTGTTGACGGTAGACTGAGCATTAGTAAAATTACTAGAAACAATGTCTGTGCCATAAAATGTTTTAACAATAGCAGCATAACTTTGTTTCACAGATACATTTTGATTCATATAAATCCTAGTGCCAATATTGAGTTGATAATCATCAGAATGTGACTAAAAAATTCAATGCATAAATGAATTGCTTTTGTTTATTAAATATACAATGAATTAACTACCTGAAGAGATCGAATAATCAACGAAAACTTTTCTCTTGTAGCCCATTGTCCTACTGGTAATTGCATAACTCCTGCTAATTCGTGAGCAGTTTGGTCCTGAGCTCCCTCATATAATAAAACTAGTGCGAGTTTCAAGGACGCAGGAGAAATCAAAATATTTCCTTGATATTTTCTAGCTAACAGCTAAAAATTTATATAAGTGTTTATTTAAAGTCTAAGTCAAATATTAGTTTTCATTTTATCATTACATGTTCATCACTTATTGTTTTAATAATTTATTCAACAATTAATGACTCTAGTGTCTAGTTTTTACCTTGTATAAACTCCAGTCAAAAACACTGAAGCGTTCACCTTGGTATGGAATAAAAATATCATAGTCTTCTGAAATAAGTTGCTTTGAAGGTTTTAATGTAGAATTGTCTGATAATTGCCGGAGGTTTTTATTAATCCTGTCACTTGAAATAATTGATATGTTGAAGAAAAAAATGCTGAGACCAATCCACACTAAATAAATAAATAATAAAATTTTTTTCTATATTCAATCAATTCATAATTATTTTGAATTATCAATTATTACTGTTAGTTTATAATAGATTATTTTTATTATCAAAATAATAAATGTTTAGTATCAACAACGATTGAACAAGAATCATAATATGTTACCTAAAGATAGTACTCTCATATTTGATGACACTCAAAGTCACTCAATATCAAAATTCAATTTTTTAGAATTTTTTTCAAGTTTTATATTATATCAAAAGTAACCGTGTGTTCACGGGACTTTATACACAGTGGTATTGACGAGTATTATAATATAAAACCGGCCTCGCGGTCGTTGGTCGCGCCAGAGATGGTCAATCATAGAGTAGGAGAAGGCGAAAAGGAAGGGACGAGGGAAAACCCAAGGAAGAAACAAAAAATGATTATGATAAGAAAATACGTAGAATGGAGATGGTTGATTGAGTTTAGAAGATTTATTTAATATTCACTAACTGAGATCACCACATTATAAAAGGTTTAAAATTATTCTGCCTTAAACTACATAATTTTTACGCATAATTTGTAAAAAATATTAAAATTATAAATTTATATTTAGTTGTCGCTTAATCTTTTCACCATTTCAAAAGATATTTATTTTTGATTAAATGTCTTGAATTGAGAATATTTTTCAATAGCTTTCATTGCAAATTCTGTTACAGCATCTAAGTTTTCTGGAGTTATGTAAGCACGAGCCATCTCCGTTACTTGTTCTTTCACCTGTAAATTAATTAATGGATAATTAATTTCAATATCTAAGTTGGTTTAAATTAACCTACTTAGTAAATATAGTAAATAAATTGTAAGAATTACCTGGTGTTGGCTCAAATTAAGACCAGAAAATGAAATGGTACAGAAAGGGGTGAATGTGCACAGAGAAGTAGTAAGTATCAATCCAATCATTGAAATTACAGCGAATTGAAAAACAAAAATTATTCCTTTAACTCCGTAGGCTAAAGCTAAATGTCCAAAGGGTATCAAGCGACCGGTGACTGCTGAAAACCAACTGCTAGCATAGCGAGGTGGTGTAGCAGATATCAGTTCATTTTGTGGTTTCTTTGGAGCTTCCTCAGAATAATTAGAAGGTACATATTCTGGATATGTTGGATAATAATATTGTTGATGAGGTAATTGTGGTACTTCTGACTGCGATGGAGTAAACACTGTGCTACGGAGATCACTAGATGTTGAAGGGTTGGATAGCGAATGCTCTGAGGAGGGAGTTGTTGGCTCTGGCGCAGAAGTGATTGATGCTCCAAACGCTTTGGTCGTTAGAATTATTACGAAGAGGGATATTCTGTACATCGTGAATGTTATCTAGAATTAAAAAAAGCATAATATGTAAATACTTCGTTAAGAGTAATTAATAAGAACAATTGATATTTATTTCATATTAACAAATAATTTAATACTTACAAGTCACTATTTTAGCTGGTAAATTAAATTAACAAGTTTATCTACTTAAATTTTAAAACTTCAAGTATACGTGCACTGTGAACTGCAAAATCTCTACTGACCTGTTGACTTAGACCTTCAGTAGCTTTTATACCCTCGGAAGATTTCTTGCTGTTTCAGGTAATAGTCTATACTCCATGAGTATAATAGTTTTCTTTGAATTTTTTCAAATGGTCAATCTTTCTTAAAAATTGTAAGCATGACCAGCAAAATATCAACCGACCGCGAAAATTGGTTTCTAGTACTTATGTTTGCTGATCGGTTTGAAGATAATCCTAAGAATTTTTTAAAAACGACAAAGAAAATTTCGTCTGAGACAGATGAAATAGAAAATAGTTTTTAAATTGAGTGAGACACAAAATTTATAAAATTGTAAACAACATATATGATGATTTTTATTCAAATTAATTTTAACAATCACATAATAAATAATTTTTTAAAAATAATATTCAATTATATCATATCAAAACTATGAATATTAAAATTTTTTTAAACATAATAAATAGATGAAAATTTAATGATTGCCGCGACATAAGAACATTCTATATATGTACATGGCTTGCTTATTAAATATCCAATTATTTGGAATACCATTATTTTTTTAATAACATTGATTCTTCAGCAATTTGTGCTCGCAGATTTTCCATTTCATCTTCACTAGTATCATCACATTGAGCTATTCGTTTTCGCTTTGAGCGAGATCCACTTGAAGTAGAATCTCTTCGTTTTCGTTTCTTTTTCTCTAGTTTTTTTTCGATTACTTCTAATATAGATATTTCATCTGAGGATATTTTTTCTTCTGAAATTTCTTCATCTCCTACACAGAATGAATCCTAAAAAAATAGTAAAATAAGTCATATACTGTACTTGTTTATTTTCTTCAAATATTTAATCAATTAGTAAAAAACTTACATTAACATAAGAATTATTCTGTTCTTCAACAACTTGGGAATATATTTCAACGTCAGGCTTTAATGTCCTTGGCTGTTTAATTAAAAATTTCCCAGGCATCTTTGGACTTTTCAAACTTTGCAAATAGTGTGTTCTCATATCAACACTCTGGTCAGGATATTGAGTATGACTGATAAAATCATCAAGATCTGAATCATTTGTATCTTCATCAGAACTTCCTATTGAGCTATCACATGAAACATCAGCTTCATCATCAATAAATTCATTTCTTCGTCGCTTTGTATTTTTTTGTCTTCTTTCTTTTTTACGTTTTTTTAAGTTATCAGAAGAGAAAGGTCTTTTCCGTTGAATCCATGGAGAATTCATACCTGAGGTCTTTGAAGATTCTGGAGCAAATTTTTCCGGGACAGCAAACTTAGTCTTGGGATTTGTTATCGACATGGGTTTCGAACTGTCACTCTTTTGAAGAGTTAATTTATTCTCTACTGAGGTCGATGAATCACTCGGTCTTTCATTATTTCTTAAACTCACTTTTTCTATTTTCGTTGGTAAAAAATCGTCGTCTGAACCAGAGTCCCCATGAGTTGGTTGTATAGAATTTGTTGAAAAAATTTTACGAAAATTACGTTTGGGTTTATTTATCTTTGAAGAAGTATCTTGAGATTGCGTTTTAGATGTCGATAACCAATTAGGATAATTTTTTTTTGACTCAGTAAATTACCATTAAATTTCAAAGTATTGTCTTGTTGAGAAACGTTCGATTTTTTAAAAGAAGCAATGTCAGAACTTTTTTCAAAATATTTTGATTCTGTAAGTGGTGCAGGTGGTACTTCAAAATCACTACTCCAGTCACAATCATCTAAAAGAGTTTCATCCACATCATTTTTCTCAATAGATTTTGATGACGCATGATTTTCGTCGTTAAGATTTTTCTTTTCATCCTGTATTTTCTCTAGAGGTTTATTCTTTTCTAGTTGTTCTGAGTTTTCTCCTTTTTCTTCGTTTTTCTCATCACTTGTATCACAATTTTCAATAGCAGTTATTTGGTCTTCAAAGTCTGAATCAGCCAAAAGACTCTCAACACCAAACATGTCATCATCTGAAATATGAAGACTCTCATTGTCATCCTCGTTGGGTTTTTCATTTTTAATATCAACAGGTGTTTTAGTATGATTTTTTACATGCTTTATTTCAGCAGAAGATTTCGAAAGATCTGGAGATTTTTCTCTTTGGAAAAGAGAAACACGTTTTTTAGTAGCTTGTACTTCTTTTGCCATCTTAGAGCTTATTTCAGAAAAATTTAAGTTTCGTCGTGAGCTGACTACGTTTGGACTAGAGGTTACCATAGTACTAGAAAGTAATCTATCATTTTGTGCATCTTCCAATGCACTAAAATCACTACTGAACTCGATATTAAAAGGACTATCTGGAGTTTGAACTTTTTTTGTAAGTGCCTTGGTTATCAAAGGAGTATACTTTTTATTGGGCAATTTATTTTTTGGTGAAATTATTTTTTTTTCTTCTATTACTTTAACAGGTGAATCTTCATCAAGGATTTCTATGATACTGTCATCAGTGGAAGTATTTAATAAGTCTTCAAACGCACCATTTTCAACAACTGAATGTGATAAGTCAGGAGCTTCAGAATGATTTTCTTCCTTAATATTAGTAGTTTCTGTTTGGAAAGCACAATTTTCTTCGTTTACTGTGAGTTCTATACGTTCTATAGTAGGCAAGGTATCATCAGGACAGTACATCGTTTGATCAGAATCCCATGAATCATCCAATAAATCTTCAAATTGACCTTTTGGTAAATCTGTATCTTTTGGACATGGAGAATATTCCGTCTGATCAACGTTATTTGAAAATTCAATTGGTTCCCAATCATCGTTCATGTAGAAGTCATTCTTTGGACTTTCATGAACAGTGGGCATATATTCTTCCAGCGATTCGAGACAGTTCAAAATTTGTAAAGATGGGATTTCAAAATCTGCGAAAGGATCTATATTATCTTCACAATCCTGCGACATATATGGAATATTTATTAATATGTTACTATAGACTAGATCTTTTAATGATTCCTTCATGGCACATAAAGTTAGAAATTCAACTGCCGCTCTGTCAGATGATATAATTTTAGCATCTGATAACTTTACTTTAGGAACATTTTTTGCTTTTGGTAATACAATTTCAGTTTGAAATGTTTGAATTTCTTCTACCCTCATTTCAGTCATTTCATTATCTTGAATACTCGATAATAAACAAGGTTTCGACTGTAAAAAGTTCATCAATGATGGTTGATTTTTTTTCTTTACATTAGAACTATCACTTTGAATCCATTTATCGATTCCTGAACTATCATTGTCAATTTGTTTTGAATTTTTTTTATCAACTTTAGACTTTTGTTCTCTAGATTTCTTGGATACTCCAGTTTTTCGTTTGGCCTTTCCTCGAGGAGTAACAGGAATGACAGTTATACGCATTTTTAGACATTCTGGATTGAGGTCCGACGGTACCATACGAGGACTTACATTGTCTAAAGCACTGATTATACCACTAGATCGAAGAATTTTCATATTAAACGTATCTTTTCTTGAAATTGCCGATTTTAATTCATGATTTTCTTTTCCTTCAGTCACTAGAGCTATTATTCTACCATCTCGTTTTCTACCTGTTCTTCCCATTCTCTGTATTAATCGAGTTGTTGAATGTGTTGCATTATCGAAACAAACAATCAAGTCTACTTCACCAACATCTAGACCCTCTTCTCCGACAGACGTTGAAATTAAAACGTTGACTTTATTCTGTCGAAAATCATTTAAAGCTTGTTTCTGTTCTTTTTGCTTCAATCCTGCTTTGGATTGTCCAACGAAAATTTGTGGTCTCACCAAAGGTTGAAATTGTAATAACAATACATAAATCTCATTTACACTATCTCGGAATTCAACGAAAACAATAGCTCTGGTATCAATTTTTTTATTAGCAGCATTTTGGAAATGTTCTGCCAATATGTCTTTCAGTTTGAGAAATTTATCATGACCAAATTTAATATCATCAGGAATTTTCATGACACCAGTGTTTATTATTGAAGCTACATTTGGAAATGGTCCTAAATATTCTTCTATTTCTTTTATTAAAATTTCTAAATCAGGCACTTCCTTAAGCCAATATTTGTCTGAGTGAGTTTGGTAGAAATTCCAAAACGCTCTCAAGCCATGATTAGTCATTAATTCTTTAGCATAAACCATTGTATATACAATACCTATAGTCTTTTGAACGTTACCATTAACAAATGAGTTTTTTGCTCTTTTTTGTAGGTCTTGACGAGCCATAAATATTCTTCCTTTAGATACATTTTTTAGAGGACAACTTAGAATTTTGTTTTGTATTAGTACTCTATAGTATGGATCAATTATAGATAAATATCGTTCATAAAAAGAGGATAATTCATTACCCAAACTCACTGGAACAATATCAAACTTTTTTTCATTCACATATGGAATGATATCGGGCGAACAATCGTCTCTTAGTTCTAGATGACTAATATGAAGATTTCTTATAACTTCTTGAACAGCATCCAATTTACTTCCTGGGGTCGCAGAAAGAGCTAAGACTCGAAAGTACGGATTATTTTCATGCAGCATACGAATACTTTCACAGTATGCATATTTACCCAATGCCTTATGAGCCTCATCAATAACTACACATTTAATTAAGTCCATAGGCACAATATTTTTCTCTAAATCTTTTTGAAAAGTTTGTGGAGTCGCGAAAATAACTCGCTTTTTAGTCCAAGCTTGTTGTCGTTGTTGTTGGTTAACTGTTCCAGTTAATTCGATTGTCTCACTTATAGGAATTCCCATAATATCGTGGCAAGCATCAATCTGTTGAGCAACAAGCGGTTTCGTTGGGGCAAGAAAAATAATAATGCCCATTGGATACCATCGCCAAAAATTATACATCACAACGGCGGCTATAAATGTTTTTCCTAATCCAGTTGGAAGACCCACCAAAGTGTTATGAAATAATGCTGTTTTGACAATCGCAAATTGATATTCACGAAGTGGATAATTCTCTGGATATATCCATCTTTTACCCGCTGATATGTCAAAACCTTTTGTACTAGGTTCCTCAGAAAACTGAGGGTGTTGTGATAGCTGATCCATTGAAAAATTTTTGATTATTTACATTCTCATAAAAAAATCTGGAAAATGTATTTTTTAATAAACTTAATTTTTTAATGAAATAAGTTCATATGAAAACTCAGTTGTTTACCTTATAAAGAGGTTAGACGAACTTTTAATATCAATATTTTTATTTATAATTCACAATGTTTCACATTATTTATTACTCATGATTCATAGAACTTAAACATTAAAGTTCTACAACAAGTAAAACACTTTGTTTTTATTCGAAAACATCTGTTGACATTTATAATTTTTGTCGTGAGGCCACATTGGAATTGTAGCCGCCATACTGAAAAGGCGGGAAAAATTGTGAGAAACAAATAAAATGGCGTTTATTCAAAAATATTTTATTTCAAAAACATCGAAAATTAATACAATTTTTACACATTAATAAATTAGTGGAAAGTGAAATTGGATACTATTTTACCTGTATATAATTAAATAATAATTGTATTAGATAAATATATCCAATTTAATGACTTTTGATTCTTATAAATAATTCCAAGTTTTATAAAAAAGTATGATTATTAAAATTAAATATTATTTACGGATTCAAGTTCAGTTTAACAGCTTCCTGTCGTATAACTGATATTAATTCTTGGTTTATTAAAAATATAAACCTCAGTCCTGCAATCTGAAAATGAAAAAATATGATTAATATATGTCAATAATAGTAATATAATGCTACTTGTAATGAACTCTTTAAAAATGAATCAGTGCAAATAGTGAATATTCACTGATTCATTTTTACCGATAAATATTGCTTACTTCAATAACACTATTGTTATTTAATTTCATTTTATTTCCAGCTAATATTGGTCTGCTATCCACAAAAATTGGTCGCTTCCCTTCAGAAGAAATAAAAAAATCTCCATTATTTCTCAATCGGATTGTTCCTTGACGACGAGAGATTTTCCATGCTGGCCCTTCTAATGAAAGATCCACGTCTACACTGTGATCTTTAGTTGTACGACCCACGGTAATCTATTATTTACAAAATGCCATTAAAATATGAGCTTATAAATAATTCAATTGATGTGCAGTAAATTAATATTACCTCTCTAGATCTCATTAAGTAACGAACAAGTCTTCCTCTAAGAATTGCTAATGTCTGATTATCAAAATCTGGAGCGTGCCCTCCTGTAACACTATCTACGAGTACCTGCCATCGACTTAATTCATTTTCTAATACACGTATTTCTTTTTTATTTTTTCTATCAGCCATAGCAAGCTCAGCATCGATTATTTCATCTTTTTGGTCCATTAATTCTCCATCATTAATTAAATCTTCTGCATCAGAGAAACTTAGTGTAGTATCGGTACGAGGTAGTGGTAAAACAGTTTGGTCTGGTAATAAATGATATTGTTTCATTAACTGCCAATGAGCCATGAGAGATTTTGCAGTCCGTGCTGGATAAAAAGTTTGAGCATTTGATTCTAAAAGCTTTTGGAATACTTCTAGATTTGGTGGTGGAGACTGAAAAAATCACAATATAGAAAAAATTAATAAGTTTTGATTTCTTATTTCAAAGAAAATGAATTTTTTTTGAAATTACCGATTTTATTGTTCCCAAAAGATCTTCCTCTGCTTTGCTATATAGTGTCCTAGCTTGAACACTGGCTATCAATTCAGGGTGCAAGTTTCTCATGGCTTGTACTGCTACACGAGAAACTGCACTATCATACAACAGAGCATACCATCTTTGTTGTATTTCTTGAAGAGTAAAACGACAAGAAAATTTGGTTCCTCTATGAACCATTCTCAAGTCATTTGTTTGTTGTACACCCGTTATTAATCCTAAATCATCAGTCGGTTTCCATCTTCCTAAGTCTTTAGTAGCATTGATAGAATGAGCATGATTTTTATTTTTTTTACTTTTCCTCCCAGGACCATTTGATCCACTTGGTCTACTATGCCTTCGATTAATGCGATCTGGTTGTGTAACCGTTGAAGTTGGTGGTAAGGAAGGTATAAGAGGCGTTTGTGGAGAAACATCCAGAGAACTAGTTGATACTGATACAGTACGAGATCGAGAATTCGACTTTCCACTTGATGTTGGGGGTTGAAGATTGAATGTTGTTTCTACGAGCTCATCATCAAATTTTCTTCGTTTGATTGTTCTTGATGAACTGTAAACAATAAATTTATCAAGACATATATCTATCATAAAAACATAAATAATTATGTATCATATTACCTGCGACGTTTAGTTCCCATCGAGTCAACATTTGTTGGATCCATTGATGATTTATTATTAATTAACATCAATTAATAAAGACTATTTGTAAGAATGTTATTGCGTTTTTTCTTTTTGAGGTTAGAAAAATTGTGCGTCACAACATTCACGCCTCTACCAGGCAAACATGAAAATAGTTTATTCAATATGGAGAAAATGCCGTATGTTGATAATAATTATCAACATGTAATAATATTTTCTAATGTTGACAAGCGTTATTGTTATTATACAAAATGTCTTATATACGTATACATCAAACACATTTTTGAAGAGGATAAAGAAAAGTACCATGTGTTGCGTTTGATTAATGTAATGTTCATGACGCATACTTTGTTCTAAAAATCAGTTGGACTTTTATGCTGATCACAAAACTAGATTTCTATTATTCGTAAAATAATATTTTAACTACACGTTGAGAAAGTGATATATGTGAAAAATTTTGAGAAACGTACAATTTGAAGGATGTATAACAATATGTCCAGATAATTATAATTAGGTATTGAAGTTCGTGCATAATTAAAGCAAGTTGACAGAAAACAAAGAAGAATAAAAGAGGTCAATAAAATATAATAGACACGTCATGGAAGGCGGAATTATTGAGACTCCCGATCCTACACTTAATGCATCTAGTTGTGATGATGATGCTCTCAGAGGTTGCTGCAATCCCAAAGGAAGATTATGGAGGTTTACTGGGCTGGTCCTTATGTGCTTCATGGGCTTTGGTAAATTTTTTCTTGTCTAAAAGAAAAGTAATTAATAGATAAAAAAAAGTTCATTCCAATGATAATATTCAATCTTATAATTGGGTCAATAGTTAAATCCAATGAATGTACTCTCTTTTTCAGGTTCTTATTTCTGTTATGATGGTCCAGGAGCACTACAGGATAATTTTAAAAGTGACTTAGACATGCAAACAAGTCAATTCGTGTTGTTATATTCGATTTATTCATGGCCTAATACTATTTTTTGTTTTATTGGAGGATTTTTATTAGATAGAGTATTTGGAATTAGACTTGGAACAATTATATATATGGGATTAGCTTTAGCAGGACAAGTTATTTTCGCCACAGGTGCAATGGTTAATACTTTTTGGATGATGATGCTTGGTCGTTTTATTTTTGGGTATAAAAAAATTTGAAGATAACTTTTTAGATCATTTTAATCATTCGACCTTTGAAAAAATAAATTTTTTAATTCTAGAATTGGTGCTGAATCCTTGGCTGTTGCTCAAAATAATTACGCCGTTCTTTGGTTCAAAGGGAAAGAATTGAATATGGTATTTGGTTTGCAGTTGAGTTTTGCTCGTGTCGGATCAACAGTTAATTTTCTAGTTATGGAACCAATATATAATTATGTCTCCAAAGAGTATTCTGGACCAAAATGTATTGGTGTTGTTTTATTCTTAGCATCACTTACTTGTGTATTTTCACTAACTTGCTGTAGTATTCTTGGACTTATGGATAGACGTACGGAAAAGTTATTGAGAAGAGGTCATGGTGAACAACGAGAAGTTGTTAAATTGACAGATGTCAAATACTTCAGAGGAATATTTTGGTTAATTGCTCTAATATGCGTCGCATATTATGTAGCAATATTTCCATTCATTGCATTAGGAAAGTAAGTCAAAAGATAATACATTATCTGATATTGATTTATAGCACATCATCATTAACAAAAATAATTTTTCAGAGTGTTTTTTGAACGAAAGTATCAATTATCTCCGGATGCTGCTAATGCAGTGAACTCACTTGTTTATTCAATTTCGGCTGGAGCATCACCAGTGTTTGGATTTTTGGTTGATAAAACGGGGAAAAACGTTCTCTGGGTGGTTATTAGCATTTTAGGGACTGTTATGGCTCATGGTTTACTAGCATTTTCATACGAAAATCCGTATGTTTGTATGATCAGTATGGGTTTATCATATTCAATGTTAGCTAGTAGTTTATGGCCACTTATTTCTCTTGTTATACCTGAATATCAACTCGGTACTGCTTATGGAACGTAAGATGCTAATTTATAATTATATATAAATAATCATTTAATTTTTATTTATGTGATGATTATTTTCATGTCAATTTTAGGGCACAATCTGTACAAAATTTAGGTCTAGCAGTTGTATCAATAGTTTCTGGAATGATTGTTGACAAAAAAGGATACTTTATGTTAGAAATGTTTTTCCTTGGTTGGCTTTTAAGTAAGTATTACCAAAAAAAAAACTAGTAAATTTTTTAATTCTTTTATCAGAGAAACAAATTTTTATGAATTTTATCTGTTATAGTTTCTTTAATCACAGCTGTTTGTATTTGGGTATGGGATCTATCGGAGACTGGTGGCTTTTTAAATATGACTCCAAACCAAAGAAAATTACATGAAGCTAATCGTCCTACTCTTGATTCATTAGAAAGGGAAAAACTTTTATCCGCCGGTTCAACGTCAGATTTTTCTGCTGACGATCTACTTCAACCTCAATCAGATATTAACATACGGAATCGTTATTTATCCCGCATCGGACCTATAGTAATTATCAATATTTATTATTAACTTTGAATCATATATAAATTATATTTATTAATAGTAATTTTTTTCAGCTACCATCTCAAGTAAAAGCCACAACATATCGTGCGTTACGATAATGAGTGGACTTAGAAAATTAATTAGACAATTTTTATATTTTGTATGAAATTATTCTAAACTACATGTTATAATTCAACGTCTTCCTATAGTTCTATTTATTCTGTGATAGACTTAAAGCAAATTAAGCAACAAAACAAAAATAGGAATGACATTTCGTATTTGAAGTATCAAGAGTAATCTGTATATTAAATTGAAATTCATATAATCAAATTCTACAAATTTTTTATTCACACTGTAACAATTTTATATACATTTAAAATGTAAATAAATGTTTGAATTTATACTAAAATCTTAAATGATGTTCTTAATGAAAAAAACTTAAGAGAATTCGAGGCTGAATAGCTTCATACATTATATTTATTATTTAAAATAGAATATTATATTTTATTACTGATAATATCATATCATCAAATAGCATCAAAATACACTTATTCTGACATTCATAACATATGATTCATTTACATCCATCACAATTATTCAATAATAATTCGTCTACAAAAGATGAGCTTAATTGTTATCACCCCTACTATTTACAGAAGTGGCCACATAAAATACACTCTTTATAAAAATTCAATTTTTTTAATGTGAGTATAAGATAATTTTATAATTTTTATAAAAAAAAATTATTATAAAGAGCAACAAAATATTTGATTAATTTCATTTAGCTATTATGTAGCTACTCCTGCACATAATTAACCTTAATTATTTTTGAACCAAAATTTATTCAGTTTAATTTATAAAAAATCAAATGTATTTCTTAAATCCCAGCCCAGAAAATTATTCGATTAACTTAGATAAAATTTCATTTATACATAAAAGATTATGCCCTTATGCAGCATATTTTAATTTTATATATATCTCCCAAAGTATTAAGCAATATTTTTGTAACATTTAAAAATCAGTTCCACAACATTTAAAAATTATTCCTTAAAATTCAACTTCGCAATCTGGTTTTCATGAGATAATTTTTTCAGCCACTACGTGGTGGTGAATATTTTCGTTCCTTCAGGAAGAATAACTTCATCATCAACATCAGTCAAAGTAACAGTTAGAGGTAAGATAAGAGGCATAAGTATTTCTTGATGCTGCATGATCTGGTGTGTACCAACTTGATCTTGTTGTCTCGTAATCGTAATAGTCTTAATATTCTTCGATTGAACTACTTGCATTGTTGGTCCTACTGGTTGCGCAAGGCGAATTGTTGGCTGAACGGGGCTCGGAGATGGAGCAACGGCTTGAGTTTGAGTTTGAATCTGGTTTTGTCTCGCTTGATTCTGGAGCATGTTTTGTTTGCATCTCTTACTATGAGCATAACGACTCCCATTATTATTGAATCTTCTATCACAAGTGGGGCAAGCATAAGGTCGTTGTCCTGTATGGATGAATACATGCTCTTTCAAGGATTTAAGTCTTCGGAAATGCTTTGGACAATATTTGCAGTGATATTTGGCTTCACCTGTATGTGAGGTCAAGTGGTTAGCCAAGGTATCAGCTCGAGCAAAAGCTCTCGAGCAATATTGACAGCTATAAGGTCTTTCTTGAGTGTGTGTTCGCATATGCATCTTCAAATAAGCATTAGTTGTGAAAGGTCTAGCACAAACTTCACAAACATACGGCTTGATACCATTATGAGCTCTTAAATGGGCAACTAAAGTAGTTGACTGTGTAAAACTCTTTGAACAAATTTCACAAAGGAATCTTTTAGCAGTGCTATCAGAATCCTTATTTTTCTTGAAATTTCTCTCATGCTTTGTTACATGCGCAGCTAGTTGTTCCTCTTTGATAAAGCGTTTAGAACAACGACTACATTTATAAGGCTTTACCATGTTGTGTTTTGCAACATGAATCTTTAAATGTTCACGACGATAGAATTTTTTGGGACATATATCGCAGAGATATTTTTTACCTTCATGAACTTGAATGTGTCTTAAAAGACCTTTTCGTGATGTGTACTGTTTATTACATTCAGTACATTCCAATCCAACAATGTCAGTTCTTCGCTTTCTTGGAACTTTTTCCCCTGGTTTTCTATCTTCAGAACCTGGCTCTAACTCTCGTAGATCTTCTTCGGTTAAAATACCTTCATCAACATGTTTAGACCTATGTTCACGTAAGATTTCATTGTTCTCAAATGTATCTCCACAAATATTACACTTTCTTACTTGATTAGGATTTTTTTCAGAACATTTATCATAATGTGCCTTTAACTTATCTTTTCTGTAAAATTTCACATTACAAATATCACATTCAAAGTTTGGTTCTTCATGAAGAAGTTGATGCCGAAGTAAAGATTTTTTGGTACTGTATCTTTTTTTGCATGTTGAACATTCATGATTGTCCATAGGCCAATCTAATCCACCATCAAAGTCATCATCATCATCATCGTCGTCATCGTCTCTATCATCACCAAAAATATTTTTTGACGATTCTTTAGGATCCATTTTATTTTGTAATTTATCAGCCTTTTCAGGTTTTTCGTTCTTTACATGACAATCCATGTGTTTAGCTAAAGCTTGTTTAGAAATACATTTCTTACCACAAGTTTCACATTCCAGATTTTTTTTATTAGTCACTTTCTTTGCTGGAGATTTCTCTCCAGCTTTTGTACCTACAGATTCAATCTTAACCATAAATTCATCATTATCATCATCTTTTTCAGAATCTTCCAAACCGACTTCCGTGCTTATTTTATCAATGATCTTTTGTGCTGCCTTAGCTGCTACTCTTTTGATTCTTTTGTTTGGATCATATTCCTCTCCTTTAATAGTAGTCTTATGATTCGTTGCTATTAAATGATTTCTTAAAGTCAATTCATTAGCAAAAATTATACTACATTCAGTACATTTAAATGATTTTACTCGAGTGTGCTGTTCAGCATGTTTACGAAGATATTCTTTATGAGTAAATTCATCCCCACAAATTTTACAGCGATATCGAACAGCTTCATGAGTTTCCAAATGTTTCGTTAAGGATCTTTTACTGCCAAACAATAAATTACAATTAGGACACTTGAAGTCAGTAGATTCTTTTTTAATTTCCATTGAAGGTTTACTATCTTTATTCACTGTTGGTTTTTTATCTGCCCTGAATTCTTTATTACAAATATTTTCTAAACCATCTTTAAAATCTTCTTCACTCGCAGTACCTTCAAGTATATGAGCGGTACGGTGATCTTTCAGTTTTTCAAAATCATCAAATTCTTGATTACAAATATTACATAAATGTTTTATTAATAACTTCTCTTCATTTTTACATACTACCTGATCACCAGTACCATCAAAATAAATTTCAATTTGATTCGATTTATGACTTGAATCATGGTCCTGCATTTCTTTCATATTGTGACTATTTTGATTCTCAGAATCACTCTTTTCATGAGGAATAATTTCGAAAGTATCATTGTTATCAAAGTTATTTGAATCAAATGAATTGTCATCTTGTAGTATTGAATCTACAAAATCTTTCAATTCATTTTCATTTGGTAACTGCATCATATTTTGATGCTGTTTAATGTGCTTTTTGAATGAAATTACATACAAATATTCTTTGCCACAATAAGGACACTTATTAGCTTTTTTTCCAGATGGAGGTTGTCCTTTAATGGGCGACAAATTTTTCACCGATTTTTCTGGTGTCTTTTTCAAACTTAATGCTTGTCTTACTTCTTCATGAGAATGCATATGTTCTTTTAATATATCTTTTGATATAAATTGTCTATCGCACAAGTAACACATAAAAAACACTTTATCTTCCTTATTTTCTTGACCATGTGATAATCGACTACTTAAATTAAGATTTCCAAAATAATTTTCCTCATTAGATCCATCATTCTGAATTATTTTATGTTTATTTTCTCCAATACTCTGTGTATTATTTTCACATTTTTCTTGAACATATACTTCAGTCATTTCACTATCCATATTATTCAAATGACCTTCTGTTTCTTTCACAGATCTTTCATCTTCTCCTATTATAGTTAAATATTCTGTGGTGTCATGATCATCAACTTGTTGATTTATTAATTCGTGTTCTTGTTCACTTGATAAACTATAACCTTGTTGGACCATATAATTGTGTTCTTCAATCGTTATTCCTTCAGATTCTTCATGTATGACTTCAGATTTGTCGTGATTTTCATCATTTGTTGAATTTATATTTTCATTCATTATCTGACAGGTACTCTGATTGTCTTGTTGAACAATATATTGTTCTTCTGTTTCTATATGATTAGGATTTTGAACAATATGATTATGCTGTATGGCAAAATCATTTTGGTGAGAAAGTTTTTGTACCTCTAGTAAAGCCAAATGATCTTTTAATAATGTGGGTTTCACAGCAGTTATATCAGAATTTAAATTGTCAGTCGCTATTTCATAATGTGCATCAACATGATGACTTTCAGTAACTTCTTCATGTCTTTCATCTTCCGGACGTACTTCCACTTCATTAAAAATGAGTTCTTCTTTGATGTTAAAGTTGTCATATTTTTCTCTAAGCAAACTATCAGCTTGTTCAACTTGTAATTTAAATTCATATGCAGCCTCAAGTTTATCAGCACAATCGCAGCAAACATGAGGTGGCAAGCCATCACCGGGTAGTATCTAAAATGAAAAAAACAGATAATATTCAATAAGAAAATAGAAATAATAAATTCAAATTTGATTTAGGAATGTAAGCAGTAGCGAAAGAAGAATTCCAAGTAGCCTTTTACAATACTAACCTTTACACTAGCAAAACTCATGGCTTTAGTTGATAATGAGATGACGTCGCTCTCTACAAAGAGATCTCTCATTATGTGATTGCCGACCAAACATACACGACAAACTTCCATAGCGTCTTCATCATTTTGTTGAGGTTCTGTAGTATCAATAACCACGGCGTCCATGTTTTGTTTGGAGGGTACGGGCCTGGTTCAAGCACCTGACCCTCCTCCTTTAAATCACCGAGACGTCCACGACTTTACCGTGACTCCGAGAAGGGCTTATGTATTTATAGATGTGAATATACTATATGTTTACAAATCTTTCACGTCACCCGGAGTTGAAGAATTAGTCTCTAAAAATTAACAACAAACCCAACTTAATTCTCTTGGAATCATTCACTTGCAAATAAATAGTTTTTTCGCAATTTTTTGTAATTTTCTGATTCTAGTTTCAGCTATTACAGCGCACAGTGGTCATTGTTGCACTTCGAGGTTGGAGAATCGATAGTTAAAATTTGATGTATCGACATCATTGATACAATGCGATTATTAACTAACTTCAAGTAGTGACGCACATGACGGCCGTTTGGTCTGCCCTTTTTGACGGCTTTTTTTCTTGAACTATTCAAGTTAATTTAATATTTTAAATACTGAAGATAAAATGGCTAAATTTGATCTTACATCTCGAATAGGGCAATATCTTGACCGTCACTTGGTCTTCCCACTCTTGGAGTTTTTATCAGCAAAAGAGGTTATTATCTAAACAACAAACCATTCCACAATTTTGTAGGTTAGTTTAAAATGACAATACACGTGTATTTTTTTTTAGATATACGATGAAAGTGAATTGTTGCAAGCTAAATTGGATATTCTCAGTAAAACAAACATGATTGACTACACTATTGATATTAGGATGCAATTATATCCTAAAGAAGAAGTTCCTGAGGTATGTTTGCAATAACTCCTTAACCCCACTTTCCATCAATAGATTGGCAATTCATTCAATATTTTCCGGTTGTACATGATAATACTTTTAAAATATTTTAGTTTATTTATTATGTACTAATTTTTGTTTCTGTACAGGAACTTAAAGCTCGTCGTGCTGAAGTAGTTCAAGAACTAGGAACTCTTCAAGATAATGTGTCGGTAGTTGTTGAATTGATGAACAACGATAAAGTCATGAAGAAAATGGAAGAAATGCGTGACTCTAAAGCTCTCAATAATTATCTTACTCAAGAATTGGATGTAAGCAAATCAGTTAAACAATATAATAAATATCTAGTTGTAAAATTCTTTATTTTCTATCTTTGTATTTTCAGTTTAAAGTTGAGATGATGGACAATCTAGTAAAACTAGCAAAATATCGATACGAGTGCGGCAACTATTCAGTTTCAACTTCTTATCTCTATTTTTATATGTTGATCATGCCTTCAACGGATAAGGTTGGATTTTAATTTAAAGAAGAAAACTAATAATTTTGGGTCAGAAATAATCTTAAGAACTTACATCTTTACAGAATTATTTGAATGTCTTATGGGGTAAATTAGCATCTGAAATTCTTGCTCAAAACTGGGAAACTGCATTAGAAGATGTAAATAAACTACGAGAATATATTGATAGCAATGCTATTGGAAATTCTCTTCAAGTTCTTCAACAAAGAACTTGGCTTATCCACTGGAGTTTATTTGTTTTCTTTAATCATGTTAAAGGACGTGATTTAATTATTGAAATGTTCCTTTATCGTGCACCGTAAGTTTTAATAATTCATAAATTGAGCATCTTGTTGTTAATTAAATATAAAATACATTCTTAATTTTTATATTTATTTTAGTTATTTAAATGCCATCCAGACAATGTGTCCGCATATTCTTCGATATTTAGCTGCTGCGGTAATTGTTAATCGATCCAGGAGATCAACTCTAAAGGATCTCGTTAAAGTTATTCAACAAGAATCGTATACTTATCGAGATCCAATTACTGAGTTTTTAGAACACTTATATGTAAATTTTGACTTCGACGGAGCACGTCAGAAGCTTCAAGAATGTCAAACAGTTGTATTCAACGACTTCTTCCTCATTGCTTTATTGAATGAATTTGTAGAAAATGCGAGGTTAATGATTTTCGAAACTTTCTGTCGAATCCATCAGTGTATTAGTATTGGGTTGGTATTATTTACTTCAAACTATTTGAAAATTGTTTAAAATAATTAAATTATATGTTTCTGTATACATTGTATTTTATAGAATGCTTGCTGAAAAATTGAACATGAAAGCGGATGTAGCTGAGTGCTGGATTGTTAATTTAATCCGTAATGCACGACTGGATGCTAAAATTGACAGTAAGTTGGGACACGTAGTGATGGGTGGCCAACCAGTATCACCTTATCAGCAGTTGGTGGAAAAAATTGAGACCTTGAGTGTAAGAAGTGAAGCGTTAGAAAATCTGATTGAACGTAAATTAAAAGCTAAGAATCAGGATTCAGCCAGCAGTATGTGGAATTAAAACGAAAGTAATTATTTACTTATAAGTTCAAATTTTTTAATACAATTTTTTGCAATACAAAAAAACCAAAATTATTATTCATCTTTCAGAAGAAACAAAACAAAAATCTTTCCAATCAATTTTTTGTAAAATAGGAAACTAAACACAGTTACTTCATAATGTTTATAATTAAAGTTGTCATCATCTTAATAAAAAAAGAACCTCTTTCTATTCAGTTTTAATGTCACTTTCATTATTATCATCATTCTGATTTGCAAAAGAAAAATTACAACCAGTGTAGGAGTGATTATTTATGCAATAAACCAAAACATTTCGCCAATATGGATCTTGCGATAATAAATATGGATTACCAAGGATAATTATAAGAGCTCGAGCTCGAGTTAAGGCAACATTTAATCGCTTAGGAGACGCCACAAACCCTAGAGCATGTTTAATATCATTATCAACGTAAGTTGAATTTGATCTTACAGTTGAAATAATAATTATTTTTCGTTCTTGTCCTTGAAATTCTTCAACACTGCCAATTTTCGGCAAAAGCATATCTAAATCCCACAACAAAGTACGTATATATGCCACCTAAAAATAATTAATTAATTAATAACTAATTACAAAAAAAATATCAGATTTTTATTACTTACCTGTTTTTTATACGGTGTTATAACTCCAATATCTTCCTCAGTTAAACCATAACTGTACAATTTCACAAGATAGCTGTAGACTTGTGCCGCTTCTGTAGGATTGTACCAACTAGGACTATCATTATCTTGACAATCATCTCCTACAATACCATGAAATATCAACGCTGGTGGTAAACACTCTCTGGGCGGTAATTCAGCTGAAATACTTTTCAATAATTCAGCTTCAGAACTAGTTAAAGGATTTACAGTTGCTTGTAATTCTGATTCATAAAACATCGAATTAGGTAATTCTAGAATCTCTGGAAGGCTTCTGTAATTTATCAACAATTTTGTCACCAATCTAGGATCATATCCAGTTTTAAATCCTTCCATATCTCTTTGATAAGGAAATTGTTGTAACAATCTAACTAAAAATGATTCACTTAGACCAAAATAATTGGCAAGTCTACTGTTAACTACTGGTCCAAGTTGCATTGGATCTCCAGCTAAAATAATTTGTCCATAATTTGCATGAATAAATGTTAGAGGTACCATAATTTCTGGTTCTGTAGCTTGACCTGCTTCATCAACAATGATATGAGTGAAATGTCCTTTTGGAAAACCCATATTATGGAGCAATCCTAAAGCAATACAGGTACCAACTGTTATACGATGTCGACCGAGTACACTCATAGTACAATTAATTCTACACCCTTCTCCAGAATATTCAGGAACTTTTGTAGTTCTTTCTGCTGCTAGATTTCCAGTTGCACAGTAAGGCAATAATTTTTCTGGTATTGAGTCATCATCCAAGCAATGTCGAGCCACTAAACGCACTAAATCTCCCGGTTTTAGAACCTTACTATCAAGAAGTCTTTCAGCAATTAAATTAGCAGAACTATTTGAAGGTGTTGCAATGAGCAATCGACTCTCTGGAATTATTGTTAGAATTTGAAGTATAGCCTCGCATAATGTTATAGTTTTTCCAGTTCCTGGAGGTCCAAAAATGATGTAAGGAAGAGGTCTAGATACTCCAGTTAGAATATTCTTGACTGCTTCTTTTTGATAGCAGTTCAGTCGTTTATTATACCAAAATAATTTACGTTTTTTTATTTGTGCATTATAAAAATCTAAATTCTCAATATTTTTGCTAGATTTTTTTTGTTCTTTTGGCTCTTCTTTCTATTTTAGATAATAAATCAGTAGACTCATCAAAATTTTCAGAAGACTTCAAGTTGGATGATGTTTTCTTCAAATTCATTTCTCCTATATCATATTCTTTTAAATTAATTTGTGGTTCTTTTTCTTTTACTAAATTTGGAAAGAGAATTTCAGATCCCAAATTCGACATAGCGAGATTCACTGCGTTGTGACAACGTGATAAATTTGAGAATGAACATTTAAATGAAATTTGGCAGTCTTCATTTTTATATGTATCATGAAATTTTGGATTAAATTTTAAATATACTTCAGAACTTTTTATTTTATGAATAAATCCTTCATACTTGAGTTTGCCTTGAGACGAGTCCCATTTAAAATTCACAATGGCTCGATCTCCACAAATTAATGATGGACGTCTTTCAGCAAGACCAGGTACTTTAAGTACTAAATATTCATCACTAGGGTACATAATTGCACTGTCCATATCGTATTTTTGTAGATCAACTCTCATACTAATTTCTTCTAAATATAATAAAGCATGGAAACGATTTTTGTAATTTTCAAATGTTAGTCCATCATCTAAAAATTGGAATTCATTGCCTACAACAGCTTCAGTGGTAGCTTGGGATAATTTTTCATTGATGCAAGGAAGTACAATATTCCAAAATCGTTGAGGAACCCTAAAAACACCATTTCGAACAGCTATAAAATTAGGAGGTCTATATGGTCGAATCCCAGGGATATAAGAACCTTGATCATGATTATCTTGTCTTGCTAATTTATTTAAATCGTAATTTCCATTTGTTATACTTGTAGTAGTTACTGAATTTTTCAAACCGACAAATATTTTGAATATACGACCAATGGAAAAATTTTTAAAGTTAAATATAAATAATTCTTCAGTCAATCCCATAAATTTTGCAGAGCATTTAAAAACGTATACAATTGATTCACCTGGTTTGAATATCATTGGATCATGAACATTATGCGATTCTACAGATAATTGAGATTGAGATCTTTTTGACATAAAAACTCCTCTAACTAAAGTCTGATCAACAGCTCCATTATTTTTAACAAGAACTTCCAGAGTTCCTTCTTGATTGAGTATTAAATTAAAAAACAAATCATCTGTAATACTTATATCAAATTTATTCTTCAAAAGTAAATTTAATTTCTTTGGTGTTATATTAGGGAAACTTCCAGTAGTCAAAGTTTCTTCATCGTCAGCAGTTTGAATGAGTGGAACAACTGATAAACATCTCCAGGAATAAATTCCTTGATCACTTTCAATGCAATCATAAACGACTTTATCACCAATATGTGGAATGTAACCAGGTTGACATGAGGCTTTATTGAATACTACATTCTTTTCTACTGATCCTGTTTCTGTTTGAGAGTCATATTTTGCAATTATTCCTGTTTTTAATTTAGATCTTAATGGTTGTATCCTGTTAACCTCTAATATTTCTCCACCAAGATCTCCAGAATTAGGATCAAGCTCTACTAAAGATTCTAATACTAACCAATCTCCAACATAAGGTACAAAAGTTGATTGAATTTCATCTAAATCTAAAAAAATATTTGCTGGTTCTAACATTACATTTCTGCCTTTACGTTTTATTACTTTGGCAACAATATTTTTCTTTATCATTTGACTTTTTTTAACATTACTTTCTTCACAGTTTTGATCCCAAATATCATTGATTATTGATATTATTCTACGTATTCTAATGTCTTTTTGTGACTTTTTTTGGAATGCTAAGTAATATACTTTATTGCCTTTTTCTATATTGTCTGGACAATTAATTAAATTACAAACATAACGATCATCAATAATCACATTATCAGTTCCAACACTTGTAACAATTCCATCTCTATAGAAGCATCCTTCATTAGGTTGTTCATTTATTTCTGATGAATTATCAGAATCATTGGGATCTTCAATTATAGCTGGATATTTTTTGAGAATTTCTTCATATTGAAGCTCCTTTTTTTGAGTTTTCTCAAAAATGTACTTGGCAGTATTTATTATTAAAGATAACATGTTTATTAAACTACGATAGTATTCACTAATACAATAAATATTAACTTGAAAAGCATGTATTTATTTGGTTATTTGTATCCATCAATTGGTTGATACCTCCATTCAGTAGACTTTAGATATTCTAATTCTTTTCTCAATGATTGAATTCGTTTTAGATGCAATTCTTTCTCAATTTTCTCATTTTGTTCTTTAATATGAATTTCTGATTTCATGTGATTTAGAATCTTTGATACTTGCGTTCCATTTGTATTAAGACCCGAATCTTGAGAGTCACTTCGACCAGATGAATTCCCTAATGTAGTTGGTGATAGAGTCGGGGTATTCATATCAAGTTCTTAGAATCTAAACAAAAATACATAAATAAATTGTTAGATCTTATATTATCTTGATATAATTTCATATGTAAACAAAGCTAAACAAAAGTATTACCACGTGATTCTAATACTGAAACACTTTGCTGATTTTTATCTTCCCTAATTCTTTATAGTTAATTATTATTAAATTATTTTTATGATATTTCTACAAATACGGATTGTTTCAGCAGAAAAATTAAGTTTTCAGATAAAAAATGTCTGATAAATTTTACGCTAAATTAATTATTGATAAAAATAGAATATTTTGATAATTAACGTATTATTTATCAGTATTCAAAAATTATCTTAGAAATTCGCATTTATGTGAGGGCAGCACTGTATGAAGAACAGAAAATGTTCATAAATCTTGTATCTATAGTGCGTTCCTTCACACATATACAGTACCGGACATAAATGTTATTCAATTTTTTGAAGGTTATACATGTGATTTCCCTATACCTTCTGATAGAAAATCACAGCATTGACGTCTGGGACTGTATGTATGTATACATGTGTGAAAATATATGCGTGTGAGTAAATTGGAAAGACGCGTCTGGTGCAAGTAGCCAAAGCAAGTCAAAGCGTGTGAGTCGGCGGCATTGAGAGTCCATTTTCTTCAAATAGTAGAATTTTTAGCGCGAACACCGGTAAAACCCGGTAATAGTAATATTCGGATCATTTATAATTGCGAAAAATTATCTTAGGTAGCTACGAAATAATAGACATTAAAAATGGAGCAAGCAGAAGATACTGAAAATGATGTATTGAAAAAGGTATTAACAAACGACGAGTTAACCCAAGTTCCTGATGAAATTGCTACTAAACTAAGAAATTATTTTAACGAGCAATTTGAAAAATTTATTACTGCCCAAGCTGTATTTCAACACAATAGACAAAGTCTTGGTAATGTTTCAAATTTATTTCATTATATATCACATAGTTTCTATTGATTTATAAATAAAGCATAGAGCATTACTTACATAACCTCTATTTTCGTTATTAAATATTTCAGAAAAAAAATTGGAAAAACTACAAAAAGACTGCAAAGAGTATGAATTGGACTTAGAAGAACGTAAAGGAAAATTGGAACTTGCCGAAAGCTACATTACTGAATTACAAACAAAACTTGATGATGCTAAAAATGAAATATATAAATTACAAGAATCAAGCAAAAGACTTCAAAAAGAGAACGTTGAACTTCGTCGACAGCGAGATGCAGCTGTTGATGAACGAAATAGCCTTCAACTTCAAGCAGAGCGTCGTGATCATGAACTAGAACGATTAAATACAGAACTTACCTCATTAGGACAACAATTACAAACCGCTGTAACAGCAAAATGTCAAGCCATAGCTGAAGCTGAAGAGATACGTAGTCGAGAACTGGATTTGGATTTCAAAGAAAAACGATTGGAACAAGAACGAAAACTCACTGCTCAACAGATGAGTGCATTAGAAGTAGAATTAGCCAAAAGAACATCTGAATTGCAAGCAGTGCGCGCTGAAGCTTCAACTAAAACATTATTAACAGATACTCGTTTAGCTCAATGTGAAGAAGAGCTAAGAATATCAAATGAAACTTTGGCTAAGTTACGTGAAGCTAACGCAAACATTCAACACCATTGCGATGAATTGACACAAAAAGTTGAAGAACAACGAAATCATGAATTATCCATGCATTCTTCATATCGTGAGGAAATTAGTGCTCAAACGAGATTGGCTGATCTTTACAAAGGTATGGCTGATGAAGCAAATGCTAAGGCTGAAGAATTTACCAATGCTGTGAAGGAACTACAAACTCTATTAGAACAAGCAACAGAACAGTATGGACTTTTAGAGACTCAGCATGAACAACTAAAAGTTAAATGTGAAGAAACACTTAATGAAAAAGATAATAAAATAGCAGAACTTACAAAAGAATTAGAGCAAGCCAATGAGCTTCTTAAAAATATTAAAGAAGAAAGATTGGATCAAGCAGTTGAACAATTGGCACCATCAGCAGCAATAACCAGTCGTATAATGAAGAAGGGCTTAACTCTAACACAAATTTATACTAAAATGATGGATACTGTTAAAGAGTTAACTATTGAGCGGGAAGAAAATGAAAGACTTAAAGCACAAATGGATGTTATACTTCGAGAGCTTGAAGAACGAGCACCTATTCTTCAACAACAACGTGAAGAATATTCTGCAGCTTTAGAAAATGTTGCAACACTAACCAATCAAATCGATGAATTATATGCACAAAATAATCAACTGCAAGAGAGTCATGATGAAGCTAAACGTATTGCTGAACATCATGCACGTATTAACCAACGATTGAAGAGTGAACTTTCTGATTTAGCGCGCCAAGTTTGCTTCTTACTAAAAGAAGTGCAAGAAAGTCGTACTGGCAGTGCAGTTCCTGCTAATAATGATAGTACGATGGATACAGATTTAGCTTCCTCTGACTTAATTAGTAAAAAATTAGTAACCTTTAGAGATATTGAAGAGTTACAAGAAAATAATCAGAAACTTTTAGCAGTTGTTAGAGCATTATCGTCAAGACAAGAAGAAATTGAGCGAAAAACTGATGAAATTAATAGTGGAGAAATGAAAGAGAAGCTTGAAAGATACAGTCAACAAGTTGAAGAATTGCAATCAGCACAAGAAAGACATTCGAAAATGGTAGAAAATCTGATGAGGCAAAGAGATATGTATAAAAATTTGTATCAACAAGCTTTGAATCAAGATCCTAAATTAAAGAATAAAACACCAGGTGATGCAATGGATCAAGATGAAAATGATTGTACAAGTGATATCGCGGATGATTCAAACAAGTCTGAAGAACAAAGTTTAAGTAAAATCAAAGAATTAGAGAAAAATTATATGGATTCAGAGTCAAGATTAAAACAAATCACTGATGAATATGAAATTTATAAGAAAGAAAAAGCTGCTCATGAAAAAATGCTTAGTGAAGAAATGGATAGGTTAAGAAAAGAAGCAGAAAATAATTCAACACGATGTTGTAAATTAAAGTTACAATTCGACTCTTCTCAGGATAGGTTGAAATTGCTTCAGTCTAACATCGCGACATATAAAACTCAAATAAAATCACTAGAAGACCGGTGTACCAATTATAGCACTACTATTGGAAAACATGAACAAAGTATCATGTTATTAAAGGATGAAGCTTTAGCATCTCAAACTCGTCTTTCTCGAGCAGAAGTTCAGCTAGAAAATTTGAAACAAGAACGACAATTACTCCGTGATTCTGAATCACGTTTATTGAAAGAACGAGAAATGTTACATCGTGAAAGGCAGACGAATGCTTTGCTTAAGGCTGATGTAGAATCTATAAAAGCAAGTTTAGAACGAGTTCAGGCAGAAGGTCACCTAAGAGCTGAAATGAGACTTGATGATTCAATTCGAGAATGTGCTGCTCTTCGTCGTCGTCTTCAAGAAGAACAAGATAGATTTAGAGAATTGTCTTCTCATCTTGAGCGTCAATTAAATACTGTTCAAGAACGTCTTTCTGAAGAACAAACTCAAGCAGAACGTCTTCGTACAGAATTAGATGCAGCACGACAAGCACAAACTGAGTCTGAGAAACGTGTTGAAGAATTAGAAGTCAAGTTGCGAGAAGCACTTGCACAATCTCGAGCGAAACCTATTACTGGTGATGAAAATTTGGCTAAAAGACTGCAAGAGTTAGAAATTCAGTTAGCTAGCGCTAATGCTGAAATTAGATCATTAACTGAACAACTGAAAACTGCACGACAACAGAATCAACAGTATAGTGATATTGCTGAGAGCACTGAAACGCAGTTGAAAGAATTAACTACACAGTTTGAGAAACAAAAGCGAGACTTGGAATCAGCTCTTGAAGCTTCAAAAAATACTATTATAACACTCGAAAAGAAAGTTAAAACTTTGGAAGCTGAACTAGCTAAATCACAAAGTGGACAACAAGTTACAGATACAGAATTAAAAGAAAAACTTGCAGCAGCTGAAATGAAGCTTGAAGAGCTTGATGAAGTTAAAGGTGAATTAGAGTTAATTAGAAGTGATCTTCAAACAGCGATACAGAATGGCAAAGAAGCGGAAGAAAAATACGCTCATGAGATGCTTTTACATTCTGCTGATCTTCAAACTTTGGCTAAATTGCGGGCTGAATCTGAAAATGTTACAAAGGTAATTGACGAATTAACAAAAGAGAAAAATATTGCAGTTGAAGCACTTGATGCTGAAAGAAAAGCCGGCGTTGAACGTGAAAAACAGTTACACAAAGATATTGAAGAAATGCAGAGAAGATTGGACGATCTTGATGCACAAAATACATTACTGCATAATCAGGTACAAGAATTAAGTGATCGTACGGCCATTATGCAAAGTAATAGATCTTCTCTAGGAGGTCAAGACACTATGGACACTAGTTTAGAATCAATGAACCGTAGCTTGACAAGTATTGAAGACGATTCCAAGTCTGCAGAGCAACTTATGAAAGTAATCAAATTTTTGAGAAGAGAAAAAGATTTAGCCATGACTAAATTAGATGTTCTTAGAGCGGAAAACCTTCGTCTGAAGTCTCAGAATGAGGTCATTGAGAAACGTTTGAAGGAATCTGAAACAATGTTGAGTAATCAACGAGAACAATCTGAAATTGAAGTAGTGACAACATCGAAACATGCTGAACTATTGAGAAAAGTTGAAACTATCAATGCTATTGCAGATTCCAATAGAATTCTTCGAGAAGAAAGGGATTCATTGTCGACAAAGGTCAAAGAACTTTCAGCAGAAATTACAAAACTATCGGAAGAAGTTGTACCACTTCGTGAGAAAGCACGAGATTTATTAGGCAAAAATGAAATCTTGGTTCAAGAAAATACAGGACTGAAAGGAGAAGCAACTCGTTGGAGACAGAGAGCTAACACTTTGATAGAGCGAGCTAATAAAGCAAGTCCTGAAGATTGGAGACGACTTCAAACTGAAAGAGAAAATCTCAGTAAATTATTAACATCAGAACGAGAAACCTTTGCTAAGACAAAAGAAGAATTGAATGCTATAAAAGCACAGAAGACAAAACTTGAAGAGCAAATAACCGGCCTACAAAAACAGTTACAACTTCAAGGTGATCAAATGAACAAGGCTTCAGAAGAAGCTCGAAAACTTGGCCAAGATTTGAATGAAGCTCTAGCAGATTCTACAACAAAAGCTAAGGATCTTGCGACTTTCAAAAAAGAACTTGAAGATAAAGAAGCAGTGTTGACTGATGTGAAAAATAAAGAACTACAAATTCGTAAAATTGCAAAGAAATACAAGACCCTATATGATGAATTGGCTAAATCTGTCGAAGAAGAAAAAGCTAAAGCTGAAGAAAATCAAGCTACAGCAAATACAGAAGAAAATGCAGTGTCTGCGGAACGTGAAAATCAATTGCGTGAAGAAGGAAGAGAAGAGTTACGTCAACAAAATCAAGATTTGAATGACAAATTAAAGACTCTTAATGAAAATAATGCTTTCCTAACAACCCAAGCAGAAGAATTAAAAAGTCAAATTGAAAACATGAAAAAAACTAGTAACGAAAAAGAAGAACGCATGAAACAATTATTGAAAGGTGCTAGAGGAAAAATTATGACTCTTACAGAATCCAAGAGTAAGTGTGAAAGAGAGCTTGAAGAATTGAAAATGAAAATGAATGCTAGTAGTAGTGATTCAGATCCTAATGAATACGATGCTAGACTTGCCGTGATTAAATCACAGATGGAAGGAAGAATTTCTAGGCTAGAACATGAACGAGCAGAAATAAATGCTGAAAAAGAAACACTTCTTCAACGAGTTAATCAGTTACAAAGACAATTAACAGCAGGTATTAGTGCAGTTAATGTTACTGAACCACCAACAGCAAATATTAAACCAATGTCAGCACGTGCAGAAACACCTTTAGCTAGTATACGACCAATGAGTGTTGTTGTTCAATCACGCACAGCTGCAGTTTTACCAACAACTGCAAATAATCCTGTTCTAGTTGCTCCTCAACAACAACAACAAGTTGTTCATACCACCGAAACCAGTTCTCCAACGAGTAGCCATACCGATTATCAACCAGCCAGCACAAGCAGTTCTGTGTCTCAACCAGTTGCTTCTAATTTGCGACAATTAGCAGTACAACCTCAATTAAGCGAATCTGCTGAGTCTACTCAACGAGAAGAATCAGAAAATGCTGAAAATTTAACTAATCAACAACAGTCTCAACAGCCAACACAACAGCAGCAACCTTGTCAAATTCAACAGTCACAATCACAAGCTCAATCACCTCAAGATCAACAACAAGCACCGCAAACTGTAGCTCTTGTAAGCCCAAGAGTTGAACAGCAACAACAACAACAGCAGCAATCTCAACAACCAACTGGTGATCAACAACAAACAATTGCAAGTAGCTCAACTCAGTCTGTTAGTACTTCTCAAACTTCCAGTGGGCACAAACGACCAAGGGGTCATGACTCTAGTACATCAGAGTCTGGTGTGGTCGAAGGAACAGAGCACAGCAGATCTGAACAAATACCTAGTCCTAAAACCAAGAGAATACGCACTCAAGAACTAACTCCAACTGCAACAACAAGTGGTTCAGATATAGAATATCAAGTACCAACTTCAAGTCAACGAGATCAGGATGAAGAGGGAGAAGAAGGTTGTATTGTAGTAGTAGATTGTGATGAAGGTGAAGGTGGTAATCATCACCAAGCTCAAGAGGAAGAAGAGTTTGATAACGATGGTTATGAAGAAATGGAAGAAGAAGAGGAAGAAGAAGAAGGAGAAGAGGACGAAGAAATGCCATTTGGGGTTGAAGTTGAAGGTGAAGGAGATAATAATGAAGTAGAAATTACAATTGAAGAAGATTCTCGCAATGTGGAAGTCCCACATCAAGTACAACCGACAACAAATCAACTTCCTCAACAACAATCCGAGGCTATTAGTAGTGCAGGTCCAGCTGGAGAACCACCAGCCTTTGCTTCCAGATCTTCCCGAGGTATTGCACCGATGCCTAGACAACAACAACATTTCCTTCTTCCTCAGCAAGGTTTTGAAGATGGAGGTGACGACAGTATTGTTCCAAGTACTCCGACTCTTTTTGTTCCACGTCGAGGAGATGGATTTGGTGAAGCTGTGAGCTCTCCTCAAGTTCCTCAAGCTCGGTTTACTTTTGGTGATTCAACACCTTCATCGACACCAACATTATCTACTCCTACAGCTGCCACCGTAAGAACTATGTTTGGATCATCAGGATCTGGCGTAGCTCAAGTCGCTCAAGAGGGAATGGATGATACTAGAATGGATTTAACACAGTTAGAAGATGGTGGAACGGGAAGAAGTGTACCTACGACGCCTCTTCAAGTATCTCCAGCTGCTGATTTACCTCCCTCTACTAGTAGTAGTAATCAAGCAGAAGAGCAAGAAGCACCAGTTTCAGCAACTCCGGCTACTGCACCTTCTGCAAGTGACAATGGAGAAGGAGCTGCAGTGCCCAGTATTCACGTTACTACAGATTCAGAAACTGAACCTACATTCCGAGGCTTTCATTTGGAAGCAGTGCCTGGATCTAGCACAGTAACAGCAAATGATGGAGTTAGTTCTGAAAGTGATCAACAAAATGTTGAAATAGCAGCTTCTGCAACTGGAGGAAATGTAGATGATGATTCTATTGATACTGGAGCTGATGAAGAAGATGCTGAAGAAGAAGGACGAGAAGCTGAAGCTTCTCCTTCAATAAATACACGTCAAAGAACAATCGCTGCAGCAGCTGCTGCGGCTGCAGCAAATACTCCAGCTTCAGGAACAGAAGCTCGAGGAACTGGAACTCGAAGAAATAATAGATCACAATTTCGAACCAGTGGGCGTGGTACACGGCCTACTCCTATTGTCTGGGATAACCAAAGTCCAGTAGGTAAGATCAAAATTTCAAAAATTCAATTCTTTACTACACACATTTTGAATGAATAAGAATAAATTTGCTTATTAATAATCTCTTTCTATTTGATATAGGACAATCACCAGCAACTCGTGGTCATCCAACTTTAAGAGGAACTAGCACCGAAGGAGCACGTGGACGAGGTTCACGAGGAAGACGAGGTATGCGCCCCGGCAAGTACGGATATTCAAGATACTAAAAAGTGATGCTCAAAATAGAAATTTTAGGATGCGATAGTAATATTTAACTTCTTATACGTAAAAGAATAAATTTAAAGTTATTTTTTTTAATTGATTTAAATTACAGATATCTAAAATTCTACAAATCATTTGATTTATGACAGTAATTAAGAATTAAAACCATTCCGTATTTTATTATTTTTTTTATAACTTATAAAAAATGTCATTTACAATTAAATTACAACTTTTAAAATAAGAATATGTTTATGTGTGATGTATGATAAGATGAAGGCTGTTATGTTTTCAAAGAAATAAACATCATGTATATATGACAAAAAAGATTTATTTTCACTATTTATTATTTCATTATTATCTTAATTAACATATAACTTGTTAAATAATGAATAAATAAATATAAAATATAAATTATTAGAGAAATTAATAATATCAAGAATCAGGCTTATGATTTCTAATATAAAGTTGAATAATAATTTTTTACCTTCTACATCATGAATTATTTATAAATAGTTTGCATAATTGAAACTTGAAATGCATTTATAACTAGACATATATAAAGAAAATATAGTTTAATGGGAAGATCGAAGACAAGCGTTAAAGTATTAATATACCAGGTACATATCTTTTTGATAAATATTTAAAGTCACAATTTATCCTTTTAATTATATTTAAATTATTATCACAATGTTTCTGAGAATAATACATATTTTTATTACACTAAAAAATCAGTCACATCTTAAGAGTACTCAAACAACTCTTCAACTTTAACAATTATAGAAGAACACAAACTAAATTTTTTTTATGTGATCACTGGATGTTAGATATTTACTGAAGGAATATTTATTATATTTTAATTATAATATTATATTTTTCACGCGTTAAAAACACACAAAGCTGTCAACAAGTGTCCATCATGTCTTGAACTAAATACATCTATACCACGAGTCAACAGTAACTACGTCAACATTTGGTTTGGGCGATTTGCCAAAATTAAACTCAAATCTGTTTTCGTCTAGACGGTGAAAAATTTATAATCACATCAAATACTCCCGGAATATTTGCCGCCACCTGAAAACGATTCTCTTCTTTCATCACTTAGACATACACCCACATCTCTTTGATGTCTTTGGAATTTTTTTATTTATATGATATGTCTACGTGTGAACAGTTTACGACGATCATTACGTCTACAGGTAAAAAGTCACGATATTTTCACAGCCATGATTATTAATAATTTACATTAAACCAACCCTTCACTTTTTTTTTTGTTAGACTACGATCGAACCAAAGAGATTTTAGGTCTTCTTCTTTCCAAATTTTCTCTTTCCGTTTGATTGGCCGGTTCACAGCTACAAGTTGAATGCTGTTCAACACTAATAATTTTGCGAATTGGTTTTTTGGTTTCTACACTCCAGAGTTGAATTTCAAGCTCTTCAAAGTAGATAGTATTTGCTTCAGGCATGCAAACCAAATCAGGACTGCTACAGCAGCCAGATTGTCCATCACATCGTCGAACTACTAGGTAAGCCGGTTGATCTGGTGATTCTTTAGGATGTAACAATCCATAATTTTCCATGAGGTCTTTTAGATGATAAGCACGTGGTTGAGGATCTATGCAGCTGAGATTGCGAGCACGTTCAACTGCTGGAAGACGCATAGCAGACCGAGGTGACATTACATGGGCATTTTTTCTTGAACGTAACTGATAACTTGATATGCCTGAGATGTTGATCAATAGTATCCAAAGCAGTATTAATCCTTGATAGTATGATTTATGGCTTGATTTTCTGTCAAGTATTCGCATCATTTTGATTTTTTAATTCACTTCAACTTCAACTGTATTTTTATTCTAGTGTTGAATCGGTCGACACGTTGTTGAATATCACTGGTACAGTGGATATATCGTTCTATGACGAAGCTGTGGACTTAACTGAGAGCTTCCTTCTAGCACAGAAGTATTTATACATATCCGTAGAAACCGTCCCGTACCTCACACGTCTTAACGACTAAGCACACATGTTGAATGTGCGATATGTTGCACCTTTAGTTCTTAAAGTTCAATTTGATACTTGACTGATTATGCTATATTTTTTACATAAGAATCATGAATTATGAGAACCCAGAGGCGTCATTGCGGTTAAAGATTTCCCATTGTAGAAAATTATTCATTGAACAAATATTTGTTCATCCTTCCCTTATTGAACTCAACTCATTCAATCAAAGCAGGTTCTTTGAATTTATTAATTAATGAGTGCTCTTTATAATAAAATATTATTCAATTATTGCAATTATTCTAAATAAAAATTGATAACCAGTACTATTGCACTTTGATGAGGTTCTAATGGACATTATGTGCAATTCCAATGACGTCAATGGGAATCCCCATGGACAGGAATGCAATCAACCAGGCATTGAACTCTACTACTGGGTTTTCGATGTCATCAACAGGGATAAAAAGACAGAGAATGAATAAATTCTGCGATGAATCCAAGGTCTTTTAGTCTTTTTCCTTATAGAATTCTTAATTCAGAAAACTTCATTGACCAACTTGCGACTTAGTCATGTAGAAAGTTCTACAAATTTCGTAACATAGCTATATCATTTAATTCAATTCAATTTTGCATAAATTTTCGAACACGTCACATTCTGAGAATGACAAGATTTATCAATTTATCTACTAATTCAGAAATCATCTGCATGTTGAATTTTGTTCTGATTTAATACATGAAGTGGCCCATTAGGTGATTTATATCTTAAAGCAGAAAATTACCACGATAAAGGGAGTTTAAACTACTTCTTCCTTATTGAGTCATTTAATTTTGCATCACACCTTGACGCAAATTTTACTGCGTCAGAGTTATACTAATCTGATAAAAATGCTTAAATTATTAATAAATAGTAGTCTGGTCAGTTTCATTATATTACATGATGTTTTCTATTTTTAGCTTCCTTAGGAAGTTTCGAAAGGAAGGAGGAAAACTATTTACAACTATTAGATATTATTTTTAATGTAATTATTATTATGTGTATGATGAATCAGCACTAATTATTCTCCTAGAATTTTTTTTAGTGAATTTTTGAACTGTGGGAGGGTAGAGTATAATTTGACTTAATTTGTAACGACACGATAGCACTAACTTCAATTCTACTTTACTTTGTCGCATCACTAATTATTAATATTTATCAAAACTCAATTATAATTCTGTAAATATCAATTAATATTTATATAACATGTATTTATTTTTTTAAGGATTATCTCATAATAGCATTGCTTGTTTTGTAAATATTATCATTCACTATTTTTTTGAGATTTTTACAAGAACAATGAATAATTAAATTAAAATGTAATCTTACTAGTATTGTAATTCAAATAACTAATGGATCTAATCGCTCACTGACCTAATCTACATTAATGTAAATCATCAAATTTCAGAGAATCAAAAATGATGTAAATCAATCAAAAGTTGATCTTAATATCTGGTATCCTGATGTGTCATCATATTGATGACGTTTACGTGTTACGTAGGGGATTTATTAACTGGTCAGTTCTAGACTTGACGGAGACAAACCACTTTGATGAATCACATATTCGAACCTGTGATGAATTAAATAGATGTAGTTATGAATGACATAGACATTGAAAAGCTAAAAAACTTTCTCTTCATCAATCAAAAGTAAATATAGTATGTGAAAGTATGGTAAATCCTTGAATAAGTAGACCTCGAGTTATGGAAGTGTGCAAGGTGCTGAAATAATTTCCCAATGGAATGCAGAGGACCATGGTAATTATAGTAATTTCCTTCAGCTTCCAGGAACAACTTGAGCTCTTCAACATCTCTGAACGCTATCAGACTGGGAAATGTAAGCCTAAAATGGTAAGAGGGAAGAAGAAAGAAAGAGGGATAAGAGGGGATACATTTGGAGAGTAGCAAGAGAGTAATCTGAGAGGGTAAAGAATTGGAAACTTGTGTTGGTATAATGATTTTAAAAACATCTACATGAGTGAAATCTTCATTTGTCGTTGTGTGTTACATGTATACGACTGAGGAATTGGAGGCAAGACTCTAGAAGGATTCAAACACGAACGACCAGCGTTTGCGTTAGTCTCGGTTAGCAATTCGCGAAATAGTCATTTATTTTCAGTCTCTCTTGCCTCTTTCTCAGTTACAACTTGTCACAGATCTCCAGACAGTTCAATTTTACGGTTGTCTACGTACAATAGCACTTTATCTGGTTCAAACAATTATTTGTAATTTTTTTAAATTATCATTCAGATAGTTGTGATATAATTAAATAAGTTTTCATGATGATCATCCTGCGATGTTTGTTTATATTATTTATCTGTGGATACTGCAACGCAAAATTTCATCATCATAAGTAAGATTTCCAGAATTAATCATCTTTTTCATCTTAATAGATTATACTATAAACAACGTACTACTATTAATTGCAGAACAATTATCTTATTATTTTAATTTGTTTATATTATAGAGATAGCAGTTACTTGAATCACGTGCAGTTGGTGCATCAATTTAGATGTTCGTTGCCACAGCCACGTGCCGTACGTGTAGAAGAGCTTTTATCGGTTGGTCCAAGTCCAGACGAGATTTTTTATCCAATCTCAACAGTTCTGGCACGCTGTGGTGGTTCCGGATGTTGTGCAGAAGAAAGTCAAATATGTGGACCAATTCAAACCAGGAACGTTAGTTTAGTCTTCATGGTAAAACATCGCATTGATCAGCAACGAGACCGACATCATGAAATCATTCATGCAGTAGAACATCTCAAATGTGCTTGTGTCGATAAAGATCGAGAAATATTTTCTTAAATTAAGCAAATAAAAATTGCATTTGTATTTACTTAAATCATTAATATGTTATTCTACAAAGTTATATAAAAACCTGTGATATTCTTCTGAAGTAATTCTAATCAGTTTTATATTGATTTAATTCAACCCACTATCAATCCATCATTTCTAAGAATCGCTTAGCTTCTGCCAAGTCTCGTTTAACAGTCTCGTTATCTGGAACTAATTTAAGGGCTGCTTCGAGTTCAATAATTCCATGTTGTGGTGCCGACAATTTACAAAGAGCTGCTCCCAAACGAGCATGACATCGTGCCCGTGATTCTCTATTGCTCTCACACTTTGGTACCATCAATTCAAGTGCCTAATACACATTTTTATTAATATTAATTAATTTGTTAAAACTATACAATTGACATAAAAAAAATTGGAAAATAAAAAAAAAACGACGAAGTAATTTTTTAAGTTCATTAATATTATTCATTTAAAAATTACTTCATTCTTTTTAAAAATCCAATATGATAATGCCTATTATTTAATTAACTACCTTGTCTCTTAATTTATAATAGGTTGTTCATTACTAACTTTTTATTACAACTAAAAAAATTACAATAAAATTGTAAACATACCGCTGAACAATCTTCAGCACACCTTCGGTAATTCCCTAGAGCATATTGCGCTGCTGATCTATTTGCATAAAGACTTGACATCTTCTCACTTAGCTTGATTCCTCGAGTATATGCATTTATAGCAGCCAAGTAATTGCCGACCTTGAAAAATTCACTGCGAAATACATCAATAATACTCATAAATAATTATTTTAAATGTAATGATAAATAATTAGTAATCATAAAATAGTTAATAATTGACTGCTAAGACTAATGATTAAATTATACGAATTTTTTATCATAACTTATCACACAAGCATCACTTACTCTCCTTTATCTTTAAGCCACAGAGGATCTTGTTCTTCAAATCTTAAATCTTCACTAACAAACCCATACTTTCTTCGAGCTTCAGCTTGTTTTTCAAGCCACTAGATAAAAAAAAAATATCAAGATTTATTTTTTCAGTATTACTATATAATGTAACTGTACCTCTTGTTCCTCTAAATGATAACTTTCTCTCGCTGGAGTTGGAAATGCCCGTTCTGAGAATGTAATACTGATCCTACCACATTGCCTTGGCGTTGGAATGCTTACATCACTATTTTCGAAGATGCTTTTCTTGTGAATAGGATATTTCCCACTTAAAATTCGATCAATTATTTCTTTTCCTCGTTGTCGATCTTTATCCAGTTTCTTTTGAGTAACTTCGCTATTTTTGTCATTACTTAACTCCTCAATAATAGACGATGATTGTTCAGTTACAGAAGATTCCAAGAAATTGTTTTTCCCGGTGATTAAATGATCATTCTCTTCAATTCTATTGGAATTACTAATATTTGCTATTTCATTTGGTTTTTTGTTAGAGCAAATATTTTGATTACCAGTTGCCTCTGAATGAGATATCAAGTTATTTTTATCAGCTGAGACTTCAGATTTAAACCACTTGAGAGGAGCCCTTGAAATGTAAAACATCTCAATAAGCTTTTCCAGGAAGATTTTGCTTTAAATTATCATTATAATTATTACCTGTAAGACTTCCTGTTCTCTTGTATTATGCCTTTTTCATTACTAAGAATAGGATTCTCTGCCTTACTTCTCCAATCTTCAAGCTCTGCCATAGCTTCTTTCCTGTGTTCATCGCGAATAGTATTTATTTTATTGATAATTTCTGTGTCCAATGCAATTTGTTCTCTTACTGCTTCTTTTTGTAGCTCCTGCTGTTTTTCTAGAAATGAATCCAGAGACAATAAAACTATTTTCCCATCTAAAGATTAGTACTTTTTGTGTACCTTTTTTTGCTTTTGCTCTTCTTTCTGCAGATAATTGAGCACGTTCTAGGGCTTGACATCGATACTCTCGTTTTTTGTCTTTACTCAAGTTGTCAAGAGTAAGATTTGACCACTCCTGGTTTACTTCCGCTTTTTTTAATGTCAGTATTGCTGATGACTCTGCCAATATAAACTCACTTTCTTCTTCAACAATGTTGTGCCATAAAAATAACTCAAGCATAAATGGGTGGAAACTTATCTGAAATATCGATAAAAAAAGAAATGGCTATTTGAATCCTAGAAATACTATGGCAAGATATTTCATCATCATACATAGAAATTTATAGTGAAATCTGTCATTAATTATTTGATTTAAAATGTATATTTATCAAATGAATATAGGATTTTTATGAAATAAATTGAATATTAATTTTCATTCTATGAATAATGATAAAATTTTTCGCTGTTTTATTAACATAGAATACCTTTACATAATTGTCAATAGCAAATACATCTACGTTCTTTGGTTTTCCTCTAATAGGAATTGTAATAATTATTTTTTCTGCAGTTTGTCGCCAAGTATAATCTTTAATTATTATAACTGGCATTTTTAAATATTAGTTTATCAAAATAATTACATAGACCTGGAATCAAAGAACTGTCAAAGATACAAAACAGTTTGGTTGGTATTATCGATCAAACATTATAGAATAAAGTATAGGAGCATGAAAAAAATCAACAAAAAAAATTCAATGTATGAAGTTATTTTAATTAAAAGATTTGAGAGTATTCCACAATGACAATATTTTTCGTACGGGTACAATTATATACTGCAGAATATTTTTAATTCAGTTTATTTCCATGTAAGTTTAATTCTTTATATTTTAAGTTTAGATTTGCTCATTTTTTCCTTGTACTGAATTATAAAAGAAAATATTGAAATCGTTTTCATGAATTATTATAAAAAACTTACAAAGATATTTATTGGAATCGGTGGTATGTAATTGTTTTTAATGTTGTTGAGAGTTTTTTGTTTTAAAATATTTCCGAATAAAATTCTAATTTTTACCAAAAAATACTATATCATTACAAATAAATTAGTATCATAAAAATTAAGTCATTTTTATCATTCAGTGATACTTGTATAATAGTATCAATTTAAAAAAAAATATACATAATTAATCACAATTCGCCTGTTAAAAATGTTCAAAAATCGCATAATGAGTGTCAGCAATTGGTTATAATTGCTAATACTCGTACAAAAACAATCGTGGCATTTTTTGTTTGATTTCTTATTTGAATATAAAAAATTTTAAAACTTGTGTGTATAATGAACACCTGTGTCATTAAATTAAAACATTTACTTTTAAAATGAACTATTATGACACTATCGTTTTGCATTTTTTTCTTAAATTTATAATTACTTTTTTCTGTTGTTTTCTTATCATAAAAAAAAATTACCGTTAAATATATATTCAATATATATATCCATTATGTATATTATTTACACAATACCTTTTTTTCTGATTGACGAGTATTCTAATTATCCAGTAATTAGATTTCAATTTCTAATTAATTGTTAAATATAATTGAGATGATACTAGTGAAACTGGATAATTAAGAATATGTTCTGAGAATTATTATAAGATAAACTTATGGCTAATATAAATACGTTGATATCGAATCGAAATGAGATAATAATTGATTGACTTTTGATATCTCATTTTGACTACGAAACTTTTTATTTTGCATTGTTCACAAAAATTGATTTAGTATGATCTATTGGTATTGTTCATGTAATCATTAAAAAATGCAGAAAAATGGATAGTCTATTAAATATCGACATTCAATATCTCACGAATCCGTTACGGAATGTCTGATATACATGTTAAGTAACTCAGTTACCGAAGTCGGGAAGAAAAAGCTAGTAATGGAAGAAAGATGCGCGACTTAAAGTGTTTACTTTAATTCATTTCCTTGTCCAGTTTATGATATGAAGGATTCTTTGAGCAAAATTGTAAAATATAACGCAAAGAATGTTATTTAACGTTTTCACTTGTCCGTTCAGTTTCTATTCTCATTCTCTAAAAATCATTACATTCTAAACTATCAACTATATCGACACTTGGTGTCTTTTTAGACAAATTTTTCGTTGACATTCTGTTTTAAATACGTACAATACACTGATGGAAGAAATAATAATTCATCTAGTACTTTTTTACTAAAATTAGTACGGTAATTAATTAAAGTAATATTCAAGAGGAATAATACCATAATATCTTGTCAAAAATAAATAAACTTAATCGATGTATACACATGTATGAAATACTACATTTTTTCATTTCTTTTATCATAATTTTTTTTTGCATTTCAGTTTTAAGTCTTCTTATTTGACGAAATTGTCCTTATTTTTTTTTATTAAAACATGCAAGTATACAAGGTATGCATGTTTGTTTAAAAAAAAAAAAAAACTCAATAAAAATAATAAAATAAACTAAATGGCTTATTGGTCGTTAAAACAAGTATAACAAACTCAATCAATCAATCAACCATAGTTTGACAATGGCATTGATAACGATAAATACAAAAATATTAATGTAACAATCACGATTGTCAGAAAACAATAGCTTCGTCTTGAAAGAAACAGAACGATTACGAGAACGCAGAATAAAAAAATAGTCAAGTATCCCACAGGGAAACTTGTGTAAAGGTACCACTTAAAGTAGCACAAAAATTTAGATAACATGCTAAATAGTTATAAAAATAACACACAAATATTATTGCAATTTACATTAAAACAGTGAGCGATTTTATCGTTCTTTTATTTCATTGTTATTTTGTTTTATTTTTTTCTTGCAGCTGCTTTTTCAGCCTTTCTTCGCATTCGTTCAATTTCTTTACGTTCTTTGCGTTCACGCTCAGCTTGGCTTCTTAACTCCTTCAATTTTCGCTTTAGGTGAGCCTTTTCATCACCAAAAATGCCCAAACTTTTCAAATCACGTGATTCCAATCGTAAAAGACTGCTTCCATTGATTTCATTGTCCGCAAACCGTGAAGTAAATCGCTCCAAACCAATTCCAGTCAACCATTGACAAACCTATAATCATAAAAATATTATCAGCAACTACTCTACAAATGATTTGACTAAAACTTTTGTAATATCAAATAATTACTTGTTCTTTAGACCAGTCAGTAATTGAAGCAGTTTGCCAAAAGAGAGATTTTTTTTCCAAACCGAACTCATTAGGATTAGGTGGCATCCAAACTTCTGCAGAATCTACACTGCCGATTTTGGACGGACTGGGCTCAACTGCAGTTGGACTAATAGAACCGCCAGACGATAAACTAGATGGTGAACCTCCTTGATGATGCCAAGGTGTACTTCCACTGCCAACAGTTGCCATTGGTATTGAAGCAATTTTAACTCGTTGGCTCGCTTCATTTACAGCTTGCCTTATTTCTTCAACAAGATTGTGTCCAACTGAAGCTGGGTCGTTGTGAGGATTATTTAAATCTGTAAAGTCACCTGAATTTTCACGAGATGACGATAAATCATTGCCGCCTAATCGTCTCTCTCTTTCTGCCAAAACTTTTTTTAATTGTTCAGTTAAAGATGGCGAATGATCAACTAAGCCTTTCTGTGTAGCAGACCAACTTTGCTCTGTCATTGCTCGTACTTGAGAACTTATCGTGCTATGTTGACGAATAGTTGAATGAGTTGATTCAAAATACTGTTTACCCTTTTGAGAACTTATTGATGAACTGCTTGAATAAGAGCTCAAGTTTGAATGTTTAATTGACTCGTTGGACCTAGTACTAGTATCATGTGACAGCCCCATTTTCGAGGAATCTTCAGTGTCTGTATTATCTCCAGACTCATCTAAACCATAGTCAGAACTGCTATTACTCAACCCTCCTGACCTTTTTGGAAGTTGGCGATTTGCAAGCCCACCTCTGCTTGCCAATTCAGCTTTACTTTTTCCTGCTGAATTGTCTAAAAGCCGATGAGCTGGTACAGCACGGTCTAGTTCCTCTTTGATAGGAATTGGAAGTGGAAGTTTTCTTTCTACAGTAGCTGTTTTATCTCCATCATCCGGACTGCTTAGATCAGATGTTTCTGTGTCTGATAGTTGACAGCTCACCGATGAAGGTGGTGGAGGTAATTGACGTCTCGTTAATTGTGGTGTTACTATTCCTTTGGTTGCGCCATCGTAAGGTAACCGCACTGGTAGACCAAATCGTGTGTGAGTTTCCGTTAGTTCTAATTCTAATTTAATTACCTGCAGACAAGAAGAAATTTTTTAAATTAAAAAACTGTTTGCATTAAAATATTTACATGAGTATTCCTTTAACGAAGACATGTATAAATTTTTCCATTAGTTTTTTACTACCGTTTTATTACAGAAAAATAAAAAAATATAGCACCTCCTTACCCGATCTTTCAAGGTTTTTACGAGCGCATTATATTCTGTATCCTTTTCTTGAAGTAATTGCTGGTAAAATTCATCCCTTGCTACGATATCAGTTCTGAGCTCACGTGCAACACGCTTAGCTCGGGCATATTTTTGCTGCAATGTTGTTGTTTGTGCTGTAGCTTGAGATAGCATCTCTCGTGTCGTTGAAAGCTCTTGCTTTGTTAGACCCAACGTTCTTTCTACCTCATGCAATCGTAGCCTTGATTCTCGAAGTTTTGCCGCATATTCTTCACTTCCAGCCCCGCTATTCTCCAACTCCATCAGCTATTAAATAAAATTGTTATTTGTTATGATGCTTCTTATCATTATAACATTAAATGCAGATTCAGTATCAATTCAACAACAATAAATATGAACATCAAATAAGATTGAATGAAAAAAATGAATTTAGATGCAATTACCTTCGTTTTGAGCTTTTCCACTTCATCATCAGCAATCGCTAGCTTAAATTGACTCTGCAAGCAACCAACAACACACACAAATGCATAAGCAAAACCCGAATCTACTGATCACGTACCGCAAGGTAACTGTTTTTGAAAATAATATACGGGTCTAATCGAAAAATAATATATAATGTGCAATAACAACTAACTAGTACTACGAATTTAATAATTCATGATAAGTGCATTAAACAACTATTTATAACTAGTCAAGCTTGATGAAAATACTAAGTAATAAAACATTAAGATGATTTGAAAACACAAATGTATAGATTCTTTCATATTCATTGATTGGATTTATCCATGAAACCTTAGATACCTCTTGGAGAAGAGCTCGTAGACTGTCAAGATCGTTTTGTGTTGAAATTCCTCCAGATGAGCTAATAATTGGTGATCTGCTTCGTGTATTTGAAGTTATATAACTTTCAATCGGACTGTGTGGAGGTTCACCTTCTGAACAAGATGACATTGCTGGAGAACCGGGAATATGACCTATTCTATTTCCAGGTTCTGGAGGATGTTCTTCTCGTGGTGGTCCTTCTTGTGATGTGTCTGAGAAGTTGAGTTTCCTAACAGAAATTAGTATATTAATTTAGAATGATGATTCATATAATATTATTATTAGATTGTTGTTAGATATGAAGTTTATTTACCTATTAGCAGCATTATTTGCTTGTTCACGTTCCAAGTCAGCTTGAAGACTTTGTCGAATCAACATCGCCACTTCGGAATTTTTCGGATCACGTTCTCGACCAATAACAAAACGTACTAATCCTGAAGTATTTCTTAAAACTTTGGCAGCATAAGCTTGTGTTACACCAACTAAAGATTTACCATCAACCTCAACTATCTGATCATTCACTTGGATTCTTCCTTCACGTGCTGCCGCTCCTTTCTCGGTAATTGTTTTCACGAAAATTCCGAGTTTTTCTAGCCCGGCATCTGCTCCAACACCCATTCCGATAATGCTCAAACCAAGACCTTCAGGCCCTTTCATTAATTCTACTGGAAAGACCTAAAAAATTATTTCACGTTAATTTTTTAGACATTGAATTTTGAGACAGCTCACTGGAGGAGTTAAATTAAAATCTGATTTTTCTGTCAGGTACTTGAAATTACGGCATTTAAAAAATTTTTCAATGAGAAATGACAAAAATATGAATAACAATAGAATAGCTATCATGCTGAATATTATCTATCCCGAACAGATCTTTAATATAAGACTAGTAATATTCCCTCAGCACCCCAAATAGCCTCAGGCTCTTTTCAGGGTGGCCAGATTGTCGTCATGGAAAATTTGCGAGCAAGGATGTACCATCATTGGGAATATATTAAAAATCAGAGAATAAAAAAACTAAAAAAAGAATAAAACTTTATGAAAAACGAAAAAATTACCTCCATTTTTTCAACTCGTTTTTCCAATTCATATTCTGCACTTGCAGCAACTGGATCAACATCTTCATTACGTCGATCATATTCATTAACTGAATGAGTTGAATATATTCTTATAGGACGTGTGTCAAAAGAAACTTTTGAGTTTTTCTTTGGAATAACTCCACCTGAATCTTCATCATCAGACTCCGGAAGACCATCAGCTTCCATCCAGAAATGACCATCTTCAAAAAAGTGCTTTCCATCTTCCACTAAAATAATTCTTCCAGGTGTTGGAGTACATTCATCCCGCTGTTCTGTTTCAGTATCATCATTAGTTGTATGGGTATCATTCAAACTACTAACAGATCCTAATAATCCACTTTCACTACCTGTAACGGAACCGATTTGGCTTTCTGTCAATGAGTCTATCGTTAAATCACTTCGAGATCGGTGAGAAAGGCTATAATCTTGTGCAGTACTATTAACAAGACTTGAATCTTGTGCTGAAAGTACATCTGATAACCAGTCTGGAGTATTATCTAAATCCTCCTTCTCCTTTTCTTTTTCTACCTCTTTATCTTTATCAAAGGATTTGGCTTCCGTCGATGGCTCGACTGTTGTTGGAGACAATAACCTTGCAATTTCCTGAGCCTCTTCATCAGACAACAAAGCAGATCCTTGACGAATCTTTTTCTCGAGAATTTGTGAACTCAAAAGGTTCTCGGCTTCATCTGCAGTCATTGTGTCTGGAGTCACGGTATTTGGTGGTATACTAGATTTTGTTGGTGTTTCATATTTTTTGCTTGAATGATCATGAATTAATTCAGGAGTATTTTCATAATTTGTTACTGTTTTTGAATCACTTGAATCTGTGTCTTCAACAAGACTATTTTCCGATTCTCTCTGCTCAGTATCATCTTTTGTTGGAAGATGAGAAGTCGTTACGGAAGATACTAAAAGAGATTTATGAGGAAACCTAGATGGGTCTAGATAATTATTCTCAGACGATCTTAGTGCAGCTAATTGATCAGCTTTTTGTTTTTCCAATTCCCACGTTGTTTTTAACTGTTCAGTCTCTTCAGCAATTGCTTTGTCAGTCACATCAATAGTTAAATTATTTTTCGAAGAAACATTATTGACCTTATCTTTATTCTCAAGTTGTTCAGATAAATTACTAGTAAATTGACTGGTCGGAAGATTTGACGATTGACTCATTGGTCTCTCAACCTCTGTAAAGCTTGACCGCTTTTCAACCATTTCATCTTTGCTTTTTGCTAATTTCTCCCTCATTGACATTTTTGTTTGATCATTTTTCGCATTAGAAATTGTCTTTTGGCACCGTTTATCATTCGCATGTTTCTCTTTTTCCAGAGCATTTTTAACACTAATAACTCGCGATGTTTTACGCGTTTGTTCTTCAATCACTGAGTTCGTCACTTGATTTTCTAAATTTTGTGTTTTTAATTTTTCTTTTTGTTCCAAATTTAATTTAATACCCAACACTATCTCAGATTTTGGCTGAGTTTGTGGTTTTCCATCTTGATTTGCTGGTGGTGGTTGTTGTTGCTGTTGCTGTTGTTGTTGTTGTTGTTGTTGCTGTTGTTGTTGCATTCGTTTAGCATAAGGTGATGGCACTGGTATATCTTTATGTTCCAAGGGTGGAAATTCTTGATCTGAACTAATAACAGAGGGTGGTCGTTGACCAAGGCCAGCAGCTGGCATGTCCATACGTACATGAGATCGTCGGACAACCGTAGCTGCATCAGTTTCAACAAACTTCTCCGCATTGCCAACCTCCTCTTCCTCTTCTTCCTCCTCTTCTTCACATTTTACTACCTCAGCATAAGCATTTGGTTGATCAACAGTCTCCGCCTCTAGATCATAGCTGTTGCGTCCTTGAATGAAAAAAAATTCTAAATTTAGTTCAAAATTCAATAATTTCAATTATTGGAAATTTCTCCAGCTACCTCGACAGTCGATGCATAAAAGACGAAGGCACATGGTACTGCGAGGTCGCAAATAATTTCGCTTTCGTCGCTCCGTTTTAATAATAATTTACTTTACAAATATAAGTGTACTACTTTTTTAGCTGACTGCTACTTTAATGAACAAAAAATAATAATATGTCTTCAAATATTTGATTTTTTCAAGAGATATTATATTTGTACAGAAAAATAATAATAAATATAAACGGAAGAGAGAATAACATCTTTAAAAATAGTAAAACACTCAGTGAGACCGACATCACATAATTTTAAAAGCCTAGCATAAACGTTTCAAACGGTTGAGCTTTTTTTATCGAGCCATCAACATCACTTGATCAACTAGTTCACGATCGTTCACAGAGCTCACTCAAGTGTACTTAACACATTAGATACGTATAGTGCGTCTCCCTTTGACGGTCATTGCTTAAACGTGTTAAAGGAGTGAAAGCGCGACAGGGAAATACACGAGGATTGATGCCGAACGTGCGCAGACTGATTTCTATTAATAATACGCCCGGAGGTTAGAAGCGGACTCGAGGGGGAGGAAGAATATCAGAAGCTCCGAGGCTAAGCCGGTGCAGAAAAGGGTAGCGTGGACAGGAGAGTTTAGTGGGAAGGGGAAAGTAGATATCTATGAACAAGAAAACGGATACATGACGGTTATCCGCGTATGTATTTTACTTTTACCTTCTCTTTAAAAATTTTTTGGCTACAAGCCAAATTTATTTCACGAGTGGGAAGCAACCAGCGGTCGAGACATAGTATTTTTAGAATAATCCATTGCCATTGAACTTTCGCGTAGGCGTCATTCACAGATTAAGTCTTAATCACTGATTTAATAATACCTTCGTTTTTTGCATCTTAATTTCATTAATTATTTTTATTATTCAAGTATCATCTTTACCATATTGTAGCTTCTCTGGCAGCTCTTTTTCAGCCTTCTCTTCTTTACTGTCCTTAGAAGGAGAACTAGGTGAACTCATACTTGAAGAAGCACTGTCAGTACCGACAGACGGTGGTCTCAATTCATTTTCTGGCGATTTCGATCGTTTTGATTCCGTGCTAGATTCAATGTTTACATTAGGTTTAGCCCAATCTGGTCTAGAACTCACTCGTTCAATCACTTCTGTAACAGGTTCTTTCAATTCTGAGACATTTTTTAAAATCTCTTCATTCTTTGCAAGCCAAACATTACGCCATTCAGAAGTTTTTGGTGGTGCATGAATTGGACTTGAAGGAAGAATGGGATAGTCATCAACTTCAAGCAATTCTTGTTTGTCATATTCAACTTTTTCAAGCTCTGGACATAAGCCCTTAGATCTTTCTCGAGCAAGAGGTTGAATAGTGGGACTAGAATTTTTACTACTTGATATAGGAGTGATTTCTGATTTCGAATCTTTTGTACCTAATTTTGATGCTTCTAAAGGTTTCTTTGATCCTAAAGGTTTCTGTACTGTCGCATATTCTGGCATTGGCTCGTTTGGCTTAGAAGTTTGCTTTGCGTTAACTCCTTTTTGAACAACAGCATACTCTGGGATTGTAGGAGAAGCATCAAAAGATCTGTTGATAGTTGCATACTCCGGACTTACCGGAGATTCTGAACCAGTTGGGCTCGTTGCTGCAAAACTTACAGGTCTTTCTTTCTTTACAACTGAAGAATTTCGCATTGGCGGCAAAGGTGGTGGCGGTGATATCGTTGGTGATGGCCTCGATGAACAGAAACTTGCAGATCTCGTCGCAGGACATGGTTCTGTTGGTTTTTTAAACTCAATCTCTTGATAATCAGACTCGATTGATGTATCTATAGTTGAATTATCGACGATCACCTTTTTTAAATTATTTTGAATAGACGTCTGAACTACAGATCGATTAGGATCCGAGTTATATCGACTAGGTCGTGTTTTAGAAAAATGACTTGTCCAATTTCTTTGCTTTTCTATCAATTCTTTCGAATTTAAACGTCTCTCAGGCTTCTCTGGGCGATCTGGCTTTTCATCTCGACGGTTTTCTTTACCGTAGTTCTTTTCAAACTTCGATATAACTCCGACACGAGGCTTCAACCGTTGTACTGCATTGTCTGCAGCATGATGGCCATTTTCAAAGTGACGTTCAGCGTTTAAAGCTGGCACACTAGCACTCCAATTACTCAGATGGTCTCGACAACTGCCTGGTGGTGAAGGTGATGTTGGTCTTGGTGATCTGGCAGGTGATGTACAACCAGATCCAGAGTTTGCTGAGCTGGAACGCGATCTCAGTCCATGAAAATTAGTTGGTTTTGTTAATCTGCAACAATGTTATGATTAATCATATCGAATATTTTAATAATATTTTTTTATAAATAAAATTGATTACTCACGGCCTATTAGTTTTGTTTTCTTCCCCCAGCTTTTCAAACAATGCCCGAGCATTATTGAACCTGGCAACATGACTCTCTGTCCTAACAACAGTCACCTGAGTTGGAGAATCTGAAAGAGGTGTAGTTGGCTCCTTAAATCCTCCCTCCGGATGAATTGTTGTGGGTCTATGATGAGTTAGACCTTCATGTTGTGGTTTAGATTGAAAAATATTGGCTATGGCAGACACTTTTGATCCTGCCACTCGTTTTTTTTCCTCAACCGTCGCCATCCTCACGTTCTCCTTCTTCTCGTTTTTCTGCTGGTTATATGATTTTGTGATATTTCGGATGATACGTTGAATACGAAGGGCTGAGAGAAGTAACTTCCGAAAAACGTTGGAGAGGGAGAGATAATGCAGGGTATCGACCATACCTGGAACCTCCTCAACTGTCCAATACCATATTCAATATTTTTTGTTTATTTAAAAAAACTTTATATTCCACAATTCGCAAATAAAAGTCACTAAAAAGCTCACATTTCATTTCTTTACGTGTCTGAGTAAACAAAAATAATGAAAATGCATATTGAAGCATTACTTAAATGATGCTATCGTGCACGTGCTCATTTCTTTATTTATTGATTAGTTAAAAGAATCTATTATTACTTTAGATAAATACTGATAAACTAAATTTAATGGAATTTACCTTTAAAATGGTGTTTATTAAATTTTAAAGGAAAAAATAAGGAAATACTAAGAGAGAGAATAAGATGATAAAAGAGGGAGAGAGAGAGTAGAATTAAAAGTAAAAATTAAAATCTACTGGCATAATACACATACACGTGATGCTAACTGTTGGCTGGGTTTTACTCTCTCTCTTTTCTCCTCTACCATTCACTGTTCACCATGATACACTATGCTTCTTCTGCAATCAATACTTGAATCCTGCCTTGTATGTCTGAACTTGAGGCGCTACAACTAAAGAGGAACCTATTGCAATTTCCATTTTACTCTCGTTTTCTCTGTTACGAGTATTATCTTTCCGTCTAGTCTGTGTACTTATCTCTTTTTCAGATAATTTATCTGACAGACCGTATAACAAAAAGATTGAAGAAAAATAAATGGAGGAAAGTAAAACTTGATGATTAATAATAATAACAACAGAGAAAAAAGCGTTAAATTTATGAAACTCTTGTAAAAGTGAACAACTTTAGCATTTCAAAACAGGAAATAGTTTCACGCAAGTTTCTTGATCTGATATGAATGTTAAATAAAATGTCATTCTCGCATATAAAATCTAATTAATAACCCACCATTTCTAATGAATATAATTATAAGTGAAATTCGATATGAATATTACGTAGACTTAATATAGTCATTATTTTTCACTCATAATTTTCTTATCAATACTTGAACTTTTATCATTGAATTATCAAAACTCGTAATCCTGTTATATGAATTATTTAGCACTTATCATCATCAAATTTAAAATCATAATTGTTCTGTGTAATAAAAAAATCATTAACAGTCACTAATCACAACGACTAATTAGCAATAATATCGTGTGACAGCAGAGTTGAACAATAAGACACGAAATCGCCAATTAACATGCGTGATTATTTATCAAGCTCAATTAATTGTTTGAGAAAATAAATTGATAAATCAATTGATCAATTGTCAACTTAAAGTATAATGTAAATTACATTCCAATCGACGTTCAGGCCGTTGACCGTTGAATTCAAGGCCGTGTCAGGAAAGAAAGGGGGACGAGGAGAAGCTTTCGTCTTGAGGAAACTCCTAGTGGACACGTAAACTCAGTACACTTTTGTTTTTATCTAGCAGTTGAGGAGAAACAAAGCATGGTCGTGTTTTGTGCATGGAAGCATAAATAATAAATAACAATTGTTCAATTATTTAATAAGACAAGAACTTACCAAAGATGTCACCATGTGCAAGGAACCATTTCTCCGGTGAGAACAGCGGAGACGAGTTGTCGCCGCTTCCGGAATCAACTTACTTTAGACCCTTTAATCACCAGGCATTCTTATGAAGTCAACCCTAATGTACTTTTTACTTTCGTTGTAGGAAGGCCGTTAATATGAGCGTCTTAAGTGAAATTTTCTAATGTAATAATAACGATTAGAGAGAGAGGGAAGCCTATGTCACAAGGCTGTAAAATCTTTCGTTCTTGTTCACACTCGTCTTCTTTTACTTCTCTCTCACACAACCGTGACAGACGCTTATTTTTGTCAAATTTTATTTGTTGCGTTAACAATAACTCTTCAGTCGTTAATTGATTTGATTTACAGTATCAAATCGTCTGATTAACACACCAAGTATGCCGGCTCTTTTATCAATCACTTTTAATAATTATTACGGCTATACGTTTTGGCCGAGCAAAAAACACACCTTCACGACGACCGGCTGGAAAGCTGCCCGTGTCAACAACCCATGAAAAATTGATGAGACAAGATGGTTTAAATTTAGTATACTCCCAACTCTGATAGGTAGCGCTTTTATCAGTTTAAAAAATTATCGACTTTTTTTTTATTTTTTATAATAATTATTATTGGTATTCTTTATAAATATATCATTTTAATATATAATAATTGTATTTATTTCTTTGGAGTATTCAATAACAATGAATAAATTACGTTTATGTTTTGGTAAATTTTTCTAATCTACATTGATATTTGAATACCTACAATTTTACCGCGGTTTCCAAGTTGACTACTGGATCAAGGTAGTCAATCCGTATCTATAATTACTGTTGTTGATGACTAATAGGATGCTCTGTTCTTCTTGGCTCAGAAAAATACTCTACAACTCCAATTGTAATAAACGTGAATTTTCATAGAATTAATAGTAAAAAAGTAGAGCAAAATTAAGAAATGATTATTTTGTGAAGATAAAAAATTAAAAGTAATGAAAAGCTCAAGTAATTGATCTTGAAATTGATAGTGTGAATAACGTACACGCGAGTCAAAGTTGTGAGGTGGAAAGTAGTGTTTAGTGAGGAAATAAATAACAAGTGTAAACGTAAGTGTGAGAGGCAAACAGCATCATAAGGGACTTGTTTCCCAGTTGATGGACTTATGTTGTTTGCAAACAAAGCACGAACTATTGTCTTCCCAGAGCATATCCGGAATGACCGAAGATTGACGCGGTTTGGAACAAGTTTTCTCAGTGGTGTCAAGACACAATAATAATATCTTAAAAAAATCAGCAGATTTTTTTCGATTTAACCAGCTCAAAGAGAGAAATACAAAGATCCCTTGAATTAGTACTTACGACGAACTTTTGTTAGGCCAATTAATAAATATTTCTCTCTAAATTATCTAAGGACTGAAATATTAGCTCATTTTATAACTTATTTTTCTATACTAAATTAATTAGAATTTTTGAACTGGACGAATCAGCCAAGTTATTTGTTAACCGTGAATACAGACAAGCTTTGCCCAAAGTGGCTTTAAATAAGAAAAAAAAATAAAAAATAAATTTATAATGTCGAGTCTTGTAAATCAACAGTTATGGTGTACTTATTTAGTGAATAGTATGGAACTATTTAAACCCTCTCGAAAGTATGGATCATCATTTCTATTATTACTGATAAAAATATGTTATTAAATCAAGTAACATATTTTATTAAATTTAACACCATTAATATTTGATTATAGCTACCGCTAAATTAATCTTATCCATCAACGTCCTACTCACATACAAATAAAGTCATGAATAAAATTTAAAAACTAAGCCATGCGATAAATTTTATTATACAAACAATGCGTTATATAAAATAACTAATTTGTTTTAATCGTCTTTTTTTAGAGTGTCTTTATCATCAACAGATAGGCAGCCTGGTTGAGCAATCACATTTTGCAGATGGTTTTATAATAAATATCAAACATCGTATTAAAATTCTTTCAAGACGTACATTATCATGGATAACAATCACGATGGTGACAATATCAACCTGAGCTGTGGAGAGAATGATATGGGAGATGAACTTAAAATTGGAGCTGACGAAACATACGACACTCGCAGTGAGGTATCATCTAGTTCATCAGATTCAGACTCTAGTCAGCCTAGCATAAGTTCTGTATCAACAAAATCATCTCGTGGTGACAATAAACGCAATCGAAAAGGCCCAGGGAAACGTCCTCGATCTAGAGATTCTAAGTCATCGAGTCCTGACAATAAACGAGCAAGATCTAAAGAAAGCAAGGGTACTACGAAGAACTACGATTATTCAACGAAACTTAATTATTTATTCAGAGATGCAAGGTTACAATAATTAACATCATTATAATAGTATTCAAACAAAAAAATAAATTGCATTTAGTCTAATTTTACATTATTTTTACATTAGGTTTTTTATTATAAAGTCAAACAACGCAGAGAATGTTACATTATCTAAGGCAAAAGGAGTTTGGAGTACTCTTCCACAAAATGAAGCTAACCTAAACCAGGCGTACAAAGGGTCTAGAAATGTTTTATTGATTTTTTCAGTGAAAGAATCGGGAAAATTTGCTGGCTTTGCAAGATTAAGTACAGAGTCTAGGAGAGATTGTCCCCCAATATCTTGGGTACACAATAAATCCAATTGAATAAATTTGATATAATAAAAATATACAAATTTTATAGAATAATAATTTGCACAGGTTTTACCACCAGGACTGTCAGCTAAAGCTCTTGGAGGCGTATTCAAAGTTGATTGGATCTGTAGAAAAGAATTGCCGTTTACATCTACTCTACATCTTTATAATCCTTGGAATGATGGGAAACAAGTGAAAATTGGACGTGATGGTCAAGAGATTGAGCCAAGAGTTGCTGAAGAGCTTTGCAGATTATTTCCTGAAGATGATGGAATTGAAATGACACCTATTTTACGAAAATCTAAAGAAGCTGCTAAAAATGTTGTAAAAGTGTCAAGACGTGTGCGTAATGGGCGACCTGTTGGAATTTCAAGATTTTTACGTACAAGAGGAAGTGGAAGAGGTGGAAGAAGACTTTTTTTAACATCAAGATCTCGGCTTGCATCACTTGCTAGAAGTGGATATGCATCAGATCAACGACCTGGAGATTATAATCATCGATATTGGTTTAGTCGAGATTCTTCATATGCAAAGTGCGTTGATATTGAAAAAAAAACATATTTTTACAATAGCTGTAATTATTTTTCCTTACTGTAAATAAATGTATTTGTTATAGAGGGTATCGTTCATCAGGCTTAGGTATAGCTGCAACAGCTGAAGCTTATTTAGCTGACTACATGCGAACTATGCAACATCAATTACCTCCATTACCACCTTATTCCAGTTCTCATCCTTATGATAACTTACCTCCACCACCACCACCTCCAAGATATTATGATGGCCTACCACCACTTCCCTATACTCCATCAAGTTCCAGTCTTGACAAACGGAGTTATGAACGTAGTGTTGATGAGTTTCTTTGGAGAACCTCTAGCCGTCGAAGTCGTCATAGTGATCATCGTTCTTCACGTGATCATCACCATCGACATAGAGAACGTAGATGAATGCAGGACAAATCATAATTATTTTGTTAATTAGGTTAATTTATAAATTGTGCTTTAGAGTATATTTTATGAAATCTTCTGAAAACTTCTGTGGTCTTTAGTTGAATAATGTCTAAAAAGAATCAATTAATTAATACAGAATACATTCTTAATTCTATATGTACAAATAACTGATTTATAGTTATTTTATATTTTTAATGATATACATAGATATAAATAAAAAAAATTTTTTTTTATATAAATGAGTGATCTCATGAGAATGCTTGAAAGTAATCAAATTTGTTGATTACAAGTTATTGTCATGGTAATAATTCTAATAAAATATATATCAATGTATGCGTGAATGAATCCTTTTTTTTAATTGTGTAATGATTATCATCTTAATAATCAACAATCATCATGTATGCCACGTGTGGAGTTTCTTAAAAAAATTGATTATACCCTTTGGTATAATAAAAAATAATGCTTCGACTAAAAGTTTATGATAATTATTATCGAGATTCATCCCACACTTGATTCACAAAGGAAGTAAATTATCGTATGATGAGACTCAGGCAGGAATAGTAATGCAGTTATTCTAACATGGTCCCTAAAAAAGCTATCATTTTTTCATCATACACTTCTTTAATTAGCGTTTACGTTTTATTATGTATAATAGTGATAATTATAAAAAACAATTATTTTTCTCTGATTTTAACAGAATTAAAAAAAAAGAATAATGATGCACCTGCTGGCAATAATCATCATTATAACATTCGAGATAAAACTGATGAATTAAAAACATTAGATCTTAGTATTGATGTGTCAGTAAGTTTATTAGTTTTATCTGTTAATAAATCCCTAACATCATTTTAATTGTCATTTCATATTTAGGAAATTGATTCAACAATTGAACGAGTCTTCAATACCTGTGACAATTATAACTTAGTTACTCAATTGAAACCAAAACATTTTTTGCACAGTAAAAAGCATAATGTTCTTTTTTGTTGGATAAGAAAAGTTGCTTCAAAAAGTTTTACAAAATTTTTTGCTGATCTAGAAGACTATCAAATTATGAGAGATTCTTACGATAGGTAAAAAAAATTCAAAGTAAATATAATATTTCTTTTAATAATTTTTTTTTAAATTTTAGAGAACTTGACTCTTTTGATGTAGAGAATGTTGAAGATCTGGTAAATTTGATTGATGACAGAAATACTTTTAAATTCTTTGCTGTAAGGCACCCTTTCGTCAGATTAGTCTCTTCATATAGAGACAGGATTGAAGACAACTCAAAATATTCTGCTCAAGCATGGATTTATGTTCCTAAAATATTTCATATAACTCGACCGCAATTATTTTACCGTAATAAATCAACAAGTCCTTTGTATAAAATATTTGACAGAGATCGCAGGTATTTTATTAACTGTATATTTATTGATAATTCTGCAGTCATAACTTCAGATTTGATCTTTGTAGATTAAAAATAATTCCTACTTTTAAAGAATTTATAATTGGACTACTGAAACAGCCTGAATCTTTGAGTGATTTCCATTGGAGTCCATACTACTCTCATTGCTCAGTGTGTCAAGTCAACTTTGATTACATCTTAAAATTAGATAATTATTCAATAAAGGACTTTAGCTTTATATTTGCTAACGCAGGAATTAATCAAAATAACTGGGAGTTTTCAAACATAGGAATGAATATGAAAGGGAGCAACGAATTTTCAAATTACATGTTCTTACTTATCGACTCTATCATTAGATATGTTTTACAAATTATATGCAAAATATAGATAGATTTCGAAATGTTTGATTATGACTATAAAATGTATGAAAATTGTATTAAAAAATAGACCATTTTACAAGAAATAGAAATAAGTTTTTATTACTTTTAAACAAATGTCGGAAAATTTTACCTGAATTACAGATATAAATAATGTTATTGTTTTTCTTAATTAAGAATATTTTTTTTTATTGTTTCGTAATTATTTTGGAAATGATTATAATATGAGTTTATTATAAAAGTATTTAACTAATTGTCCGCTTGATTCATTTTTTTGCAGGAGATGCAGTTTGATCACAAATAATCTGACATTCATCATCTGTAGGTTTGCGAACTCTTTTGAGTGGAGATTTTTTAGTTAGTGTACCTTGATTATTATCTTCAATGATGCAAATATCATCGTCAGATGTTTTTCGTTTTTTCGGAGAAGGAATCTCGTTGCTAGGTGAACCAGTTTTTCGTTTCTTGGCTGCTATCTCATCTTCATCGTGTTGATTCATTGCTACTTCTACAATATCGTCAACCAATATCACGTCAAGGTCATCGTCATCTACTTCGGTAACTTGTCCATTGGAAGTTGAAGGTTTATCAATGTCATTCTTTTTCTCTTCCTCTTTCGGCTTCAAATCTTGTTCATCTGCTACCACTAAGAAATCAGGACTTTCGCCACGAACTGAAGGTTTGTCACGATGTATTACATTTACAGTCAACGAGTAATTTTGTTGGAAATCATCAACCTTAAGTATAGCTCCATTTTTAACTCCCAATTCTTCTAAAGTCTTATCATTATTTTCTTCTGTTTCTCCTTCTTCACTACTAATTAAAATCCTTCCTAAGCCATCAATCATTACATCAGGCGCAATCATATTTAATCTTTGTTTTAAAACAACTTCATTGAGCTCATCTATTGTCATTTTACTGGTATCAGCAGCGAGAACTGCTGTTGGTGTTGGAGCACAGACATAGCACTTTGGATTAGGCGGATTTAAATCCCTTTCTGGTACTAATAGTTGATTTTTATGATTAGGTCGTGGTCTTAAATAGACTGATTTGCAAGATTTTAAATTATCACGTAAAATATGGAATGCATGAAGAATAACAACACCTGCTATAATTGCATTTGTTGTCGCAATTGCTGGAATAATATTTCCAGCCATTGACTTAATATCAAATCTTGATTTCTGTGGAATACCAAAAATGTGTGCTCGAATATTTGAACAAGCAGCTACAAAGTCCATGGCATCTTGATCATCTTTATCCCATACTAAATGATCATTAGATGATTTTTCACGTAGTTTTTCTAATTTATTTTTTAAATTATTTAGAGCGTTTGCAAAAATATTTGCGCACTTTGCAATACTCCATCTTTGTTGATCTTTTAATCCTTCATCATTTGTACTTTCTTTGCTACATCCTGCTACTTCATCTGGAAGACTTTTCCACTCTAATGGTGTAGGCGGTGTTCTCTTTTTCCATAAATTATCCATACTTAGTAGATACTTGATATCATCATGAAATAATTTTGCAAAAAGCTTTTCAGGATTGTATCCACATGCATGAGCCCAAAGTCTAGTTGATACTCGTTCAACGTTGCCTTTATCATTTGATTCTGAGTCTAAAGCAGCTTGACCAGCTTTGTCACCAGCAGCCTCAGGATCAGCTGTATCTGGTGATACATCTTGATCAGGATCTTCTTCTCCAAATAGTTGATTGAACAAATGTTTAGACCATACAATACAGTGAATAGGTTCACTGGGAGTGTTGCGAATTGTACAACCTGGAAAAGTTTTTTGTGGCGGTTTCGGCAAACATTCATAACATTGGCTTAGACCTTTCTTGATTAATTCAACTTGACCATCATAACCAGCAGTTCCTGACTCAATTAAAGGAACATCAGCTGCCAAACACATTCTATTGACATGATTTCTAGCAGCACGATTATCTAATGCATTCATTACCAAAGTGAATTTCTTGAAAAAGTTGAGTCCATAATCTGATCTGTTGATAAAAAAATAGTTAATATAACTTTACTAAATAAATTATTAATAAGTTAATATAAAAATATACAGAATATGATTTCATTATAATACAAATTAAATCATTCCATAAAAATAATTTAAATAAACTTACGACATAATACTATCATGATAAGAAATGATGTTAACATCAGGATTAAATTTTAAAGCCGTTTCACGTGCTACAGCAGATTTTGATTTACCAACATGCTGTTTTTGAAAAAGAAATTGTCTGTTGAGATTACTCACATCTATAGTGTCAAGATCAATCTGAAAATAAAAATTTCTTATTTAATAAATAGAAATTAATAAGAATTAATATAAAAATGTAGCTTATACATTGCGTTAGTATTATTTGTTAAGCGTGTTACAAACAATCATGATATCAATTAATTTTCACTTACAATCTCGATATCTTTAAATCCAGTCATAACTAAATTCTTAAGGATCTCACAACCGATACCACCGGCACCCACAACAAGTATTTTACTTTGCAAAATAGCATTTTGCAAATCCTCACGAAAAACACCTTTGATATTCGCAGCCATTTTTATTGACTTCAGCGTGCTTCAGTTTGGTTATGCATACTCGCTTCCAGTGGCGGTATCCTCACGATTGTGATGCCTCTTTCGAGCAAACATGAAAGTAGCAAAACTGGCCGTCTACTGAACCGTGCGGCAAATATACTATGTATTTATAGTTTTTTTTGTATAGTTATACCAGAGAGAAGACTTCTCTCTGGTTATACATGAAGGGATCACGCTGATTTCTCAAAAAATCTAATACAAATTGTTGAATTGTATAATTTATACAAAAAACAAGGCTGTTCTTTACATGTAAATCTTTTACATCAGTTTTATTCAAAACTTTCTTTTACATTTGTGAAATTAATTAAAAAGTATGTACTGTATTATCATGTCTAAGTTTATAAATAATATAATTGTTTACAAAAAAATAGTGTTTATAATTTTTATGTCCATTCGGAAAATTTTATTCAAAGTTTTAATGAGAATTTTAAAGCCTCATTAATTTTTTTTCAGCTACTACTTAACAATGATAATTTGGACATTGTGTCGAGTTAGTAGGCTCAAAGAAGTATATCAACGATTACCTTTACTATCATCAATAACTAAAATAAATAAAATTCCTCAAAGATACAATATATCTTTACATAATGAGGCACTTTTTGGACGAGATAAGAAAAAAATTAAAAAGTTCATGTCGATAGACAATATACCAAAAGATTCTCAACTGGTATACAATTGTGCAATATCGAAACTTATAGTATTTGCATACAATTCGTCTTGGTTTCTATTGATATTTATTTTGTCTGGAATTTATTATTATACTGATAGTGAATTGGACTATCCTCTTTATGAACCTGACCAGAATGATGGAAGTACTTTGCACAATATTACAATATATTCAGAAGTAGAACATTATATGATTTATTTATTTCTGTTATGCTATAATGTATTTGGATTTGTATGGTGTCGACGAACAGCATTGAGAATATGGCATCATAACGACAAATATTATATGATTTTACCAAAACTTGTTTCTAAAAGTGGAAGACAAGTTATTGTTAAACCAGGAGACATGTCACTCAAATATAAATTTGTACAGATACCTTTGATTAAAAATGTTCATGTTATGAATGGTTGGAAATACTACATAAATGAAGAAAATTTTATGACACCATTAGAATATTTTAAATTTATTGGTGAATCTACTTGATTTTGTAAATAAATATAAAATTTTTTAAATAATGTACATTGTTTCCAATAAATTAATTATATCTAGAATGATCATCAGCCAACATATTTACAAATATATTCATAAGGAAGTTTTTTCACGTATTTATTATCCTTAATAATTTCAACATCAACGCTAAATTCTTCAATTCTAACTTTTTCAACTGTAGCTATGGAACCTCGATATTTTCCTTGAACAATCATCACTTCTTTTCCAATCGCTGGTATAACTGTTTCTAGATATTCTTGATCAATTTTTATCACGTGTCCTTCTACATCTTCTGGAGAAGATAATTTTACTTTAGCCACAAATCCAGAATCTAACATTGGACCCTGCACTACTCCTTTAGCTTTATAATATTTCGAGCCTAATTTTTTTGTGATTATTTTAACAACTAATCCTTCTCGTAGCCATCCTTCAGTAGATTTTTCTTCACGCTCTTCTGATTTTCTTTTACTATGTTTCTTTTTTCTAGCAGAATCCTCATCATAGTCTTTTCTTTTAAAGCTTCTGTATGAATGACTTTCACATTCCTCTGAATCATTTGTATTTCTATCTACATTTCCTTCATCACTGGTTCCTTCATTTGAATCGATAGGTTCTTTTTTTATATCACGATCGTTAATTAATTTTTTGGGTGGTTTCAATGGTGGACCCATTACTTGGGGTAATCTAGGTTTAAGTTTCAGCTCCAAAACTAAAGGACCATCTTCTTCCGAACGCATCAATGGTGTAGCTGTGTCATCAGAAGTATCTTTTTGTTCTTGACTGCCTTTTTCAACTTGTTTTTCGATGAACTCCATCATACGCTCTGCATCATCTTTATCCATTTTCTGCTTTTTAGCTTTTCGTTCTTGAGCTGCTAGAGTCTCTGGATCACGATCAATGTATGTAACAAACCATCCTTTCTCCGTTTCATCTACAACACATTTTCCTGTGCGACCAAGCCATTTAACAAAAGCTGTAAGACTGTACCAAATCGTAGCATTCATATGAATATGATGTCTGTCTGTGATATAATCTTGATAAACTCTATTGGCAGATACTCGACGTGTACCAAATTGACGTTTTAGTAAATTCAAATACCCATCAGAAAATTCTCTAGAAAATTGATCCATATACTTATGTTGACTGTCAGCAAATAAGAGCATTTGTCTGTGATGAGATTCCGACATCGTATGACATTTGAATCCATTTTCGTCTCGACACTGTTTTTGACACATTTGACAGTACCATCTCAACTTTTGCAAACCTTTAGCTTTAATTTTATTGGCAATATATTTGGGTGTTCCAACTTCATGTTTTCCCATTGTGCACTAATAAATTTAATGAACCAACATTCAAATTGTATATAATAATTAATAATGCAGATTATAATTTTAATAAATTATTTGCTTGTAAAGCGTAATGTTTATGCATAAACTCAGCGTTTTTTATGGTTGCTTATAGGTTATATTTACATGATTATAGATTATTTTAGTAGCGACATCTATTTGACAAAATAAATAACGGCGCATGATTCATTATCAGTAGATGGTAATTGCCACGAGCAAGAGTAAGGTTATGACATCTACAATGAAAAATCAAACCGTTTGGTTAATATGGCGGGATAGTGATAAGTCAAAATGTGAATATGGCGTCGTTTACATTGAGTGTCAACATTGTGTAACCAATTTGAAACGAAAATATTATCTTTTATCAAAGTTGACAGTTTTTCTCAATAGCTTAATTATACTAATTAATTATGGATTCTTTTGAAGATGATGATATACTTTTCGTCAGTGACGATGAGTCACCTGTTGCGGAGGTACCGTGTAGTTATAATCCCGTTGATGATCATTTAATTGAACAATTAAATAACGTCCGTGATTGTATTCAACGTGTGAAAAATGAAACAATTAATGTTCAATCTGTTACTAAAGAAGTTATACGAAAACTTACTAAAACATGTACATATTTCATCGACAACAATGATGACAGCTCTGGTTCCGACTGTGAAGTAATCATTCAGTAACTCTTGTAATTATTATGACATTGGAATTACATTTAAAAATTTTCTATGCTTTTCTGTGTAGCTCTTTGATGCTAATTATGAGCCCGTTGTTAAAAAAAAAAAATTCGATGAAGACCTTAAAGTACTGCTACATGTTGGAAATGTTTGGCAAAGAATAATTGATGATCAATGGGTTGTAGGTGTAGAATTACAAAATCTATCAAATCGGTAGGTTCAAATAAGGTATTTATTTTATAAATATTTAAATCGAACAGAGTAACACGGAAGATTTGTAAGGTTTTTCTGAACGAAATTGGAATATTGATCCGATGAATATTGAAACAATGCAAAGTCATATCTGGAAAATCACGCAACGTTTTAATTACATTATTCACATAAGTCATATTAATTTACATAAGTTCTAAGATACTTACCTATATAAGTTCATGAGGTCATAAAGTTGTTCGTTTGATATTTGAGAAAAATATGTATTGCTAATATTTTTATGTTCTTTATTAGTAGGATTTTTCCATTTCGGTTCTATAATTTTTTCTAACTTCGCCATTTTTATTAGATAGTTTTGGTCTTCCTGAAATAAATAAAAAAAAAAACACTCTATAACAATCGTATGACGCAGTTCTTATCTATTTATTAGCTTTATACTTCAAGAGTTTCAAACTTCATTATGAGATCAAAGTTTGCTAGACAAGGAGTGCAAAATGGTGTCATAGGCTCCCAATGTTCATTCAATCTATTATGAGATTTTGATTCACAAATAATATATCTAATAAATTCTTCAAAAGTTGGAGGTAGACTATCATCAACATATTTTAGTTCTTCAATTTTTTTTTTTACTTCACTAGAAAGTGTTGTTAAATGTGATCCATTTAGTTCTCTCCACTATGCATAAAGAATAAATTTTTTAATAACTTTAATTTCATAGTTTCTCAAGTTTCATTTAAATGACTTAATTACCTTTGTTCTAGTTGCCTCAATGATTTTCATTCCAATTTTTCGAAAATATTCTTTCTTTGCGTTTTTTATAAATTTGTCTACATATGCACTTACAAGCCGTTCAAAGGGATGACGAACAATAATGAAACTCAAATGTTTATTCAGAGCTTCTTGGAGATATTCACGGGATGGTCTTGGGTATTTGCTTCGAGCTAAACTAACCGGTGTTTTTGAAGCGTTCTCTAAATACTCAGGACTGTACCTGTTAATTTTTTATTTGAGTTCCAGTTACAACCACTAATTAAAAAATACTCAGGAAAACTTACCCTGCGAGCAAGTTAAAGTTATATAACCAAGATGACGATGCTGCTTTAAAGATGTTACAATACACTAAACCATACTCTTCATTGATCAAAAACTCCCAAGCGTTAAGTTTGTGGTTGTGATCAGTTCCTGGTTTATCTAAGCCAAACTTCTTACATTCATCATTTAGATGTTTACGCCGTCGTTCAAACCGTAATATAATTTTATCGGATTCTCTTTCTTCACTGAATGCTTTTAATTCCTTGGGGAAAAAATTTAATTATTCTCTATACAACGTAATGAAAATAATGATTAATTAAACTTACATCTATGATGTTGGTTGAAGTATAGTGATAGCTATAGATCGTCAAAGTAATGAAAAAAGTAATAAATATCACTATTGTGTATGTACGATAATTGCCGGTGAAGCGAAAGGTTCTTGGCCATAGTTTCCTCTTCAAATTGATTTCTATGCTCATATCGATTTTAAGCAGATAACATAGTAGTTGACTGAATGAGGTATTATTTGCAAATGAACAAATGCAACATTACAAGGACCGGCATTAGATGATAACAAAAATTATAGTGACCGAATGCGTAATCTAAAATTGCATAACTTTAATGGGTGTCACGGTCACTTCAGGAATTCTACTTTATAGTAACTAGTCAGCATAATTTCATTTCACATCATTGACCATATATCAAATTATTTTAAAAATATCACTTTTATGTTCACCAAAGTATATCCAATTATTACAGCGTCGAATAAGTGTTTACGTTCATTTGGACAAGGTGAGTTTTCGAAATGAAGTGTAATTTCGGAATTATGCTAAAAAAAGTTACTGAGGTAAACCGTACGATATTTTCTTATCATACGTAAATGCAAAAGTTGTTTGTCAAGTAAACAATGAAAAAACATGTCTAATGAAAAACATATATTTTTATCTAACTATTAAAAATTTACATATTTACAATCGAATAACAATTGCTTTAGAGTACTGAATAATTATCTAAATAGAACAATAATCAAAAACTGTCTTTAATATTACAGGATGTTGTACATCTTTTATTTAAACGACTTATCTATTCTTTATTTATTTTAAACAATTAGTAAATTTAGGCCATTTATATTCGATAACATTTAATTGATCATTATTTGTTGCAGTACTGTCTAAGTTTTTTATTCTTAATTTTAATGATGGAAGCTGTTTCATAGGAACTAATTTACTAAATTTACCTTGTGGTTAAGTGAGCATTCTTGCAAACAAGTAATTTCTATGATACGTAAAAATGATACTATACTTGATACATTAATTATTTAGAGTTAAGGTGTTGAATAAAAATATTTTTGCACAACTATCAACTTTGAAAGTAAAAAAATATAAAATCCAACAATATTTGAATAAAATTACACATAATTAGTATAAATTACTTTTTAGTACTGCAATTAAAAAATTGATTAATCTTAATTACTTGGAAAATTGTTTAGCTCTTTGTACTTCGAACTAAGAAGTTACGTTTTTCTATCATAATGTTATTTTCTACACTCATTAGGAATTGAGTGGTCTTTTCCATATTCAATATACTCCGATGGTGAATAATTAAAGAGTTCAAAGTCATATCTAAAATAATAGTAATTATTGTTAACATGAAAACATAATTTTTCATAATTATTTGTAAAAAATAATAAACTTACTTGAACATTTCATAAAGATCAGTAATTTGACTTTTGGATAATTGTACAAAGTATTTCTTCATAACATCCTTCGTTTGTGCACCTCTTGCAGGATTTTTCCACTCTGGTTTTATCAAGTGTTCCAAGTGAACATGTTTTATGATATAATTTTGATCATCCTATCAATCCAACAAACAATTATTTAAATCGCTGTGATTCTAATTTCATGTAATTTTCTTTCATAAATGTGTAAAAAATCTTTCTAAATCATTTTTTATATTATCAGATATGAGATCTGTATTTACTTACTTGAAGTGTCTCAAATTTAGCAATGATGTCAAAACGAACTTGGCATGGTGTACAAAAACTGATAATCGGTGTCCAATGCATGTCTAGTTCATTACCAGCTTGCCATTCACACAAAAGCCACCTGACAAATTCTTCAAAAAGTGGATATCTAGGACCTCTCTTAGTTCGATGTTTTGGATCCTTGAGAACGAAAAAATGATGCTCAGTATTGATTTCCAATGATGAAGAATTTAAGGTAATTGGTAAAATTTTCTTTGATATGTAAATTATTAGTTGATGAAGAAACTTACTTTGTATCGGAACTGGTTAATTATTCGCATTCCAAGTTTGCTATGTAGAGTGTTGGGCAAACTTTGTTCAAGTTTGTCTCTATATGCGCTGAGGAGACGTTCAAAAGGATGTCTTACAATAAGGAAGCTTACACTGTCATTCAAATATCGTGATAATTCATCAGCTGTAGGTCTTGGATATCTTTGCCTTGCTAATGATACTGGTACAGCTTTAGATGCTTTTAAAAATTGTGGACTGTATCTATGGATAAGTAAATAATTTTCTTAATGACCCGCAAGTTCTTTTAATTAACGAGCTTCAAAAGTATGAGAAAAAAATCAGTTGTACCCTGCAAGACGATTAAAGTTATAAATCCAGGAAGTAGAAGCAGCTTTAAAGACATTACACCAAATGAGATGATAATCTCGATTAACAAAAAATTCCCAAGCATTGGGGCGATGAAGAGAATCATTCCCAGGACGATCTAGGCCAGCTTCGGAGCATCTTTTTGTTAATAACTTGCGTCTATCTATCAGCCGTGCCTCGGTCTCAGCCATGGTTTTCATCTCGAGCAGTTTCTCTTCGGCCGATTGAGCCGTTTCTTTCTGTAAATTATCCAATTATTTTAATTGAACCCAATTAAAGTCTGGAATTTATTATTATTAAACGAGCATTTCCATTTGTTTCGAAAACAATTTAATTTTATTGGCAAGAATATTTACGATTGACCCCATTTTTCCCCTATAATTAGTGATTTAGATAAAGTTTTAATAAATACGATCAGTTTCCGAATTCTATATTTAACTCTCAATGTTAATTACATTAAATTTTTTTTATTTTCTTGAGTCTCCTATCTTCTAGAATTTTTTTCCCTCATAAATAAGTAAAGCTTTGTCAGAATAATCAGATTAATGTTTCTTTAATTAATTAATTATGAGTAAAGAGGAAGTTTTAACTTTTTTCATGACAAATTATGCATAACCGTGTTTTTACTCTTTAATGCTATTTTTTATAATTTATTTAATAAATATTAATTGCAACTGAAATATCTTAAATTATACCAATGCTTTTATATAAGTTTTAATAAGTTAAAATAATTTCTTATTGAAAAACTTTCTTTGCTTGGCAAGGAAACTCATTAAATAGTTAAGTTACATTAATTTTAACTTTCAAGAATTTAATTCCAATTACATTTTTATCATTTGTATATAAATTTTTTTACGGAAATTATATTTATATTTAAAATAAAAAACTTTATTTTTTCAAGGAAGGAAATTAATTGTTTCGTGTTTTCCTAAAGAATTTTACTTAAGTTTTTTTTTTTTTCAAATACATTTAACGTCAACTTTAATTGTTGTTCTTGCACAGTATCTCTTCTAGGACTAATTATACAGGCACTGTAGAAGTTTGCATGCATATCAAACTACTCGAATAAAAAAAGACATAAAATCTTCCTATTTACTTCTTTCTTTAGTATTCTTATATTATTGATTCCCAACAATATACCTTATTCTTCTTTACTCTACTCATAAAATACAACTTATGTAAGTTAGTTTACAGATTTAAATTTTATTTCTTAGATTTAGTATCTACATATTTATATATTAAATTTTTAAATTATTAAATAAATGTTAATATTCTAAATGGAAATTTAAAAATTTATAATGTTACAGAAACTAATGAAATATTAAAGTGGAGCATGTAGCAGTGGTATGGCGACATTGATTATCACAGTTGATTTGTTGACTAGATATCTAACTTGAGGATCTTCTAATATATCATCCAACATACATATTATTTTAGCCGTATCGAATAAATGAAGAATAACATAGAGCAATAATCAAAAGTTCACTGCTAACATGCTAGTTGGAATTTAAGTACAGAAATGGTGCTTTCCGTTTATTGATTCTTCACGGTCTGCTTTGTGCACCTACAAATATGAATGTGGGCCATGCGTTCGATACATTTAAAGTAAAGAGGATGCACATTGTAAAGTTTATTTGTTGATTATAATTCACTCATAATTGTTACGATAAATTTCTTAATCATTTTATAGGATTTGATCATTGATGTGTTATGTGAATATATTTTTTTTGTATTTATTATTACACATAACATTTAAAAGGTTAAGGTCATGATAAAAACTAAGTTAACATCTCAAATACTCTTTGAAAAGTCTGACAAAACAATTACAAAGGTTCATCTTTGCATAATTCATTTACTGTGTAATTTTTTTTTTCTATTGGTTCATCCTTCAACTGTCAGAAAATTTATTTCTTATGTTTGTCCGCGGCAATCATATTTGAATTATTGATGAAGTGATTATTAGTAATGTTGTTGATATGTTTATAAAAATAACTGAAAAAATAAGTATAATTGTTAACACTCACGATATTCATTTAGTTATAAAAATATATTAAATATTTTTTTAATCAATAGAAGTAACATGAAATATTTGTTCATTGATCACAAAATTAATTTGAATGAGTAAAGCTTATTTATAAACAACTTATTATTTCCAAATATTAAAACTTCTGTCATGAAGTAAACCGTAAAAAGAAGTTTCTAAAAATAATAAAATAATTTCATTTTATGATTATTTTATATTACTTTATTACTATGATTATGATTAAAGTCATTGAATTGGTAGAAGAAAGCCTTTTTCTTTGGCAATAATTTTAACAGAAAATGTACAAAAGGTTATTATATAAAAAGTACCAGACTTTTATGAGAAATATTATAGAATTTTTTATGGAATTGAAGTTGTAACAATAGCATTTTTAATTATTTCTTCTTCATTGAATGCTATAGTGCGGTGAAAAATTGTTTGTTAGAACTGTCAAGTGTTCTTCAAATCAATGAAAGAGATTTAACAAATTGATTGACCTACTTTTAATTGGTTTCATAGATTAAGAAAACTCGTAATTCTTCTATGTAATCGTTGTTAAACGACATAAGATAGGTTTAATGTTAAGAAGCTTAGTAGTTTAGAAATCAATCATATAATAGAGTTTGTTGAATGATTGCGATAATGACAATGAGTAATCGAGAGTTTTGTAGTGAATTCACCTGCCGCATTGCGCCTGGAATATTGCCAGAGCGCAGACTTTTCGCGTCGTTGTTACAGACCTAAGCTTATATGCAATTTGATAAAAAATGACTTTTATATTTTCTCAGTAACTTGCACTTTCAAATTAATGCTTTTATTTCTTCAAGTTGCTATTGACCTAACAGTTAAAACTTAAGAATTTTAAGTTTAAGAATTTGCTAGATTTTTTTAATCTTTTCAAACTGACTTTCACATTCTATCTTTTTATGATAAAAACGTTTACCCAAAGCTTTGATTTATAGCAATCATTATTCATCTATTCAGAAATATTACTTTTATTATTTTTTCTCTGTTGAAGGAAAAAACTCTTAGTTCTTCTACATGAATAACTGGGTTTATTTCAGCCACAAGAAAAGAAAAAGGTTGATGAGTTGTAGCATAAAAAAATTTTTCTAAAGAAATGCTGTTGAACTTTTTCTATTATTTTCAACATTCACGGAATAAAGTGGAAAGAGTTCGGGAAATTTAGAGTACAACATTGACGTAACACATGTTGAGTAATTAATTCAATTACTAGACTGGTAGATAAGCTGACTAGTAGTCAACGGTCATTTTCATCAGCCAGAAGAATATTTTCACTCAATCAAATAATTTATATCATTTTATTTCATTCATATGATGGAGAAAATCTATAATTCAATTTCCACAATTTTCATATTACTCAGGGTGAGCAGACAGAGTGAGCTAAATATAGATGTAAGGAAATACCAATCAAGAAATAATGAAACTAAATACTTACTTCTACTATCGATGATGATTGAACGCTGTTACTTGTACCATCTTGAGTCGAGAGGGCAAGAATGATGAGTGCGAGGACAGCGGCAACAATAATCGTCCTGCGGATGCTCGCAAGGACATGACGACGTGATGTCATCTTATCTCGATGGATATTTTTCCTACGGTACTCATATCGGACTGGAATACAAAAACATGTTGAACATTCACCTCAGGTTTACAACATGTGATTATAATGATAATTCTATTCTTTATGTGCATTTTAATTGGAAATATGATTAGCTGTGGTTATTCTCAATTTTTCCCTTAATCATTCATTATTCATATGATTCAGTTTACCGTTAACATTCTTATCATACTTGATACAAGTGAATATTATTAAACTTTATCATACTGAATTATTCATCATTGAAGCTTTAAAACATTTCGTTCTTCTATTTTACCGATGATCTAGTTGGGTTATAAATTAACAAACATTTACAATAATTGGAATGCAGTTTGCAACAACTTTATCATTATCTTTTCATATCAATGATAACTTGACTAATTGCAGATTGTTATTGCATTTTTATTAGCATCTATATTTATGAAATGAATTTCAAAAAGCTTAGAGTGTTATACAAGATGATCTCATGCATAATTGACTTTATTATGCAATCATGGACAGATCTCGTCCACTATATATTCACACACCTCTCTTAATTAATTCCTACTGATGTGCGTGTATGTATGGTCGCGCTTTTCACATCCACGTGCTAGTGATAACAAAATTAGTATTATTTTCTCCTTTCAATAATTTGATAAATACCATTGATAAACTTCAATCATTGTATCTCGTACACGTGATACAGAATAATTTATTGTTAAAATAAGAAATAATAAGATTTTATATATTGATTAATGCATATATTTGTTCGTAGTTAATTCCAACATGTTACACAATTGACAAATTCAAGTGCAGCTTCTAATAGGTTTTATTTATTGGATTTATTTTATTCGATTTTATTTAATATTTACTATGAGCTTTACATTTACCTTCCACGGACATACGCCCAAGTTCAGGTTACTGTTTCATCTATATGACACTGAGTTGATCATTGAATAATTTGACATCTAGATGGTTCAGAATAACCCTGGAGTTTCAGTTCAAGTATCAGGTTAGTTAAAAGAGATACAATATTTTGATCATGCTTTAATCATAATGACATGCTCTATTATTAATTTATTTATCTATTTTAGTTGTATATTTAACACTGAACACACTTGAGACACTGAGAGAATGAAATGATGATGATGATGATGGTGATGCTGGTAAAAGAATAAAGATGAACGAGAACCAAATATAAATACACTCATGAGATGAAATAAAACCAAGAGAGCTAAAGGTACCGTGTGCTCAGATCGACATTCCTCGCAGCACTGAGAGTGCCAAACACGCGAGTACTTCTAGTTGTGATGTAGCTATGGTTTTATAACAATATGAAGACGAGGACGACGCAAGGCGTCTGTCGTGGACACGTCAATGCTACTAGTTCTAGTAAAGTAAGTGGTGGACTCTCCTTGTCAAGTTTACCACCCGCATACAGACGCATACATTGTAAAGAAATCTCGTGGATTGGCCGGTTGTTTCGCGGGTCGATTTACCGCTGGATGTTGGAGGCGCAAGCGCGAGATTTTCATTTGAGAGAACAAGACTTGGAGATGGAAATGACTGAGAATTAAAGCGCGATTTAAGAATAGGTGCAGAAAAATGAAACGAGTTGAAAGATATCTAAACAGTATATGTTATACTTGACAGTACTTGAAAAAAATAGATCAAATAAGTTTGAATGCAGAGTAACGGAAATGAGTAACTATTCGGCATTTTATTAGACATTAATGCTGAGCAATCACGAGATGTTGCAATTTTGAGAATTTCAGCGATGCATACCGATTCGTAATAGCCAAGATTCTTCAGCTAATCGAACTTTAGTAGAAAAAATAGCACTCAAGTCTTGGAATCAGTGGATGCAAATAGGAAGATTCAATAGATCATTTAATCTTCCTGATTCGTTTGATCTTTCAAGCGTAATTTTCTCTTGACCGCATCTCTGTTTCAAATTTTTAAATTATAGTCACGAGTTGAAGTTCTTCGAAAACGCCAATGAGGCCTAAACATAGTAACTCTGATACAACTCGTTGAAATGGTATTAAAATTCACGTGGCGTAAAGAGCAGAGTATGCTTCAAGAGCTTCAGGCGTGAATAAATCTCTTGACTTTTATTCAATTCGGAGAATAGAAATAAACATCTTCTTCATTGTAGTATCTAAAATTGAACAATATCATAGATGTTATTTATTTATCATGAAACGATATTTTCGATTATATGGGACTATCAAGTTTTATTGCTTTGAATGATTTGCAAGGTTAAACATTCTGCAGTGACATTATTGAATTACTTGCATTCCTTTTACGCAATGAATTTATCCAACCGTAAATAATAAACTGATATTGCTTTCCTATTTTAATGCATTTCAACAATGTTATGAGATTATTTTTATAATGGATTTTGGGATTATGAAAAATTATTCATCTTTTTACAAGTAATTGCTGTAAAAAAAAATTTATTACACTTTTTTTTTATTTACTTACTCTTAAATAATTATTCACGAATCATCAATTCAGGTTTATTAAACTTAGTTGAATGAATAGCTAGTTTAAATTGAAGAAATATTAAATTAATGTTCACTTTTTTAAGAACTTTAGTCTTTTCTTGTAAATTTCTCAAAGAAAGGTTTGTTCAAAGGGAAACTTTAGAATAAAGTAAGGAATCCTGAATTAATAAAATATTATTTCATTTTACGATAATATTATCAAATTAAAATAGACATTAATTTCTTTTTTTATCAATGAACACTTTTGTGACAAATATAATATTTCATCTCATCTAAATCTCCTTCATGATAGACATTTTTTTTAATTTAAAATTTTTTTTACTTGAAAAAATATAAATATACTCACCAAGTAATTATTACTGAGTAATCATAATGTACTGAATATATCTATTAATGTCATCTTTTAACGTGAAATATTGATATTAACATTCGCATAATGATTAAAAAGTATATAAACATCTGAAATTTTTAAAAATTTAATAATTTAATGTGAATATTTTTTTTATGTAAATTGAAACAAGATACTAAGACAAACTATACCTTTGAGATTCTTCAACGTTCTAAAACGCGTGTGCTGACATCAAAATTTATTTTTATCCGCTTTACTCTGGTCAAATTGTCAGGATGCTAATGTGTCCTATTTTGTATTCGAATTCAAAATTTTTATTGGTAAAATAATCTGTATCAAATATACTTAAGAGTTTACAAAAACATAAAACCACAAAAATACTTTGTTAAAAATTCATCTCAATTCATATTTCATGTTTTTTTCCAAGCTATTATCTCTTATCATTTCAACCAGACAGTCAGGCAAAAATGTCATTATATTCCACCTACTTCCCCTTCGAATCTATCTCCTGTCAACTACTCGAACTACTGAATTTTTCTACGTTGATTATTTATCTAAACATTGATATTCTCTTCAAGTCTATTATTTAATTCTAAGCTATATGTCAAACTTATCTAAAATAAACTTTTCAAATTTTTTTTCTAGGGTTCTCGAGAAACCGAAGCTATACATAATGATTTCAGGACAGAGTGAGATAAAAGGAGTGACAAGTTTTTGGGAGACTGTTAATGAGTCATTATGGTCTAAAACATGTGAGTTGGATCCAATGAGTGAAAAAATAGTTGGAGTAACAGTGCTGGATTTACCTAATTTCCAAGATACAACTCAAGTCAAAGCTTTTGGTACTGTTATGTATACACTTGATGGTAGAGAACTGCAAACTCCGATTAGTTGCTTCTCATTAAATATCTCACAAGCTGTGGATAAATCGTTGACGCCTAGATATGCGACAAATCGTAATCAAAGTGTTCTAGCAATGAAAGCTACATCCTTTGAAAAGGTTATTATTATTAGTCTTGATGGAGAACTAGGTCGAGGCATTAAGCTGCTTAATTTCCTTCAAAAGAAAGATTTTTGTGAGATTCTTCCAGATGTTCATATTTCCAAGAATTCTGAATCGCTGAGACATTGTATATTTGAATTTTTATCAGTAGCAAGCACACAAGTGATCCTTCGCATCTCTGCTAGATCGATAGCACAGTTGAATATTATGCTACACATGCTTCTTAATGAATTCCCGGATGCTCAAGAAATTGAAAAACACAATAAAATTGCAGAAGCTGCTATTACATTGGAGAAAGAATTTGAATCAAAACTTGAATGTGATAAACCAATAGAATTATTAATTGCAAAAGTTAAAACGGATTTGCTGATGCAGTAGATAATTTTCTGGTTGGTTGAATTGAAGTCCAAGGAAATTGCTTCAAAGATTTTTGAACGATCATTTAAATTTAAACATCGATTATTATTCATGTTAGAATTTGTACGATAAGAATAAATTATATTTATACACGTTACATTGTTGGAATAATTCTTGAAAACTCATGCTTTGTGACAATTCATCGTACTTCTATTTGTCAAATAAATAAATTACTCCTCATGCATATGTTATTTTTCTCTGTAGTGAATAAAGTCGAGATGCTAAATTACTCGATTTTCTCAAACAGCTGACATAACCGTATATTTTTAGCTCAAAAAAAAACGAATAACATGAGTAGTTTGAGGGTTTGGAAATAAAGAATAGCGTTTATCTTTCAAATTATTTATTTTGTTAAACTATATAAAGCACATATTTTATAATAGATGTTTGCGAATGAGTAAGTGAGAGTGAGTGTGTTGAGTACAGAACTCGCTGAGCACTTTTGATAAAAAATATCATCATTATGACCGTTACATCTCATTATCGTTTTTATCACTCTAACATATTCTTTAATTATTTCGTATCTCACAATATTCTGTTGATTTTGAGAATTATTATTTTTATTAACAGCTCTTGTGCGCTCTCTGGCTCACATACAGTTTTTCTAAATGCTGAATCGTTTAATACACTAAATCTTGCAATTCTTTAATACATATTTATAACAATCGATTTAAATACAAGACTAAATGCACTGGAGAATCAATCCCAATAGTTTAAAATCATTAAAAGTTATTCCATTGGATGAAATAAAAACATCTTCAATTTTTGTTATCAATTCCGATGATATTCAACAATGAAAATGTATCTTGTTAGTTATAATGATGATAATCATATCTCATAGAGACCATTTAGGCAAGATAACTCAACGATAGTAAATGACAATGTTTAAAAAGAGGTAGATGAGTAACGGTGACAGGGTTTGTTTCATTTTCTTCTTTATGCTCATGACAATAATAATACTAATACTCGGCCGTTATCTTGAACGTAACAATTTTTTTTTGTGTTTAAATCTCTCCTGACATATCAGGCACCGAATCGTTTAGGGTTTCAGCTTTCTGTCTACAAGAAAGTTAAGCGATCATCAAGAACGTCGAGGAATATATAGATGTGAAAAAGGAAAACAATGCATAAAACTTTATTGTAACACTCGCTATTATAACATTTTTTTTTGTGATTCACGCTAAAACACATGACGATTCGGTGGGGTGCTTATTTTTTCGTACACCCTTCGTATGGCTTTACACTCTAGATATCATATCATTACTTATTGGCTCAGTCTATCTAGAATCGCGAATATCACTAAGTCATATAACAGTAGTATGGCAAGTTTTTTTTTCCTCTGAGATTCGTCAACGTGCATTTACAGACCCACTTTTTAATTCTTCTAATTATTAATTAATTGTTATTTATTTTATTATTTATTTATAATTATTTTTCTTCATTTTCTCCTTCACTCTCCTTTATGCCCATTTACATAAATAAACAATCTTTAGGCCTTTACCATCGGAATAACTTATTTTTTTCTTATTTCATAATAGCACAATCTTTAACAAAGTCATTAATAACCCATTCCATCTTTAACGTATAATTAAATATAGAGTTTAATCAATAATCATCGCATTATGTTTCTCTATTTCCCATATCTCTTATCATCATCACTCACTCGACACACATTATTATTATCAATAAACTCTTCACGGCTTTCATTTTTTTTAAATAATCGGCAGCTAGATTCTGTGTGTTGTGTGCTTAAGCTCAAGCGAATGCGAATATTCCACAGTAATGCACCAAACATATTTTTATTTATTTATTTAGTTATTTTTTTTTTGTTAAGTATTTTTTTTCAATTATTCCAGTCTAATCTAGCATACAAGTATCATACACGTCCAACGCAGGGTGACAAAGAGAAATTACTCTGATATGGAATTATGAATGTAATATAATTAATTAACTAATTAGTTAATGGAAAGAATTACATAAATATCGCGGTTAATTCAAAAGGCAATTCCATTTGTAAACAGTTGTCCAGCTTTCGTAGAAATGCTTTACACGTAGAAAAATAAGTCGTAGAAAATACATAGGAAATCTGTCTTCGTACAAAGCACAGGCAGACTTCAAAAGCTGAAAAACTGTCCATTACAACTGCATCCCACATATTGGATTGTATTTGTTTGTGAGCAATAGGGAAGATACACACTACATCACTATTATAATTATTATCATGGGAGTTTATAATTTATTTAAACAAGTAATTAACGATTTTCACGAACTCTTTCTTTTGTCACCCATTATTCGTTACAAGAATTATTTTTCTAAATTTTGTGAATTGCTGATAGTAATAATTTTTTTTTCAGTTTAAAAAGAGTTCGCGCATTATGTGTTTTTTCTATCACATGAACACCTCACTGACAATATGCTGGTGCATGATTTCAACGTTTTTTTATTTCATACTATTTTTTTTTTATAATTTTAATTTTTTTTTTTTGTTTCAATACTTTTAATTACTTTTTTGCATTACCGAGTGCTACTCTACATAAGTGTAATTTTCACGGCGAATTGGAGCGGCGTACCGTGAATCTTATACTTTTTTTTATCAATTTATTTGTCAATCCTATTTATATACAAGTTGTTACCTGTGCGCTAGCGGTATTAAAAAATTACAGTTTCAAAAGAAAAATATGTTTATAATAGTATATTGAGAAAAATAATTTATAAATAATATCTATTATTACTTTATCTCCATTGCTTCTAGAGAAATTATTTATATATTATTTATTTTATATTTCTTTTTACTTATAAATTAATATGATAACAACTTGTTAGTTACAGTGATTGTGCAATCAATATACACGAATGCGCACAGGTATTATTTTGAGTTTGACTATTTTTTTTAGATATAAATTACAGCGGTTAGAAAATGATCGATTCTTTTTCGTAAGGCTAGAGTCCTTCAACTATGTGTTGCTTAAATTTATATTCTTTGATACTTTGTTACTTTACGTTTAATATTTTAATCCACTCTGATTAGTTTCTTTATTAATTTTCAATTAATTTAATCACCGTCCTTATTAATTGAATACATCGCTTTTTTTTTTTAATTTTTCGAGTCATTCTGAGTATTTGAATTTCTAATTTTGATCACCAAATGACAATTAGCGTACTTTATTCAATCAATCATTCATAATTATTATTTACTGTTACTTTGCTTTACGTTACTTCTACAACAGTCGTAGTAATTAGAACTGAATCATTTTTAATTTTATTTAGTTTTTTTTGTATATCTGATATGCGACAATCGACTTGTTACTTACGCATTTTAATCAAGATTCCAAGAAAATCACACCCCCGATAATTTTCGTTCGGCTACCTTAATTAATTACAATTACTTTTCTTCTACCCTGCATCTCGTACTTATTTTTAGAAGGAAATTATTTTAAATTGACTGTTTATGATTTTTTTGTTTGACTCAATTGGATTTGATAATTTATGTTCAAGATGATAAACTCCCCCTTTAAATATTATACTTAAATTTTAATCTTTGATAAGCACATGAACGAGTTTGATTATTAATTTACTAAAAGAAAATCAAAAGAAATAAATTTTCTAGTGGTAATAAAATTTAACATTATAGAGTTTATATTTTTTTTTATTATTAATTTTTTTTTTTTTATTAACTAATGATTGTAAGAATAAAGGGAGAGTTGAACAGTTTAAAAACTAAGTGGACGGGCGGGGTCGTGTATTGCCACTGATGTTTATATATTTAATAGTATTTTTTTTTTCATGACACTTTTGAAACAATCGTTCAATAATAGCCCATACAATCGTTGGAATTAATTTATTATAATAATCTCACTTTGTAAAATCACTTTATTATTTTCATTAATCCGCGATTAATTATGGCTGATTATTCTAGAGTAGTTTTTCAACCTTTTTTTTATGTACAACCTATATAATTTTTTTGTACAATATACATTCGTGTATGATGGTGAATGATTTTTTCATTAAATTTTCTCACAAATTCACGCTGTCTGATATAAGTGTACAATTTTTTGCATATCAATTTTAATTATTAATTATATCTCATGTACAATAACATAGTCACTAAGGCATTCTTGTTATGGCAAGTATTATGCATTGTGTTGCACTATGAAAGGATGTCTTAATGAATTATTACATGACCTAAAAAAAGAATGTGGTAATAGATTTTTATAGTTTTAAAAATGTTTTTTTGTACTTTGTCCTAATTCGACTTGAAACTCATGTTGAAAAAACGCAACATTAATCAACTTTGTACTCAAGCTGGTGTAACTCAGTACAAAGCTTTAACAACCTTTGCGATTGACTCTGACTATTATTTATATTCATATTCAATCGTACAACACCAATGTTATTATTTCTGTAACGTACTTGCCGTTCGAGAATTCGGGGGTGCGGTTAGGTTTCATTTGTATTCATTAAATTGTCCTGCTCGAAAAGAATTGAGAAGCACTTTGTAGTTTTATTAATTATGTTTACGCAAAAAATATCTTCAGTGGAGAATACTTTGCGCCTGTATTCGACTCTTTACGTCACAGGTATTCGTATAAAATTGACGTTGAGTGATATATATTTCTGTTTATAATCATTTTTTTTAGATTTTTCTGCAATTTTTTTTTTTTTTTTAATATTTATACAAGGCGCTCTATTGCGAATTTTTAGGGGAAGAATATAAAAATAGCTTTTACATGGTGTGGTGATGCGCCCGACTGAATATTTCATTGTTTTTTAAGATGACCGAGATTTATTGGTTACTTAAAGAATCATTATTTATATTTTATGAATTTTTGCCAGGAATAATTTTCATAAAATAAAATTCGTATAATTTATATCAGCTATTATTTTTTACTTTTCTTTCTTCTATTAGCAAAGAATTTGGTCTACAATAATTTTTTTTTTTTTAATATAAATATAAATCTATATTTCTGTATTTAGTGTATTACAATTAAATAAAAAAAAATAATATTAGATTCCAGATGGAGGCTCAGTTAAATATAATATTACTAAGATATCTTACAAATATTTCATTAAATAAAAATTCATTTATATATTTAAAAATATTAATTATCTAACTAATTATTTCATTTAAAAAATTTTTTCAATAACTATAATGCATATTAATTTTGTATAAAAAAATTTTTATAAAATTTACCATTAAACATTTTTCCATAAAATTAACGAAATAGAATTATTAACAAAACAAATATATTTTAACCAAATTACTTAACAAAGCACCTCCGTGTATAATGTCATAATATCTGATATCGTCTAACATGTTGATAAAAATGATCATGATATTTAACACTTGTTTAATACTTTTTGTTTTATCGGTTTTTTATACATCAGAATAGCAATAATAATAGCTGTTTCATTAATATATAATATAATTTTCTAATGTTGCATTCCTAACAGAAGCCAAATTGTGCAACATAACGATATATTTTATCTTAATTATTTAAAAAAAATATTTCCGGTCTTAATCGCTTCATTATTCCGTGATGTTTCATACGAATACGCGCGAATTTTTTGTGCGAATCTGAAATACCTATATTACATTGTGTTCACGGTTTTTATTTCTACATTGAATTGAGTTGTTTTATTTACATGTATGCATAGGTACTTAATAATTTAACTGGCGATCAACCGATAAGTCATTGACTTTCCTAAATACTTTATTTCATTAGGCTTTAAAAATTAAATGAGGAAACAATGTCGTTTACGACTCTAGGCACTGTCTACTCGCTAATAACGATTCCATTTAAATAATAACGATAATATAAATAATTATCATAATAATAATACAGGATAGTAATAATATTATTACACGAAGGAAAACGATTTGATAATACAATCAATAAAATATCATCATTATTAACTTTGCATTCTCATCGCTCTGTTTAAAATTTGCGACATTATATAAACTTTTACGGCTTTTATATATACAACTGTTTTTCTGTAATTAATTGTTTCTATAATTTCCTAATAATGCGGTAGTGATAATCATTATTGTAATAATCTATTATTATAACAATTACTATATCATATTTGTGTACTATTTATATTTTATTATAGTACATTGCATTTCATTTATTAATCTAGTAAAAAGATAGCTTCTCTTTCTTAATTGTTTACATACACTTATCAATATTATATTCACTTATCATTTTTTATTCGTAATCCTGACCCAAAGAACTCTCAACAACATAACATAGTCTTTGGGTCATTTTTTTTCACCACTTACTTATCTTGATTTAATGTCTTTACATTGTCAATTGTCATTTAATAGTTCGTGCATATCTCATCGATCGTTGGCCTTAGTGGGACCATTTCATGAAAAATTTACTGATTTAAAGTATTGGAGATGAGTAGAGTCGTTTACGAAGCTCGTAAAATATAGAAAAAGTTTATGATGTTTTCTCTTACTTCTCCAAAAGTTTTTTAATCGAAAAAATGAGCTTTAAAGTAACTTGAACTGGCACGACTATTCTGTTTTCTTCTTTGTATCAAAGTGTAAGCTGAGTGCCAAATTATCTAAATGTAGAGAGCATAATACTCGCAGTTTCTGTTGTGTTAACACATGGCCAGAATTTCTGTAGCATAGAGAAGAATTGAAGTTTATAGACAGACCTACGATTGGCCCTCAAAACCTCTCCTGATGCTAGTAAGACGAGTATCGTCATTGATACGAGTCCTTGTGGAAGGTGTCACTTTTGTGGAAGATTCTGCGGTCCTCTCTTTGTAAATCTTGACTCGCGAAATTATTCTCCGATTTTGGCCTTGGCAATAACCCAGTTGGAAGTGTTCTAAGTTCTAAACTGTGTACCTGTAATTATTATAAACTTAAATATAATTTTCCGAATTTTATCAAAATATTATTAGATTATTACAAAAGTCTTAAACAGCGCTTGAACAACTTTTAATTAACCGGAATATTTGATGATACTTGAATAACTTTTAATCAACTAGAATATTTTATATAAAAATTTCTGATAAAAGACTATCGTTGAAAAAAGAAATTAATTAAAGTAATCAATACATCAAATTAAATTTATTATCGAATAAAATCATGATACTTCTTCTTTCAATCTAATAATTAAATCTCAGTCTCAAGGAATGTAATTTAGTTCAGTAATTACCGATTCTTCACTCGCACTGGCATGCGCCGCTTGCTCAGCGAGTGCATTGACAACAGCATTTATCGTCTTAGATTCACTGCCAAGATCTTCTTCTCGATGTGCCACCAAATTTGGATTTTTGCCGATTTTATTCAACCTGTACAAAGAGGTATAATAAGCGTAGGGAATGTTGCAACAGACACAACCAACGAATTACATTGCAGAACGTTAAAAAAACCCTCACATGACATGTTTTAATTTAGAAATTTATTGCTTTTTTTAATTTCACACATTGATATATTTTTTTCAAACTCATATGAATTCATTAATTGTCTTGTTAGGGTTTTTGATAATGACGGACCGGTGGATCGATAAAAATAAATATTAAAAATACCACTTCACCACACTTAAGCATGATCCTAGGTATATTTGTGCAAACGATTTATTTATTTAATTGTAAAATTTATCTTAAAAAAAAAATTGCTAAAATAAATAGGTTACTGTGTAATTTAAATTGCACATATATACCATAAAACCGACCGGACCAAGAGAGATAATTGTAAAATTTAATACAGGCAATAAAAATATTTATAATATAATATTAAGATTAAGGTTATTTATATAATATATAGAATAAAAGACATTTATAATCAGCAGCTCTTGCTGGCAGTTGTGGCAAAAGCTCAGCGCTTAGCGTGACAAAGTTGCAGGCATATTTAGAGCATATTTATTCATAAATAGTTATTAAATATAATCAGTAGACAAACTCACATCCATATCTGTCAATTGACGTAATATATAAAAAAAAATTTTTTATACTTATAATGAATATTATTATTTTTTTTTTGGGATTTGAGTTTCGTCCCTCTTGGTATAAACACCAAGTCTGTGTCCCTTTAAAATGATCAATCAGACTTGGCCTTAATTACCCGGTGGCAAATACAATGATACTCGCAAACTTTCTTTTTAAGTTATAAAATATCATCAATTAAAGATATATATTTAGAAATACTTAAATTGAAGAAGAAAGCGCGAGTTGTAAGCAAAAGCAAAGTCGACACACCCACTTGGAATAAAAGAAGATTTATGACGGGAAAGGGACGATGGTGATCGACATCTATTAGCACACCAACTCGATAAAACAATCCTAACCAAAGTTTATACCTCTCGGCGGCAACGCTTTCCATAGTTCTACGCATAAGCGGATATTGGTCCAGGACTGCGTTAAAATGGTCCACTGAGAGGCTGAAAAGATTGCAGTATGTTTCAGCTCTGACTGAAGCAACACGTCTTGCATTTGTCAGTAAACAAATTTCTCCAAAATACGATCCGTCTGATAAAGAAGTTGCTACTTCACCATTGGCCATTACAATGTCAACTATTCCTTCCTGAATAAAATACATCTTGGAGCCTATCGTTCCTTCTTTTATAATGATGTCACCTGGAATAAATTGCATTTTTTATTATCATCTTTTTTTATATTTTTCTTATCCTAACAGTCAAACGAGTCCGTTTTTATCGCAACACAACTAATGTGGGTCATGGTGACCTTAAACAATCTGAGCTATTATATTATAAAGTTTTTTGATAGTCACTGACATTTATGATAGAAATATATATATATATATATATATATATGAATTAAAATATTATGACTAAATAGTATTGAAAAAAAAGGATTGAAAACAAAAAATCTTATTTTTCATTTATGCTCTTGACCCGCATTGGTTGTTGAACGTTTACTTATCTCTTTACTATTGAATGAAAATAAACATGATACCTGGTTGGAAGACTTCATATCTCAGTTTTGTGACTACGTCAGAGACAAAATTTGAATCTGCATTAGCAAAAAAGGGTACTGAGGCTACCAGAGATCTGCAGTTGTAATTTATCACATCCTATGAACCAGAATAAAATATAGTTATAAATAACAGCAATATTTTGTGAATGTTGTAACAGATTATTGTGAAAAATTTGCATCATAGCTAAAGTTTAACACATATTTTATTGGCAGTTTACATTTTTTTATTTCATTCATTTTTTTTTTTTCATTTTTAACGATGTTCTAATTATCTTTTTTTTTTATCAACTATTCAGTTGTCATTACAATTCATGTATTTGCAGACAACTGACATTTTTACTTGATGTGAAAATGTAATAAAGAATTGGCTACCTCTCTGAGTTTTTCTGAAAGTTCTCCCAGAATGAGTTCCTCGTCGAAGAATTTGCCTTGGTAGCGATGCTCGAAGTACTCCGTTATTCGCTGACGCATTTCTCGTGGTAGTTTTCGGTACGCCATGTACTCTTCAACTTGCTTGACCTGGACATTTCAAAAATACCAACATCAGCAAGTGTATTTGGGACGGAAATATCGATATGCTTACGATACCTTCTCACGATATTGCCTTCTTGAAGAGTCAAGTGACTGGATGAGATTTGTAGCATGACCAAGGAAAAGTGCATAACACGTAGCACCACTGATCATACTGAGCATCGTGAGCCACATATCGGTCAACGACTGCGGTGGAAACCTGCCATATCCTATACATAACATATGGGACATTGCTTTGAACAAAGCCCACGAATATTGCTCCAACCAGAATGAGTTCTGTAAGTAGATTTTTTTATTAATATTTTTAAAGATTTTTTTGTTTAATTGAATTTTTTTTTAAGAATGAAAAAAAAATTACCTGCAGTTCATTAATTGCTACCCAAGAATTACTAGGGAATCCTTGAAGCATAGGAACAAGGAATTGAAGACAACCACTCCAGTGGCCGATCAATAGCATCATACAGATTAGATTGAATATTCGCATGAACACCGACGCCATATTCAGGAACTGCCAACAACAAAAATTAGCTTTATTTTCTTTCATTAGCAACAATTTTAGTGGGTTATCTAGTTAATATTTCTCAAATCCGGTTAATATAATAATTTTTAAACTCATTCGTCTATTGTAATATTTGGGGTACTTTTAAAAGCATCTCTGGCAGTTGTGTACAGCAAATAAGCGGGGAAAACAATAAAATAAAAATTATAGAACAGGGTGTATTATAGTCGAACGAGATGTCTTATGTTCTCATTCATATTTTTCTACTGTTAGCTAATTCAATAACATTGTATAAAATAAACTTTTGAAAAATTGGGTACTGCATAAATTAAAAGGCTAACATGTACATTAAGCACAAAGAACAACGGTTCCAAGCCTTGTAAACTTAAAGTTTTAATTAATTGATGAATTTTTCATGATCATTGTCAAATTATAATAAAAATAAATTATTTTGATAATATTAAATAAAATCATGGTTTATAAAAGTACTAGTTATGTTATATGATATAAAGTAAATGATAAAACATAATACATTGATAATTAAATTGTTAACTGAAATACATGAAATATTGTATGTATATAACTATACAATACTTTCAACAGTCATACGAAAAATCAATCTCTGACGATGGGCGTTATGAAATTCTCGAATGCGGGCCACCCTTGTGCGCCGGTGCAAATTCTTGCAATTGTAAATGGAATAGATTGAACATTGATATTTGAACTGCACGCTTTACTCTATCATACTTCTCGAAGAAGAAGCCTTGTAGAAGAAATACACAATTCAAGTGGAGAAGATTGATTGATCGTTGAGGGATAAAAAAATCAAAAGATTTCAAATCAAAAAAGAAATGCTGTTCAATTCTTTTTTAGAGTACATTAAAGACAGAAAATTAGTCAAACAAAAAAATACAACACAAAAGTGCACTTATTTTACAATCGCTAACAAAAAAATTGCCAGATATTTAAATAAATAATAATGATGATAATGATAATAAAAATGAATAATCTAATAAATATTCAGGGTTAAAAATGGCTTCAGCTCACACAGCTTCTTTTGAAAGTAACTTTAAAATAGGGAATTTAAAAAAAAAGATATATTCAACTGATGACACGTGAATTAATTGAAAATGCGTTTGTGTCCATCTGATTGATGATGTCAGTGGAGTATTTGAAGATGGTACACTAGTATGGCATAGTTATCTGAAGCATTACGTAGCCATATAGGGTTTAGTAAGGGTTGTATATTTGTTGTTTCATTTAGACATAGTATTTATGGCCAATGTGCCAGTTGGATGGACACATACGCATACAGACATATGATGAGCAAAACGAACAAGCATCACGGACAAGCCGTGAACTGATGTTACGCTTTATATATGACAAACCCGTTTAGCTTGACATTGCAATCCAATATTTGCCACTATAACAAAGAAGGCTTTTGTTTCCTGAGTACTCTAGAGTGGATTAAATCTGATAGATAATTAAATTTTTTGCTGACATGTTGCATTTTCAAGCCTACGGGTTTGACGGTTAATTAATTACAGATAACTATGTATGTATAAGATAAATATATAAATATATCTTTTATTGATGATGGTATGATAAGTCTAGTTGCTAATGATTGGATAATTTAGATAGTCAAATATCTTCAACCTACTACAGGGTCAAGGAATAATTAACTTTTAGTTTAGTAAACTTAGATATAGAGTGGAATCAGTAATGTATATTGTAAATGAATTAACTCACAAACATTTTCAATACATTACCTGATCTAATAATTAATAATTAATATAACACACATTATCATTAAGTAAAAATAAAATTAAATACATATACGCGAGCACGAAGGTGTATGCATAGTATGGAGTTAATTAGAACTTGACTTGATATGTCGAGTTGCAGGTCATAAAAATTATCAATCCAAACGACAAACGATAACAATTAAATATTTTATTTTTTTTTATTGTTAATAATAAATATTATATTTATTATTATCTACGAGACAGTCACAAAGTCGTGTGAGCGAGAGCTTTTTTAATAATGATAAAAGATAAATAATTGTCTAATAATTATAATAATAATAATGACAGTATACTTTGATAATGATAACAGCATTAATTAACTAAAGGACAAACCGCGAATACTTTTAAATAAAATAAATAAAAATATAGATGATATGAATGAGAAAACTGAAAATGGAAGAAAATAAAAAGAATTTTGTATTGAAATATTTTTGAATAATTTGAAATAAAAAAGCACAGCTTAAAGCGTAATATATATATATATATATATATATAAAAATACAAGCACATAATCAGCCAAGGAAGCAAAGATTAACTGACAATGTAGCAGAATTGAACTATGAAATACAAATAATTCACAGCGAATGCGGGCAAAAGATTGATTTATTGACACACACATAGCATACGTTTATTTTCAATAAATAATACAACTTCTAAAGTACTTTTGCTTGGTGAATTTTTCGTCTATCACGAAATGTGCAACACCTTCTTGTGGCATCTTCTAAAGCTCCAATGTATGCTGGTTATAATTTATTACTCGTGAATAAACGGCAAAGCGACAAAGAAGGGACGCCCAATTACGTGCGCTGCATCGAGATATATAAAATATCACACATCGTCTAGCGATCAAAAGCTATGTACTTTTATAAAGTCAATTGTTATTTAAATTTCAAAATATTGTATATAATACATCATCATTATCATTATCACTTGGTAGAGTTTCATACAAATATAAAGTAATTGTGCGAGATAGAGCAGAATTTTAGAATAGATAAAAAGAGAAAGAGATATAAAGAGTAAAAAAAGAAAAAGATATTCGAGAAGAAAGGAATTCAAATTATTCTATTATACTTAGCACATCTCAACAATTTTTTAAGTCTCTGACTCATTCTCTTTTCAGTGAAATATTTTATACAATATCGTGGTCTTGGAGGAAACAATGTAATTACTGTCACTAATAGGATAAATAACTTTTATATTATTTAATATACCAAGATGCTATTATTGTTAATATTTAATTAATACTTTTTATCGCTAGGCAAGTGTGTTGAAAATGGTGTATAAAACTTTTTTATTAGCATAGCCTATCGCTGCGAATAAACGGTTAAGACGAAACAAAACCACTTGTAAATAATAATTAATAATAATAGTAATTAAAATAGTAGTAATAATAATTAAAATATTGACAGAAATAAACAAAAAAACAGTAAGGCGGCGGAATAATAGGATTAAGCGAACGTTTTTAAGTCAAAACCAACGAGCCAATCAGTGTGCAGATCTCCTTTGACATTTTGCGCATTCCTTATTCGACATCAAGATACGAAACATCGATGGATTCGGTGGAATGAGTGCTACTCTACTTATTTAAATTATATTATTATTATTTTTTTTTTCAAGAAAAAATTAACTGTCTGATGGTTTATGATATATCTAACTTTCTATTGTTATTTATAAATAAGAACAATAATTGTTTAAAATGTTTTTTAATATTCATCAAGGCCAATAATTAATTTAAAAATTTATTTTTAGAATAAAAGTTAAATTACATATGAAATAATGAATTATAGTCAAGTTTGGTTTCGTATGAAATGAGAAGTTTGATTATTACTCGAATAACAGTGATATCCTGGGGGATTATAATTTCAGTACCAAGTCTAAATGATATCAAGCAATAATGGATTTCGGAAGGTTTATTTACAAAAGATATAAATAAAATAATAAATGAAAATAATAAAATCCTTAGAGAGCAACATTAACAACAACAACAAGGAGTAGTTTAAAACTCATTGTTGTTTCCACTCCATCGAGTTTCGAAAAATTGATTCAAAATAAATAGGAATTAGCAGTTTATTTAATCGGGACTGCGCAAAGATATGCGAGCTTGCGCGCGCTTTCTTCAGGGCGGGTTACCTTAAAAATAAGGTCGCTTTTGTTGAAACCGGACTTCTTTTTATTCGTATTGTCAGAGCTTAGGCGCCCCCTCCGCTCAGTGCGTTTTTTTTGTAGGTTCTGCAATATCTAGAAACAAAAGAAAGCCGGGACATAGCAAGACATAGTAAGAGAGAAGAGTTAGACCAAGGAAATGTTAGAAATAAACATAATTTGTTTAAGAAAAATTAGAAAAAAGAAATTTAAAAGAGGATTGGAAATATTTTCAACTACTTGATGAGATAATAGAATTACAGTCCAATTTTTTTTCTTTTTATTTTGATTTTTATTAAAACAGTTAAAATGAAATGAGAAGAATTTAAATAATTCGTTAGTAAAAAGTATAGTTGAAAAAAGTTTAGGGCTATAGAGCATTAAAGTAATAATAATGTGGTAGCAGCGAGCCTGAAAAACATTATCGCTCTTTCCATCATTTTCTATAATACTTTCATCCTAATATATAAGTTTATCGATTTTTCATTAATTCTCTTTGAAGTATTATCAAAGATTTAGTGACTATTTATGCTAATTTATCATCAAAAAATACTCTCTCGCTTTTAAAGACTATGTATGTATGTGTGTGCGTAGATTTATCGTACCGATGAAGTCTAGGAGATGTTTCATCGACCGGGTTCGAGGTTTTAAGTTGAATTCAACATAAGTTAAAATTCACCATCGCCAAGTTATAGTAGATAAAGAATCATAGCAATAATTAAATAACGTGAAAAGCCAGAAATATAAATATATACGCAATTATTTTATAATAATAATAACAATAATAATAAAATAGATATAAAGTGATGATTTTTTATCAAGCAATCGCTTAAGCTTTATTCACTCTTTTGAATTTTGTCAAAGAGTGAGCATTTCAAATAACAATTCAATTGCTAAAGTGTATGTATAAAGTATCGGTTTGCTCTCACGTTAAATATATCAGATGTTACTGTCGATATGTAAGAGAATGTGAACAAAATCAATATTGGATGGTGAAAAATATTTAGAAATAAATTTCGGAGTAGAAATATCGAAAACTTCACTGAGAGAAAGTTTCAATTGTAAAAATATTTTTTGTTCTTTGTTTTTTAGATGAATAATTGAAAAATTACTGTTGGAAATTATTTTTTGATGACAATTGTTTGTTTCTGTAGAGAAAATTAGTAAAAAAAAAACAATGTAATTTACGTGTTGAAAGAAACTGTTTTTATTTCAAAAAAAAAAGAAATTAATAAACATAAAAATTACATCTTGTTATGACAATCTTGGTTTGAAAAAACTTTCAGAAGTTACTAGAATGTTTTTAATTACTTACATAAGATAAAAAATTCTCATGAGAAAACTTGTCTTATTATTAGCAGATTTATTTGACACTTCAGTGTTTATTTTTCTTTTTAATCTGAATAAAATATTTTTCTTTATATATAAGGAGTATTTACTAAATAATTATTTCTAGAAAATTGAATGATAAGAAAAACAGATTTTCTTTACTTCAAGTTCTTGAATAACTTCATTTTTTTTTTATTAAAATATTAATTTTCTCATGAATAAAAATTTTATAAGATTGAAAAAATATTCTAATGTTCATTGGAATTCATGAATTAAGTATTTTATGTATGAGTTGATAACTGAATTTATTATGAAAACAATCAATTGATCATATCCTGAAATATTTCAATAAAAAATACTGGCGATTACAAATTGAATTAAAGAATTTAGTAATTAGCTTTCTCTCAGTGTAAGTCCTCACATATCAACATTTTTAGTTTTACTCAGTTCTAGTATCAATCAATTAGAATGTCACTCTTCAGATAATGATGAATGAAAACAAGCGGAAAATGTAATTGGATGATACAAACATCAATGCGTTATAAAAAAAAAATAGTAAAAAATAAATGCCAACCATTTATTATAGATTGAAACACTCAAGTGTAATAATGGAAATTTAGACAGCGATTGAAAGTCGCAAAAACGTACGCCAGTGGCAGTGTATAAATATTTATCGCCAATACTAAAGATAGAGTTAAAAGTCATGATAAACTGTTCTGATTTACAAACCGGAAGTTACGAAATTTTTTTTTACCGTCCATCAAGGTGACGGAAATGCACGAGTGCCGAATCTAATTAACGATATCTCATTTAGTATCACTGAATATCCAGAGTTGTACAAGTAGCTCAATAATGAGCTGCTAATGACATTTTTGTTACGGTTCCACGATGCGAAACACCATTCATGAGGTGGATTTGAATGAGTTATAATTTCCAACTTAAATACAAAAGGTTGGAGAGTGTATATGAGCTGTGCTTAAAGCGTGCGAGAAAAATTTTTATGAGTGGAGAGAGCAGTAACGTGTTGAATTATTATACAGAAAACAGTAGTTACTTTTATAAAAGAAAAAAATTGTCGTGGAGGAAGAATGTAAATAAAAGTAATATTTAAAACAGGATAATCAAAAATATCATGGACTTGTGATCATTTGATTAATCATTATATAGCAATGTTATATTAGTTTGATAGTCAATTAGGAAGACAATAATCAGGCAGGTGAATGACACGAGGCAGCAAGCAGGGTGTGAATATGAATTCGCTTGTATGGAGGAGTGAGTGATAAGACAAATCGATATATCTATACATGTAATATTAAATAAATTATACAATAGGTCATGTTATCTATGGGGGGGAGAGGTATATGTTTATATACAATGCCAATTGCATAGGAAAATCGAACGTCACATAACCATATAATTAACGGGCACATTGTTAAATAAATAACTGAAACAAAAGAAAATTGATTAAATTATCGGGCAAACACATTGGTACACCTAACAACACTCACAAGCAATCCTAAAGTATCAAACCAGTCCGACTGGTTGTTTTTTATTTCTTGCTCATCATTCCCTCTTCGAATATTCTCCATCAATAATTTCTTTATTATTATTTTTCATCACTGATAAATACTCAACTAATTGATGGTCAATATTTTCATCATTTAATGGCTCTTTTCAACTAGAAACATCTGCAAGAAGTTAGTATATTCGAAGAGAGACGTGCACATTGTCTCTAAAGTATGAAACGAGTTTTCTGAACCTCTATCAACGGAAATGTCTAACAAGAAACCGACCAACATGACAGCATGTCATAACACATCGTTCTCAGGACATTGGCAAGAACTCATGTCATTTTCTTGTGTCAGTGCAAAGTGCAAGGGATGATTTTATTTAAGTTAAACTAAATAATAACCATAAAACAGGGTCAATATTCCACCACATTGCATGGACACTTTGCGAGCAATTCAAGTAAAAGAGTAGGAGAAACTACGTGGAAGGAATCCTCGATCGAGAGATGATAAAAAATGACCGAATTTTACGGTCATTTAATATTAATACTAATGAACTTTTAATTTCTTAATAGCCAACTAAGGTAAATGTGCCAATTAGTGACCCAGTCTTCATCAATTGATGACTTAGACCTAGAATTCAAATGTTTTCTACTCTGTTCCATTTATTGATCAGGAATTAGAATTAAATATTAATAATAAATCAGAATAATCTTTTAAACTGTAAATAATTCACTTTCAATTAAAACTTATTTTTCAAGTAATATTAGTTGATACTCTCAATCATATTTGACTTTGATTGGATCATTAATTAGAACAGTTCACTCATTCTAAAGCAGTCTCGATCGTGATTCATATTCGTAAATGGGTAAGTTTATTAATCTAACACAAAATAAAAAATAAAACCAACTCAATGAACAAAAATAACTCAATTGTTTAAATCTTTTCACAATATCGTTACCCAGACTCCGACACGACAAGACTATATGCAACTCTTCTAGAATATATTGACAAACATAAAACTCATAATTCAAAATCCATCAAGTTAATTGATATTAATTTTAAAATGAAAACAGTGTTAATATATTTAACAAACAAACAAAAAGTCCATAGTATACACAATAAATGATATCTAGGCATAATATATACGTAGAAAAAACATTAATTTTTAAGTTAACGAACGCTTCAATCAAGAAAGGGCAATTGGCCTTGGTTTCGGGGTTACTAGGCAGGCACACCTTGCTGGTTCGGTCTGGTTGGGGCGGTGTAGCCCGTCGCTCGTAGTGCCTCTCCGGCTGTTGGTATAGGGGGATCTGCAAACCCATTCGAAATGTGTTCGCAAGGCCCATAATCAACCATCAGAAACTTTCTTAATTTTTTCATTTCTTAAAACAGTTTCATATCATCGACATATGGTTTTAGTCTATTCAATAGTATGTCTGGTACATATGTGCATGTAAGAGATAAAGTTGGAATTTAGATTTTAATGAGCGCGAATTTTTATTTTAATTATGAAATAATTTGTGATGTAAATGATTTCTTGTAACTGAATAGGCAATTTTTTTTCTGTTTTCTTTGATTTAACATCTGATGTTTTGTGTGCTGAAGCAGCAAAATTAGTGTTATTTTTCTTCTATCAGATTCAGTTTTTCCAAGATATCCTTAGTATAATTTAGTTATTGAAATAATGTCATTTGTCTGAATGATTGTAGTAGGATTATGTTGTTTTTAAACTAAAACTGATATATCAAATGATATCACATTTGGAACCAGTTTAATTGAGACGAGGTCTTATGTTTCAGGTAACAATGCTTGTGGTTTGATATCATAAATCACGTACTCAATATCTCTTACTATGACAATTAAATAATTAGACAGTTGTACACACATATAAAAAAGATTACTGAGATTCCAGTCTTACTGATAAATGTTATTTTCAACAGCAGAATGTATTTTTTAGACTTTAAATAATATTAAATATTTTTAAAACTTATGGTTAAAAAAAATAAATGAAAAGTGATATATATTTTTTATTTCGAGCCTACAACCAACGCGTGTTTCTCTCATCTCTGACCTTTGGCTTTTATTTTTTAGGGACTCTATTAATCAAGATGATCGATCGTTGTGCACTCCTTGACCAAACTCGTACTATCGATCAACGCTTGATTCTCTAAACTTTCATAATCTGCACGTCTGGCTGTTATATACTGAAGTCAAGTGAGAAAAATTAATGACAGAATTGTTGTCAGCGTGTAAATAAATGGAATATTTGAATAAAAAGTAAAAAAAAAACTTGATTAAATAATAAAATTTTGTATAAGGTTAATAATATCAACGATGATGTTTCTCGTCCTGCAGGAAGTGACTTCTGATTGGTTGACGAGTGCCTGATTGATTCGTTGGTCTGTACCACGTGAAATGTGGTTGTTGCGCTAACGAGTGATAAAGCGAAGCTAGAGAGACAGAGAGGCAATGACAAAAATAAAAAAAAATTAAATGGTATACCGATTGAGAGCACCGTTTTTTACATGTGTAAATTTTTCATTTCGATTATCGACATTTCAATAACTATATTTTATATGTTTTTATTGATTAACAGTAACTGGGAAATATGTTTTGTTATTCTATTTTAAACCATTAGATATTATTTATAGTCATTTTTATTATTTTTCATTTGTAATCGTAAGTGTGTATATAGTCTAGATAAAGGCCTACTTTCGGTCTATTGAACCTATAGTTTCCTGTTGAACTACTTACTTATTTAACGATTGATCGAGAGAGTTTAGAATTTATAGAGAATTGCTTTGAGCAACAGAAACCTAATTATTTATCGCGCTTTACTGTTGAATTTCATTTTTTTCGTAGTAGAAAGAATAAATTATTTCTCTTTTTTATCTTTCAAATAATAACAAAAAATAATAATATTTAAACAAAAATTGATTTTACAAGGATTTGTTTGTTTATTTTACTTTGATTTCTTTCATCACGGTTTATCTTTTTCTGAATAAAATGAAAAAAATAATTTTGAGTTGAGACATAAATATTAAAATACACAGCAATATATAAATATAATGATAAGTAAACACTTACATAGACCTCTTCCCATTGCGAAACGTATCGCACAAGTCTTGATAATCGCAGCAGTCTTACGAGCGACAGAAGTTTCGCTAATCTGAGAATTCTAAGTGCACGTCCAGCATGTAAAATCTGGAATGACTCGCTAAAATCCTGAAACTAAAAATAAATTGTTTGCGTCAATAACGGAAGGGAAGAAAAATAATAGAATCAAGTAATAAATGGAAAATCCGTTAATCATACTAAGAGGTAAAGAAGAAACGGAATTCAACACTCAAATGAATATTTTTGTAGCTGATATGTAAAGAGAATGAAATCGGAGAGTGGAAGGTGTAAACTCTTGGCTTGATGAGAGAAAGCAAGGAGAAGAGATTCGCGTAGGCAAATGAAAAAAGCAGTATGAAAAACGAAGACTCACTTACTTGATTAAATATGAGAAAAATGTAGTCTAGTGGTATAGAGGAGATGAGGTCAAGAAAGAACCAAGTCCTGAGGTAGTGTTTCGCTATCAATTTCGGGTCCAGTATCACTTGCTCTGCATTGTCTTGCTGCATTATCCCTGGAAAAAAAACCACACCAAATCTTCATTAAAAGTTAACTCCACGTGTAGTTGTTAATAAGAATAATAAATCGACCTCGTGTATTTGTAGAGAAATAAATTTAAATGCAAATCTAAATTATAATAGTTTTTGTCTCTGTATCTGATACGTATATTAAAAAAAATATATTTTACAAAGTATGCTTTTGAATATTTCAATTATAATATATTCACTATTTTACTTGACTACTTTCTGCATGTTATTGATTATATATTAAATTCAATTCAATTTAATCGTTCGAACGTGAAATTTTCTTTTAAAATGTAACCAGAATTGGAATATTTGACAGATGGTCATGCATAAAAAATGTTTCATTTTGAAAATAATGAAAGTTAATAATTGAGTATATTGTAAAATATACAATTGATCATCTACAAAAGCATGAAAGAATATCAATCATTTTTTTAATGCAAAAAAATTTTTTTCATTGACCCAATAACTAGATATTTTAATCAAATTTATTATCTCCATATATTGCATAAAACTTTTTTTTTATCTTCTGTTATTGTTTTTTATAATATAATTTATTTCTTTGATTCGAATGTTGATAAAAAAAAATAAAATAGCAAGAGACAGCAGTGGTTTTAATTTTCTCAGTTAAATCTCATGAGACTCTGAAGCAGCAAAGTCAGAAATAGACATGGAATTTGGTATGTGGTGACTCGAGCGTGGCTGATATTGCTAAGGAGTTCCCTGGGGTGTTGTTCCCAGCCGTAACGGCCGCAAAACTTCTTCATCATTTCATAGATAAAATTACGAGAAGGGATGTACTTTGCTTATAAGAAAAAAGGACCATTATTTTTCTTTTCTTTTTTGAGATTTGTATTTAAGAAATAAAATTGAAATATTTTAACACATTAAGATAAGAAAATCACTGGTATTTAGGAACGATTAACTGGTTAATAAATCTTGAGATAAAGTGAACTGTTGTCTGAATGACAGTAGGAGCAGTGTGTGTCTTCACGACCTAATTTTACTTTGTGTCACTCGAACGCGCATCAAATTAATCTTCAAGTAATAACAAAATGTCAAGAAGCTCACGAGTCTTCCTCAACGGGCAAACAATAGTGTTGTTATATAGTGTCAAGTGTACGTAGACAAGGAGTCTTAATAAAAGCTATACTCTTTCTCCAGTGTATTGGAAGATATTTGTTAATCCACAAGTTAGATTTTTAAATGATTTCAAATAGGACAGGTGGTAATGAAATGTTAAATTTACTGGGTTGTGAATAAATCTTTTGTAATTTTAATGTGGCAGCAGGATTTTGTGAAGTGATTGATCCATTGTTTTCACAATAAATATAGATATTTACTCATGAATTAAAAATTTATCCACCTGATAATTCTCATGTCTATCATATTTTTTGGAGCTTTTTAAATACTTTATATTTAAACCAATAATAATTTTACTCAAAAAAAAGACCTTTTAAATAGCAATAATTGGAGTTCTCTTAAAATATAATTATTTATTTGGATTTTTAATTATTTTTTTAAATTATACTCTGTTTAATTATTTATTTAAAGAATTTAATTTTAAAGAGAAAAAAATCCCTAATGACTATTTTTATTTTTCCAACCACTAAATATCCGTAGGGATCAAATGATCTCCAATAGCCACACTAACCACGGACATGAACAAGATAATTGTTAATTTTCCGCCAATCCCGAGTAAATGAAAGAAAAATGATATCAATTTGAGTAATGTTTGTAATCAATACACGTGAAATAGCAGTGCTAAATTTATATCATGTTAATTGAGTAAAAATGATCTTTCCTGATCATACTATTTATATCTTGCATAAAATATTACCCGTTCTGAAGTTTACGACAATATCTATCAGAAATATCGTATCCGAAAGGCAGTTGAAGGCTATCCATCGGGTGCTTAGATCATCGTTGAAAAAACTAATAGCAACTGGCAGAATTATTAGGTTTGCTACGAGTAACAGCAACATACAAAGGTCCCAATAAAATCTGCAACAAAAATTTATTTTTAATTAATAACTTATAATTCTTATTTATATCAGATAATTCGAATATATAAATGTATATACGTTGATAAATAGTTAAAATCCTACATTAAGATTCATTCGTGATAACTAAGTAGCATTAATTTATAGAAATATCTCTTGGGGTGCTTGATTTTATAGGCAAATAAATAATTCATTTTGCTGATTCATTTAATAATTTATTGGAGAAGGGCATTCTAGCAGTAGAGAATTAAAAAAGAATAATAATAGATGATATATATTTTATTTTTATCTTCAAATTAATTTCTATTAAAAGTATTTCAAGTTCTTCCAATTAAAAATTAAACTTTCTCAAAGTGAATATTTTTTGCTATTGATTGTAATTGAAAAAAAAATATATATATAATATTAAATGAAAAGTTTTTTAAAAAATATCTCAAGAAAATTTTCTTCTCGAGATAATTCAACATTGATTTACTTTATGCTGAGGTCTTACTGCTTCAAGAATAAGCTTATAAAAAGACTTTATTAGATTCTAAAAATAAATATCCCCTCAAGTAATCATATAATTAATTTTTTGATCATGTCTACACAATTATATAATTTAGAAGAAACATTTAAGGGAACAATAGTGAAGTTGGTGTGTATCTGTTCCACATAATCAACATGGTGAAATGATTGCTAGCATTTGGTTAGGAGAGAAACCGAAAGATGGATTTGTGGGAGTGTAATACCCTAATAGGATTATGTTGAGTTCACTCGGTTGAATTTCGACGTGCGCTTTTGGAGCCATATAAAGCAAATCGGTTGAAAAAATTCTAGACATATAAATTTAAAGATGACGTAAAATTAAATGTAGAAATATTTTTTATATATATTTTTGGTTACATTGAAGAAATAATTTAATTCAAGACATCGTCGATTTATTCTAATAATAGCAACATTCATCAACGGTCATTTTTGATCTTGAACTCTAGTAGAATATATTCATTGTTTAGAATTGATTGCAATGTCACATGGAAGAAATGATGGTAGTGGACTGCAAATCATGACAGAAAAGTTGCATACTCTGCGCCTTGGCGTCATTGATTCACAGCAACAGCAGAACCTCATAAGTAGCGTGAAGAGAACAAGACTTGAGGCAAAAGCAAATCATGTACACATATATACATGCTAGACAATAACACCGGGTCGTCTATTGTTTGTTGGAGGATGCTGACATAATCAGGAGTACGGTAGACTCTATTTTATGGACCCCGTGTATAATCTTGTACACACTGATGAGCAGCAACAATTGCCAAGATTATTTGCTTTATTAAAACATTTTATAATTCATAAATAATCAATTATTTAAATATTCATCGTCATATATTTTTATTTTTTATAATTTTTAAAGTAACAGCTATAAATATTTAGTTACATGAAATGTATTTTAAAAGTACAAGACTTTTTTTTTTTAATCGAAATAAATTTTTTTTTTAGTCTGGTTTTCCGTCAGAAAAAACTTTTAACAGCCTCCAATTAATTAAAGTGGATCTTTTCAAGCTTTAAAAAGAAAAAAAATGATTTTCTTCTTCTGTTTCTATTTTTACACTTTTCTCTTTGCACCACATCATGATTTGTAACAAATAACATACATAGAGAAATTTTAATTTTTTATCCACATATTAAATTGCTGAAATATTGCCAGCAATTTGATACGATAAAAATATATTACTTCATCAAAATGAAATCAAAAAAATCTATCACCCTACCAGAAAAAAAATCCGACATTTTCTTCATTCAGCTAAATTGAAAATAAAAAAGATTTAAAAGGTCTAAACTGACGATACTAGATATTTTTAAACTTTAAGAAGAAAAACTCTTCTGATAGCTTAAAATGAAGTTGACTTATGTGAAGGCACGTGGGAGTGAGCAAAAAGTTAGTGAGTTAACGGCGCTTGAAGGTGATAAAGAAATGCAGCAATTCTGGCAGTAGATACATCCTTTTTCTTCACCGCTTGTTCATTCTATCAGGTATAGTGTTCTATTAATGCTGAAGAACAAAAAAGGATAGACCCAAGGGGTCATGGACAACGTTAACCTAAGAATTTGCAGGAACGCCAGAGAATAGAGATGAATTAATTAATTAAGTCATTCTTAATTGCAGCTTCACTTTTGAAATTCATCAAGTGTCGTTGCTGTGTGACCGTGACAAATTTACTAATTGATAATGAACTAAAAGCAACACTTTCTATACTATTACATCATAATACATCTAATATTAAACAACGTTTTTGAATACACTACTTCTTACTTTAACACCAAGACAAGGCTTTTAGCTTTTATCTCACTAATAAGACATTCAATATCAACTCTATGAATCTCTGATTCAAGATGGCCTCTTAATCTTTAACTAATAAAATATTTGCAACACTTCTTGTACTTCAACTTTGGCCATGGCCCACTCTTAAAAATTAACTTGTTCTTTATCACCTTCTAGGAATTGGAACCACCATTATTATTACCATCATGCCTGTAACACCTACGCATTTTCATGATTCATTTATATTATAATGTTCCTCAGATATAGAATTATCTAGGATAGTGAATTCAAACATAAATACCAATATTCGAAATGCATCAAGGACGAGTGAGAATTGACAGGAAATGTAATATCATAAATTGGCCTTCATCAATCTATTTATTCAAACTAGAGGTCCAGTCAATAACTGACATTTAATGGAGCAGCATTTCAGGCAGATTTTCAAAACAAAGATTATTTTAGAGTAATCACATGATGAATGGCTTGTGTACTTTAAACGGTAAATATCAATTATTTAGTCATGAAATCATTGGAGATTGATATAGTCTTCAATTGAAAATGAAATAATAATAATGTGATTAACATAATTATTCAAAAATATTTAAATAATCATCCAACGCTGGTAAGAATAATAAATAATAATTACATAGCAGATTATGTCTCTGTAGTGCTATATATGTCTAAAGCTTCTTAACTTCATCTCTATCAAGCTCTTGGAGTTTCTAGTGGATTATTCCAAACAGAGAACTAGTTCAAAAAACTTGAAACTCTAAATATTAATGACTTTTATACATCAATGTAAGATATTATTCGCAAGTTGCGTACTAGGTATCAAGAAGTAGATAAAGAAATATAAGAATTATTACCAAAGTTGTTCAAAAATGTTCAGTGTAAAATATGTTTTTAATGGTTTTATTATTGATCGTAGATAGTTTTGTCATTTAATAATAATCATCATCATTGAACTTAGTTATTATATTCTCATGACTTATGTGTGAAGCACTTTTAAGTAGTAAAGTATTCTGAGAAATCGATATTGATTAGTATCATTCAATAACTTACACCAACTAACTTTATGATGGTAAGAATTCCGGGAGGGACAAAATCATGATTATGTATAACACAAATCAAGCGCATTATTTTCATCATCTAACAAGTTTGCGTTCATCAGCATAAATACGATGAAATCAGTGTCAGATGTCATATAGGCTTAGGTTTACGTCATATTCTATAGTAGCATTTATATTCCGAAATATGATACACGAATTGTAATTTATATAACGCAAGTAATTAAACAAATTTTTTGATCAAATAACGCCAATAAACCAACTATACATAGAAGACAATGAGTAATAGGGTTTTTTTTAAAACATAAAACTGCGCAATTAGATATGAGTTTAATTAATTCAAGATGAAGTATGTAACTAAATCGTAATCTAAGTATTAATGTACATTAAAGAATGTGATATAAATTTCAATGGTAATACATTACATCATAAATCTCGATCAATTGTATTAATTAATGATCTGAGATATTGTCTTTATTGAAAATTTAATTTTTAATCATTGAAAAAACCCATACACGTCAATCAACATTTATTAATGGATCCATGAATAAATTAGAAATATTTAAAACAAAACTGGTTGAAAGTGATTGGAACTGGGTCTAATTGGCAAAGTCTATCAGATTAATTTGAAAGATTAAAACAAACAGGTTGTTTTGTGATCGACCCACTTTTATGTTAAAGGCTATAATCAATCAAGGTTAAATATTGGACAGAAGGTCAGATTAATATTTTGAACAGTTCATATCACCAATGGCATCAACTCCAAAAAATTGATTAAATACATTCTCAGCTGATCCAAACTGATTTCATTGTATTAAAAAAATCTTTCACGTAATTTTTATTTTCCTCTTTGGACTCTCATGTTTCTCATTCAAGGTGACATGATTATGATCTTCCGGAAAGGGTTCAAGTACCCAGTAGTAACTGATTGTAACTTCTAAACTCAATGGGAAATTATAAATAATTGAACGGTGGCGTGTGTTGCAAAATCGATTTATTTTGGAATATCTACTTCCAACTGGTTTAGATAATCATGTGTAGTAACCACAAATAGACACAAATTGCGAGAATCTCCCTTCGTGTTGGGTAGGTAGATGTCATTACGTAGTTTGCGAATTTAAACAATAAGTTCCTACCGGCCTGGAGCTTGACATCGAACATTAGGGTGCTTATATAATGCTTGAGATTACAGTTGTGCTTTTAAAAAGAGAAAAAAAGGAATATTGTCAAGGTATTGAACAGTGTAGTTAGCAATAGAGAAATGCGTTAATAGCAAAAATAATAAAATTGTATTCAGTGCGGAAATGACACAAAGACTTGATTCAGTTCAACTTAAATACCAGTAGCTAAGCCTTGAAATTTAATGGAGAACAATTTCAACTGTTTCGAGCCAAGTCACGAAAGAAGTGCATGAAAACTTGACAAAAATGCTGACTAAAGTCTAGTAGTAAATTATTAATGTGAGAAATGAAATGTCAAGTCACACTTATCAAGTCTCTTCTTATGCTGCATTCTTGAGATACATTGTAAGAAAAAAGTTGCACGTGCTTTCTTTTCTTTATTTATTTTATTTTTATACCTTGATCTATTTAATAGAAAACACTTGGAAAACTATAAAGTATCGTAGAAGCAGCAACATCTTTTACATCTTCGATTACAAAATCAAAAAATTTGAGTTTAAAAGAAAAAGAAGCAAAGAATAAGAATAGGTAATAATCTAAGCTGTGAATTCAAAACGTTTCAGTTTTCGAGGGTGGATATTAATATACTATATCAGCAGAGCCTATCGACAATGTAATTTTTATAGAAATAATCAAATTTTATATTGAAAAAAGTTCTTTTCTCAATTGTTTTACTGAATAACCTATCAATTTATATTTGAAATCTTTTAAAGAAAATGGAAGAACAATAAAATAAAATTGTTAAATCTTTTTAACCAGTCGAATAAAGTACAGATGACGTGGAAAAACGTGTTAAAATCCAAGTGTTGCTTTTGAACACCAGTCGTTTCGGTTATTCTTGGAGCTTTCTTAGTAATTTCTTAAACATGTCTTACTAGAAACCTTCATTTTCTGAAAAATTCTCACATCTGGACAAATTTAATGATGATTTTCTCAGAATGAAATTATTCATTTGAACACAATTAAAAATCTTGCAAATACATCATCTGAATGATTGAGTGACAAATAAATGAATCTAAATATCATCTAATGGAAACAATAGCAGTAACTAAAGTAAGAATAATAATTGTTTTCTAAGTAAATACAATAATTGTCGATGAATAGTTAAATAAATAGTATGTAAGTTGCACAACATTTTGATATCTCGAGATAAATAAGAAGTGCAGTTGTGATGTGACATTCCAATTGACCCAACAAAATGAGTACAAGCCATCTAAGATACATATGTATAAATATAAGAATTAAACGTTCTCGATTTCTAGAGGATAAAAAAAAATATTACAATGACGTTTCGTGCAATCTGATCCTGTCTATTGAACCTTATTGCTATTATTTGAGAATTTTTTGTCAGAAGAAGTTTTTTTTCAGTTAATTATTGTGATAATAGGAACAATGAGTGGACTTTACATTGTTACACGCTCAAATTATTATGAAACGTGAGGGGAATTATTGTACACGAGGGTAATACGTGTGTGTCTGAAAGCCTGGTAGCAGCTATAGCCTACTGACAATAGCTTTCCGCTTAATCGGATGATTATTATGAGATCATTTCAACAGCTGACCGGCAACCAGAGAATACGTTCGTATTCATGTGACGTAGTCAAGTGTCTTCATGCCATAATTCACAGCTTGATAATAATCATCACATCTTGCGCACCTTCGTCATCATCAGCATTTCATCTTGATGTAATATATACTTTCAATTCCAGACTGATAGCCTTTGAAGCATCCTGTATCATACAAGGTGCAGCATCAGCTTAGTTCAAGTCATGTTATTTATTTATATTAATTAATTATTGATCCAATTGTTTAAAATTATTAATAGCTCGTTATTGTTACTTATTAAAGATCTAAAATTTCAATATGAAACATTGTAATGTATGCCAATGTGTTTACAAAACATTGTCATTAACAGGAAAAAATCAAATTGAGTTGACTAATCAATTTAATAATTATAGACCAACAATCATAATTCTTTCATGCTTTAATAACAGATTATAGAATGGAATAGCATTAATTTTAATGGCACGTGAGCTTAATTGACCAGTCATGAAAAATTAATGAGCTGATTAATCTTTCAGTGTAAATTACTTTCAAGCAAAAAATAGCTTTGTTACATTTTGTTGAATGTAATCAAAAAAATGAATGCAACAGAAGGACATTTGTTTTCTTGTTCTTTGATACTCATTACAATGTACTTGAATTCTTTCCTTTACAATTTCTTTTCCTTTGATACTCTAAAGAATTAAATCAAAATACATTCCAGCTTGCTAAAAATTTTAAATAGAATTTATAAAATGCCAATAATCTACTTTTCATTTTTGTTATGCTTTCAACTTGGCTGAAAGTGAACTAAATTCTATCAAAAAATTATGGAAAATAAACTGAATTTGATCATGAATTTGACTAAAAAAATATCTAAGAATTTAATGTTTTTCTCTGCTATTTGTACGAATGAATGGCAAAAAAGTTATGACATATTCTATATTGTTGCTACCTGAACAAGTAGAATTAAAATAATGTTTTCAATATATGATAAAATAATAGTTAAACTTTTTATTGTTAAGGCATTGTGTGATGACTGACACACAACCATGTCATATACATGTTATGTGTTCACAATTTCAAGTCTAACCAAGTTGAGTTTGCTTTATAGTATAATTAGATAATGATCGAAAACTCTTGCTGAGTGTTTGCTAAGATATCTGTCACTGGTGAACGGAAACTTCTCGTCAACACGTCAAGTAGCATGACAATATAGAGAAGAGAACAACAAATAGATACATTAACATCAAAAGTAGAGATAGAAATAATTGTTCTATTTCTTGAGGAAATTTTTTGGACACGCGAATAATTTTATTTTCTGGTAGATATTTATTTTTAAAAATCATGAAAGCATGACAGGTGTAAAGGCCTTTTTTTATCTTGCTTCGTTTAAAAATAAAAATAAAATATAAAATTAACATTCTTTCCGTATCACTAAAGCCATAAGAAGAGAAAATGATCGTTTTAACGGTATACCGGTAATTAAATAAGACTTTAAGCGGAAGCGCCAGGCAATTTCATTCAATTGCGTGAGCTTGGCACGTAGCTTCTTTGTCGAATAGAACTATTTCCCGGAGTTGAATATTTTTAAAACTCAATTGAAATTTTTCTTGGCATTGAATATATATACACTAAATAAAATTGAAAAGAATTTTTCATAACAATTTAAATGAAAATCACAGTAAAAAATGAAGTTGTAAACCATGTTTGATGTTATGAGAAATTGAAATGTTAATGAAACATCAAGTAATAAAAATTCAATCAATCGACTGCTAATTTGAATATTTCTAATGAATTTTTAATGAAAATTTAGAGCTAAGATCATAAAAATAATTGGTATTTTAATGTCATTTGCAGCTGTTTAAAAATTCAAGCACTTCACTTGAATTTTCAAGGAAACTCGTTTATAGTGTACTTCAAAACATGATGATGGTAACTTGTAATTTATTGAAATTTTTATCTACTACATAAGTCTACATAGGGAAAAGCTGTTTCAATAATTTTATGCGAATTTAATTGACTTTTAGTAAAAACCTAAAAAGTTTTTCTATCCAAAATTCTAAATTTTTTTAGCAAAAATTTCATCAAAAAGAGAACTGATGTGTTAAATTTTTAGACAAATAAAACAATACTTAATAATAGATTTTCTTCAAGATAAAAAGCTGTCCAACACTTGGATAGGAAAAAGAATTTTTAGTAGAAATTTTAATATAAATAGATCAATATTTTCTACAACAAGATATCTTTCAGTGGGTTGATCTATTGGCCGAGTTTTTGTCTCGTCACAAGGAAGGTCAGGCGCGTGAGAACCAGGAAGAAGAGCAGGCAGTATAACGCTTCAGATATTGCTTTAAACCGTAGCATCCTCTACCCTTGAATAAGTGGTGGTAGTTACAAGTCAGTGTATATGTGTGGGTAGGGCTCACGTCGACAAACAGAAATAGTGTATTCCACAACTGCGGTTATATCGCGAGTACATGAGTTGAACTCACCGGAAACTGGAGCAAGGATGTATGACCCAGTGACCTGCGGCCTTCTGTCTGATTCGTTCCTTCATAAGGGCCTTCTTGCTGCCGAAGAGTTTCATTGCAAGCTTGTTGTCTGTTGGTTGGAACAACGCTTGCAGTTGATTTTTTAAGAAACTTTGCTTAACCTCCTGGCCCGGAAGTCCCGGGCCCAATTCCTCCTTCGGCGTTCCATAGAGGGACACGTCGTCCACCCCAAAGTGGACCTTACCGCTTCCTTTGTAATTCATTTCGTTGCCTGGAAATAAAAATGACAAAGTTTTATTGAATGCCAGTTTGCATTTAAATGTCTGAGCTTTTATCTTGTGCAATCGACTTGAAAAACAACGGAAACGTGTGTAATACCATGTCGTTAATGGTAAATTTCGGGGTTTAGTGTAGAGATTTTTTTAAAAAAATGCTATATACATACATATGCAAAGACATATATTGGAAATGGAGTCTAGTATTACTGATCGTAAAAACGATAGGTCAATTGAGCGCAAAATCCTGTAGAAGTACTTTTATGACTTTTTCTACACTCACACCATCTTCATATAGTTTCTTCGTTCCTTTTTTATCCCATATTTCGGTAATTTAGTTCACGTTTAGAAATAAAAAAGGATTGTTTGTAAACATGATAAATTGAGTAGATTTGCACTCTCCAGCATCGAAATGGTGAAACTTTTCATGTTTTATACATTTAAAATCCATTGGAAAAATTTTAGAATACTGCATGATTTATAAATTTTAAATAAATTCTTGTTTTCAGAATATCTAAAATTCTCATAAATGTTTCACGTGTACATTTTCATTATTTTGATGTTAAAGAGAGTATATTGATAAACAAATAAATATTGGATGAAGAAATTAACGGTATAGAGTGTTATAATGTTGCTCTCGAATTTTTCAATCCTAATAATAATGCGGAAATTGTTAAATGTCTATATGAATTCCGACAATTTGTAGAATGACATTATCAGAGTGATCCAAGGTCTAGTTTCTATTCCGCACATTAATCTTAATTTACAAGTGCAAGATCGACGAATTAAGATTTCCGCGACGAGGAAATACGCGCCGTTCCAATTATGCCATAGAGTGTGATGATTTTATGTACACTAGTGCTGCCTAAAAATTAGGGTAACACCACCCAAGCATAATATAATGACCGAAAAATGCTACAAAAAGATCCGCATAATGATTAAAAAAAGTCATTTATGATTATTAAGATGAGATGAGAATTTTTTTTTCATTAGCGATGACCCTAGCAACTAAATTTCGTTATCAATAAATTTTGCATTAACAGTTTGATTTTAACAATATTAATATTTACCAGTAATTTAATTCATGATTAATTTTATTTTAATATACTAATTAGTGACAATAAATCTGATTATTAAACAAAGCTTTAAATGAGGTCAAATTTCTTTAGTCAATATTCTGATAAAGATTGAAAAAAATAATTAACTTTTTCTAATAAAAAAATATTCTAATACACCGCTCTTTTAATTATAAAAAACTTCATTTTTATACATAAGGAAAGTTTTAATTACAAAGCAAATTACAATTTTTTTCTTTTCAACAAAAAAAAGAAAAAGAAAATATAAAAGAATTTTTTCTGATTGATTTCATTTTTGCATAATTCTATGAATAAATCAAATTTAAGTCTTCAGAAGTATAAAAAATTTTTTCAATTTTTCAAGGTCTATTTTATCCCAAAAAATGACCTTTTCCAGCTTACCCTGCATCATTTCTTTTCTCAAAATATATCACAACTTTACAAATAAGCTTATTCACCATAAAATCTATGGTTTCTTATTAGTATGAGAGTAAAAAAAAAAATTCTCCACGCTCAAAAAATATGATTAATTTGATAAAAAAAAAATTAGTTGCCATCTGTTACATACAGATCTACTAGTGATATAAAAATTTCAAACTCACCTGTATCGTTAAGGAAATCGGTAATAAGGAGAGTCTCGTCGTCTAGCGCTGTGACGAGGCTATCAGTACAAGTGTTAGTGTTTTCGATGCTGATTTTGATGCTGTCATCCTTATTTAATCTTGGATGATTATTGGAGGAGACATTATTACCACCATAACAGTTGTTATTGTTACTGTGTTGCTGGCTAAGATGATGATGGGGTGAACGGACGGACTCGGTGCTGCTGGTGTGCAGGCCAACCCCGGTGGTCGCCCTGCCGTTCACCAGACGAAGACTTGGGGCTCGTCTGCCACCTCCAGATGCGGCACGACCACCCACGCCACCTCCTTCGCCCTCCCTACAAAATCATTAATCAAACATCATATTAAAATTAACACCACTTTATGTTACTTTTCATAATTAATACAACCATTTTCATTTGATATTGCCATCATATTTTTCATGCTTATTCGAGACTTGATGAGATGCAGAAAAAAAAGATTGAGGTAGGTGTAAAAATAAATTTGTGAGTCGGTTAACTGTTTATTTTATTTCTGATGCTAAAAATAATATAAAGTTCTTCGGTGGGTCGTTACGCTTTAAGAAACAAGAGCAATAATGTTATACCTAAGGGATATATGAATATATGGAGATATATAAAGGAGGATTAAGAGTCAAGGGCCGAAATAGCTGGAAGAAAACTCCCACGGGTGCACATTCATCTTCACTGAGTACATGATCTGATACATATGTATTCACGTTAACCCTGAACATCTCTAACATCAGCGTTTATTTTAAGAAATCTTTACTTCCCAGTCGATGCTCCCGATTTATTTTTTAACACATAAAAAATCGGCACACTGTACAACCACTTATACATTTACTTTACCAAAATAACCTGAGTAAATATCATGATAATTTCATTTGCAATATTGTGTTGTTTATTAATTAAATACTAAATCGATGCTTGCCTTTGTTTGTTTATTTTCTTTTCTTTCAATAATTGTACTCATACGTCTTGGAAACGTTTTCATTTTTATCTTTAAAATAATAAACAGTTGAATGTTTTCATCGGAAATTAATTTACTGATTATTTATCCTCGTTGTGTGCTTTGTTTTCGAAATATTGTTATATTTTAAGTCATTATGATTATTGCAAGAATATTTTTCAATTAACACTTTTTCCAGTGAAATTATATTATATTAACATGAAGTTTTAATTAAATATTTGCGAGAAAAAAAGAATCAGAAATAGACAATCAACATTGCCAATTGTTTTCTAACGGTTTTTAATTATTTATCGAATGAAAAAAATTTAATTAACACATTCCTTTGATGAATTTAAACAATTATTTACTCTCTAAAAATTTTATCAGTGAATTTCCATTGTTTGCAATTATCAAGTATAGCACTAATTCAAACATTAATAGTTTGGTAATTGCAAATTAGTCAATATTTAATGTTTCGCAGTAATTTTCACTAATTTATTTTTAGAGAGGATTTTTTGTTACTTTTGTATGATGATAATTCATTTTAACACGCATGCGAATTATTCATATATAAATGTTTGGTATTTGCTATATAATTAAATTGAAAATCTTCTGTTGTAATAAAAAAAAAACTTTCTTTAAAAAAATATTGCTAATAATGATAATTTTCTGCACGTTTAACCTAAAAAAAAAATAATGGTTTTTTTATTATTCGAATATTCGAAATTCCAGTTCACTGTCCAACAACAATTCAAAAAAGTCAACTCACGTATAAATAAATTTACCTGAATTCGCATTGATGAAAGGATAAAAATATCCGATTGACTATGTGAATGATGCAATTGAAATATCGATACAACTCTTGAATGTCATTATAGAAAATTACTCAAATCAACGATAAATTACGTAGTATAGTTGTCAAACAATACTCCAAATGTTTTTTTAATTACTTTAATATTTTTATGCGATATCATTCAGTAAATTTAACCTTAGTACTCCTGATATACAGCCATAAAATTAGAAACTTGATTATGAAACGGCCCCGATAAGTTTGACATTCTACATCATACTATACATTTTTTTTTCACACAACAATTATCATTTTGATATTATAATACACTTCCTGTTGTATTGTTTGATAAATGAATTCACTGTAACTATTTAATCCATGAATTTTACCATTAGACAACCACTTTTCTACAAGATAATTTGATGTTTTTAGCCTATCTGGAATATCTATCAGCATACAAATTGTGAAGCAATCAACAGCATATTGTAATAATAAAATAGTAGGTTTTATCATAATAAGAACGGATTTACGTTATCATAATTCAACAAAAAAAAACTCACTAAGGGAAAATTAAATTTAATAGATTAATTATCGTAAATGAAAATCTATTGTTAAGCAATAAAAAATTACTGATAAATCATTTCATGACCTGTATTTTTATGATTGCATTATCATGTACTTGTTTTGACAAAACATTGATTTTCATTGTTGTGAACAATTATTTTTTTCAATTGTCTTCACTTGAATAATTGAATATATTATGATTTTCACTATTTGTTTTGTATGTATGTATTTCAACTATCTTTTTGAATCATTTAGAAATGCTGAAGCTATTTTCTTTTTGAGTTTACAGATGAAGTAACGTGAAGTAGAAACAGTACTATACCAGTCAGACTAACACAATTCTACAGAAAAAAAAACTTGAATAATTGATTTTGTCGTTTTTTGAATTTTTTCCTCTCGAAACAGCTGTTTCGTTTAATTTACATTTTTGAGTCTTGCGATCAGCAAAGTGTGATGAATCATAACTCGTTGGGGAGATGATTATTATGCGGAGAGGAAGAAGAGAATAACAAGCAGAGACAAACGAAACGATCGAGTACTTAATGGATCATTTCAGAAGAATATATACACACAGTTGTTTTCATATGGATTCTTAATTCTTATATATATTATAATCAGCTATTGAATCACGCATGTAAAATGAGATTTGAGTATTGGATACAAAGGTCTTTCAATATAACGACGTACAACTAACTCATTTACATTACTAATATACACACCAAATACCGGCATAATTATGTCCATGTTGAAATAAACTATACTTAATCACGACAGTCAAATTTATATGACCCTTGATAATAATTTATCATTATTTTAATTTTGTAGACTTTTAAAATTCCAACATAATTTGATAAAAATGGTAAAAAACAAACAAAGTCGTACCTTAATTAACAATTCCACTCTAAAATATGGTCCCTGGTGAATGAATATTTTATTTATAAAATAAATCACTTTGATATTTTTTACTTCCTCAAACACTATTACTTTCAGGTAAATATCTACTTTAATTCCTGGTCACTTTAGCACCAAATTTATAAGCACACACTTGGTTTTAGAAATGTCATCTACTATTTAGTTGTATATAATAGTAATAATTGTGTATAATTGACTAAATTTTTTTTCTTTTTTTCTTTTTAAACTGTGAATATCAACTCGAAAAACTATTTAGAAATCTATTTAGAAAAATACGGAGAATTTGTTTAAATTTAAAGAAAAATAGTAACAGAGATTTCGTTGAGTACTATGATTAATTTAGTGAGTAGTTATTATTTATTTCAGCCTTTACACGTGTAACTCTCATTGACTCACTGGCTGACTGACTGACTAAGAGCACGACCAAAGACTTCCTCTGATAGAAGCTCCACTCGCGGCCTGGCCTGCAGGACAGCACCGAGTACCGGCAGTGGTGGAGAGGGTTCTCGTGCGCGCCAACGGAAGATGTGGAATAGAAGGTGGGGCATGCACTTCCCTCGAGAGAGAAGCTTCATCCCCATATAATGCAACCTGCTGCCGCATCAAGGTCCAGAATGTGGTGACGCACAGTCTGCACTCAGTATTCATTTGATGCTCTAACTTTCACGCCTGTCTATTCAAATTCCGCGCTAAAAGATTAACTAGTGAATAGAACAAGTGAGTTGATTTTGATATAAAAGAAAACCTTTTAGTTTTTGTACAAATGATACTCCAACTTGTGTTGTAAATTCATTCAAGACTTTGGAGCCTTAGGCTAAAGATCCAAGCAATTCAATAACAATTAAGTGTTATTTATTGATGATAATGATACTGATACTAGTGTGCTCTATCAAGATAATCATAGTAAATAAATAATAGATTGATGAAACATATTACTACTGCCTGATGACTTTGTAGTGAATTCATTGCGGTAATTAATGACTTCTACAACAGTCATTAGGACTGAATTTAAATCTCTGCATTTTTTTGAGTTATTTTTGGAATTAACGACACTGCTTTCAACCCATTTATTTTCATCTTTCTATTGAATTTATTTTATATAGATTTTAATATTCATAGTTGGAGAAATATTTTTTTTTTTTTTTACTAAAAATAAATGTTTGTTCAATTTTCAATTTAATTTACTTTATCTTAAAAGGTTATCACAACATTATAGGGAATATTTGTTGAGCCAACAAATTCTCATCTAAGAGCAGATAAATCATCACTGTATTTATATTATTTAATTTTGTTGATTTTATTTTCAATTCAAGATGAAATAAACAAAGATTTTTTTATAATAAATTCGATTGGAGTTAATTCTAGGAATGACTTTATTTTAAAAATGAATAAATATCTTTTCACCTCTAGTTTTGCTGGCTTTTTTGACATATTTCTAAATTTAGTCAAATATACATATGTGTTTTATTTGAAATTTAAAACTCGTGAAAAATTCGTATGTAACACATACATTAGATGTCTCTTTGAATAAATGAGAAGAGAAGGCGAGAGTAAGAGCCTCTCGTATGTATAAAATATGGGAAATGGAAATGTGAAAAATTTTCATAAAAAGAGTGCAGGTAGATAACGTAGTATTGTTAATTATTCTAAAAAAAAATCTGATATAAATATCCGCTCTATTTTATCAGTAATACGTGGTAGAAGTTTAATTCATGTTACGAATCGTTTCTGTAGATGGCATATAATACAACGAACTCAATACGAGATTTTGTCAATTATTCAGATTTATTTGAAAAAGGAATTCATCTATTGCACAATTCATAGAATGAAAAGATGTATTGTAGAAAAAAAAGAAGGAAATAAATAATCATGTCATTTCTCATGCTCTTGATTTTTCGATTAACAGCTGGAACTTGAAATAAAGACATGACGTCATGACTATAAGCAGAAACGTATTGAATGAATGGAGTAAAAGTGTGCAAAAGAACAAAAGTAATGAAAAAAAAAGTAAAAATATAAGTTGGTCTTTGATAACTGGACATATAAACTATTTTACTTATTATCTAATATTTCTGTATTCGATCGATTAGATAGATATCTGTT